CTAGCCACTTTCCCTTAATCTAAACTTTTAATATTAGGCATTTTAGTATTAGGTCCTTATATAACCCTAGAGCATTTAGTAGTCTGAGTTATTCTTGTCCTTACTCTTTACTTATCTAATGCTCTATTATAGATAGCGTATGACTTTTCTTAATATATCTCGGTATATCTGCTTGCAGTTACTATTATTGTACCCTTCTCTATTAGGGCAGTTATTAATAAACTTGTTATTAGCTAATTACTGCTAGAAATGTTCTTCTAGTTCTGTATCTTGTTTATTTATATATTATTCTTATGCTAATTAGGGTATAGCTAGGTAAAGTCTATTTGCTTCCTATTAGTATTATATTTCTTTAGTAGTATCTAAATTTATATTGTTATTTATTAGGTTATTTATTAGGTAGCCGTATTATCCTTGGCTTATTTTTTCCTAGTATTTGTTTTCCTATTTTTAGTGTTTTTCTTTAATTTTATTAATTTCTACTTAGTTAAATGCCTCCTTAAGGTTAACTAGGGTAAAGATTCTTTCTTAAGTTATGTTATTATTATCTAACTCTGTTTCTATTAATCCTTTCTTTAGGTAATTAAATTTTCTATTTATAATTTCTTTAAATTCTTTTTTAGCTTCTTTAATAAGTTTTTATAATTAATAAATTCCCTTATAAAGTTAGTTTACTTTATAAGTCTATTAATAGTAGGCTATATTAAATTACAGTTCTGCTACTCTTAGGTTTTTATATTATATATATACTAAATACCTTTTTATTTCTTTTTTTAAGTATGGTTTATTATTAGGCATACTAGGAATTATTACTAGAAAACAATTATTATTAAGCTTTTCTTATTTATATATTTTGTATTAATAGTATTTATAAGATAACTATAATATCTCCTTATGCTATTTATTTATAGGAAATATTTAAATATTATCTTATTTATTAAATATTTCTTTTTTATATAGTGGGTTTATGGCATTATTAGTGTAATAAGCTCTAATATTTAATAGTTCAAGTATATCGGTATTTCTGTATTCTTTGGCTCCTTATATATATCGTTTTTTAGGTAAGGTCTATATTCTGCTTCCTGCTTTATTGAATAGTGGTTTATAGGGTTATTTTTACTTTAGCTTAAGGTATTTATCTTCTTTATAGAGGTATTATATAGTCGCTCGTGCTGCTCCTCCTCTATGTCCTATGCTTCAGGAGTGTTAATAATAGTAGGCGCGTATCCTGGCTGCTGCCTTTTGTTCTTTATTAAAGGCTTCTTCTTTCTTCTTTAGGTCAGTTTTAGCAAATCTAGGCATTTTGTACTTTATGATGTATCCTTTTTCCGTGTTTATTATAATAGTTATTCTATCTCGTTAGGTAATTGTTTCCATAGGGATATTATCTATCTGTTTAGATACCTGAGCTTATTTATCTGTTTTAGGGGTAATTGCTTTTCCCTATCTTATTATTCCTAAGACTTATAGTTTTCTAAGTTTCTTAATTCTTTAGAGTTCCCTCTATTAAGCGTTCTGTTATTCCCTATAGTCTGGGTTATTATAAAGCTTTTCCTTTTTATTTTTATTATATTGCATTAGCTTGGCAAGATATCCCGGATTATTGGCTCTCTTATAGGCATTCTTTTCCCTTTAGATCTAATTCTTAGTCTCCTTATCTCTTACTGGTGGGTTTTCTGCATTAGCTTCCTTATAGGTAGGAAATAAGTCTTGCAGTTCCTTAATTAAACTATCTAGGTAGGGGTACTACTCTAGTTCCTCTGTTTTCTTTAAGCCAGTAATATTATAACTACTTCTAAGTATTCCTAATATCTCGGTTCGCCTGGCTATTTACAGATCCTATTATTTAATTAGTCTTAAGGCCTGCTTACCTTAATTAAGGTCTCTAGGTTTCCTAGGCTTTAGGCACTATTATGCCATATATCTAAACTGGTTGCAGTTATAGCACTTATACCTAGACATATCTCGCCTTTAGTTATTATTATTATTACCTGGCTAAATAGCTTTAAGTATTATAGGTCCTGGCTATATACTATATATAGTATTATTTTAGCAATTCCTTTATTACTATCCTTAATTTTAAGAGTTACCTTAATTATTATTATATCTCTAGCTAGGGTAATATAGGTTAAAGTTACTTCCTTTTTATTAGTAAGTAGCTTTCTCTCTTCTGCATTTATACTATCTTTTATTAATCTTAATTGCCATAGTAATATATATAATCAGGTTATCAGGTCTATTAGCTAGGTATAGTTCATCCTTAACATCTTTTTTTAAACTTCAGTAGTAGATTTCTATAAGAGACTTATTATCCTACTAGGTTTTAGCAGTAAGCTATCTAAACTTAGCTAAGTATATAGCATATGATTTATATTATTTAAGCGCTAGTAGTTCTGCTGCAGCTTATTATTCTTTATTAACTACTTTAAAATTATCCTTTAGTACTTATTTAAAGTTTTCCTAATCTCTAAAGATGTTTTAGGTATCCTAGTCTTATAGATTTTCTTTATTTTTAAGGTAGTCCTTTATAATAGGTTTAAACTAATCTTTAGTATTTCCCTAAATTAGTAGTATAGTAAATAGCAATTTCTTAATAGCGGTATTTAGTTTATTAGGGAATAGGCAGAAATATCCTTTTATTTAGGTAAGGAATAGGATTATATTAGCTACCTATCCCTTAAAAGGTTCCAGCTTAGGCGGCTTAAGTGCCTCTCTAAGGTTACATCCTTATAATTTATTAGTATTATTATTAGCTAGTATAGCGTTTTGCTATTTATTAACTTATATCTGTAAGTTATAGATAGTAATATATAACTGCTAGACTTTAGCTATAAGTTTAGCTATATTAAGGGGTATTCTAGTATAAGGAGGTGCTAGGCTAGTGTTACTAGATATCTTAATAGTATAATATTACTTAGTTATTTAATGCAGTATATTTTAAATAAGAGCTATTAACATATAACGGAATAGGTTCTAAATAGGTAAACTAGTCTATACTAGGTTTAATGTTTATAGAGTTATAAGGCGTTATATTAAGTAGTTATAAAGTATTATATCTCTTAATAGTAGATAAAGCAGGTTAGGCATATTTAGGTAAAGAAGTCTTATTAATAGCTAGTAAGCTAAGTTTTATAAAAGTGCTAATAAATATAATCTATATACTAGAGGTAGCCTTATAGCTTAGTAGAGAATATAAGTAATCTAAAGGTTGGATTTATAGGGATTAGTCGTGATTTATGGTGATCTAGCCTTAGAGCGTCGTGATCTAAGTGATCTAATAGAAGAGGATCGTTACTAGGAGAAGTGATCCTACGGTGATTGGTGAAAATTGTGGGGGCCACGTGACATAGACGCGGGGGTCGTAACACCTAGAGAGACAGGTATAAAGATACAGGCTAGGCAGGAATAAACTTCTAAGTAAGGTAAAACACTTTATTATAATTAAAAACCAAACCTATAAAAGATATTCACATCCTTATTTAAGTTTAAAAGACTACTAAAATGCAATATTAACCTAAAAAGCTTTTTATAGTGCTATATATAAGCAGTAATAATAAGGCTAAGCTTTAGATATAACTAAGTATGTAAAGTATTTAAATACTACTTCTATAATACTTTAGATATAAAACTTAAAGCTAAGATTATAAAAATAAAAGGCCATAAGGCTACTAAGCTTAATAAATTACTAAACTGCTAAAACTAAAATAATCTTAAAGATTATTAATTCTATTAGTAAAATTAAATAAATAATATAACTTTCTAAAAGGTTTATATAAATACACCCTTAATATATTATTTATTATAAATTATAATTAGTAATAGATATAAATAAAAAAAAAGGTAATCTGATTTTAGATTTACCTCTAGCTTAGGCCTAGGTAAGTAAGGGTCTAGGGCCAATTAGCTTAGCTAACCCCTATAACTCTGTTACTTCTTAAAAAGAGCTTCCTTCTGCAAAGCCAAAATAAATAGATAATCCGGCAGTTCTAGGGTAGCTGCTTATTATATAAGAAATATCAGATATATTAGATAGATAGACGCCTGTATCTGAGTTGATTAATCTGATGAATTTCTGTATCTGATTTGAATTAATTAATCTGATCAATATATCTGATTGTTAATCTGATCTGACGGCAGCCCTGCTTGTTTTTTTTTTTTTTTTTCATGGTTAATCGGGCAGCTTCTTAGAGTTTACTAGTACCCTCGAGCTTCTCCGAAACAAGTACAACTCGAGCACCCTGCCTTACCATGTCATTGTGCTATCGCTTCCAGGCTACAACCTCAGTTTAGGCGCATCGCGGATTGGAGCTTGGAATTCCGAGGGTGCAGCACGGGCAGTCAATACGGCTTCAAACACTGTTGAATTCATCGGAAACACTGTACCATGAGGTGATGTTGGTTGTCTCGTCGCATCACTCCTTGGCACTACGTACGAATCGGCCGCTGCAGTTCATTGTGAGTTAATAGCTATCAGTCGCACTTGATGAAGGCTTAAAGAAGATAGTGAACCTGCAGCCTAGTCTAAGTTCTGTCGACGAGAACGACCTTTTCCTATCGAAAAGGGAAATTAGTGCCGTGAGGGTGCGAACAAGCGCTTTCTCACTCCAACAATTGGTGCGGCGCTGTTACAGAGGACATGACCTGCCACAATTGGTGCCATCGCGTGTTGGAAGAATTGATGGTTCCCCCTCAACTTCAGGATTAAGGTTCAAGGTTAAAGTTAAAGTTTGATGTCCTGAAACTCAAATCGTAAGACTGTCATCTAGGACTCTAGGACTTAAGTCCTAGAAAGAATCAGTCGAGGATATAAGGCCTTAAAGGTCCTTTGACTGCAAAAACGATAATAATAACAACAATAAATTGTTAACTACACTCAGCATCCCTGCGTATTCAACAATATCGCGTCGTCGAATCTTATGGCTCTGCTTGCGTGATAAGTGCGACATGGCCGGCTGATAGCAAATGGCGTGACAACTCCATGGCTAGGATCGGGGACAAGTCTCCAGTGGCCCGACGAAGATATCAATCTCGATGAGGTTCTGACCAACGTCTTATCGTACTGGTTCACTGACACAATGCCTCGGTGCATCTACACATACCGAGTGACTTTTATCAACGGTCATAAATACTTTATTTCCCGCATCAACAAACCATTTGGATACTCCTGGTTTATACGTGAACTTGCTTTGGGGTCAAGAAAGGTGGTTTAGAACAAGGGCGGACCAGTGTTCTACCGACAATACGAAAAGCCAGATTTTCTAGCTTAATTTCAGGCGTATGTTCCCAGACTAACATGATGATAAAGCGACCGTTTTGCAGCACTGGAGCGTCCTCGCGAGTTTCAAGATATCAATGAATTTGCCAGGGTAACTTGGAAGTGAGTGCGGGATCAGAGTACTGGGACTTTGACGTGCGCTCCAGTACTATGAACATATTCCCTTATGCAGACAGTAATATCATCGTTATACGGCTTCTTAAAGTGTTTGTGACTTCGCGTATTGTTGTAGTTTACATGGCTGTGAACGAAAACTGTTCTCCGTAGTTTATGCTGAAGTGGGCTCTAGTCGTCAACTAGCAATACTTCAAAAGGCTGTTTGCTTGAATCAACTCTCTCATTAATTGCCTGGCTTATTGAGCCCAGAGTCTGTGACGAATTAATCTTGGGTCATTGCCCACAAATGACAAAAAGCGAAATGGCGCTTGAAGTCCTTTCCACGACGACACGATCTTAGTGGGGCAAGGCTGGGGCTTTTTCTGTATCCCTCGAGACGAGGGCACGGGTGTTGTAGTGTGGAGTGGCTGCATGATGGAACGGAGAACACCCAGCTGATCAACGTACGTCCTACTTTTTGTTCTCTTGTATGTCTTTTATCTTTATAAATCTCTCCTAAAAGAGCGCTGTATGACAACATCTCCAACATACTTTCCCCTCGTCATCACCCTTCCAACCTAGCACTAAAATGACTGTCACAAACAACATCCTCATTACTGGAGGTGCTGGATTTCTGGGGCCCATGTTGGCCGCCAAGCTTTCACAGGATCCCTCAAACAGGATCTTCTTGACAGATTTGCACGAACCTCCTACACCAAAAAACCTCGCTGATCCTGCGAGATGCACTTGCATTGCCGCCGATATGGCAAAATCCTCTGATATCGACCGTTTACTTGCTAGTGCCCCAGAATGGCGAGCCATCTTTATCTTCCATGGCATCATGTCTGTGGGATGCGAAGAGAATCCAGCGCTGTCCCAACTGGTCAATATCAATGCCACACAGTCGTTGCTTGCAGCGGTTTCTAAGCTGAACAACGGTCCTCGCAAGCCTAGAGTTGTATACGCCTCGACACAGGCTGTATATGGACCTCCCTATACCACTAGTGGAACTATCACCGATGACACCCCTGCCACGCCTATTGGTGTTTATGGTACACACAAGCTCATCACTGAGTGCACTGTCAACGATATGAACCGTCGTGGCCTAATCGATGCTTTCAGCGTTCGTTTACCTACTGTCACTGTTCGCCCAGGAGCACCAAGTCGTTCAGCTGCGGCGTTTCTCAGCGGTATTATTCGCGAGCCTATGGCAGGGTTGGAATGTATTATTCCTCTATCTGATAGAAATGCCAGGCAAATTATTTGCAGTCCACGGATTATGATTGATAATCTGATTACCCTTATCTCGGTACCGTCTAACTCCATGCCGTCTCATATCCGCGCTATCTATATGCCTGGCATCTCTGTCACCCTGGGCGAAATGTATGAGGCTTTTGAGGCGGTTTGCGGTGCTAATAAGCTCAAGCTTCTCCGTGAGGAAAAGGATATCGAGGCAGAGAGGTTGTTGAATAGTTGGCCACAGACTTCGGACTTTGGCAATGCGCATAGAATTGGGTTGGCTTTTGACAAGAGTTGTCAGCAGATCTTCCAAGAGTATGTTGACTCTTTGTAAGTAGATAGTTAATAGATAAATACTATATATGTGGACTCTTAGAAATTTCCCTGGCGATGTTACTATTGATATGCTAATTACTTTCTATAATTGACATTTTTATGCTGAAATAAATAACTTCTTATTAATTAAACTATTACGTATTTATTATGTTTTTATATCTAGGCTATCTTTTCTTTGAGCTCTATCTGTTATAAGCATCTTCCATTAAACCTAAAAGTACTCGGTATCTTAAAATTGTTGTCGGGCATAATACCTTGGAAACCACAAGAGGTGAAACACTGCTTCAAGTCCTTCGCGCTGTAGGATAATTTTAGTGCGACGTGCAGAGTGCGGTTCAACCCTGTATCCCTCGATACGAGGGCGTCTCCAGACTAACCCGTCTGCGGTAACATATTCGCCGTCTCCATAACACAACTTCGCATCGAGTCTTTGCGCGGGGTTCCACGTGAAAGCCTCGTGAACTCTGTCGAGCTGTACGTGTCGAGGCAACTTTGGCATTGATCACGAACAGATACTTGGCTCTCTTCTAGCTCTTAAAACGCTTGTCCCAGTCCTGGATTTTTCGACCGTCATTCGACTTGCAGCGCCACTTCCCTCCACAACACACACCTGCACAATGAATGCCCTCAGGAACCAAGTCAAGCTGTCTGCGACACTCAACTCGCGGGCAATTAGCGCTGGTGCCGTTCGGACTCAACAACCTTTTCAGACGAGAGGCGTTGCCACTGCCCCAACTCGCTTCAAACTCAACACAGGCGCCAGCATTCCCGCAATTGGCTTCGGAACATTTCAGGACCCCGACGCTCAAGAAGTCGCTGTCTCCCGAGCTTTGAAGGCTGGATTGCGTCTCATTGATACGGCGCGAGTGTACAACGTCGAAAAGGAAGTGGGAAGGGGCATCAAGCGCAGCGGTATCCCCAGAGAAGACATCTTCCTCGGCACAAAGCTATGGTGCAACAACTTCCACCCTGATGACGTCGAGAGAGCTTTGGACGAGTCTTTGACAGACCTTGACACGCCTTATGTGGATCTTCTCATGATGCATTACCCCTGTACCTTCCAGAGAGGTGAAGATCGCTTTCCCAGAGACAAAGATGGCAAGATGATCCACGGTAAGACAAACTATGTGGATACTTGGAAGGCTATGGAGAGGTTGGTCAAGACTGGCAAGGTCAAGGCTATTGGCGTCTCCAATTTCAGCAAGGGCGAGCTGGAGAGATTGATTAACGAGTCTTCGACGGTAAGTCCAGAAAATATTTAGACATATCCAAGACAGATGCTAATAACGCTCAGGTCCCTGCCGTTCACCAAATGGAGGTTCACCCGTACCTTCAGCAGAAGGGTTTCAACGGATGGCTCCGCTCCCAAGGAATCCACGTTGTTCAGTTCAGCCCCCTCGGAAACATGAACGACTTCTACCGCGCGACAGGCTGGAGTAAGGAGGTTGCACACATGATGCGCGTCATTGATCAGCCCCTCCTAAAGCAGCTTGGTGAGAAGTATGGCAAGAGTGCCGTGCAGATTGTTCTGTCTTGGGGGATCAACAGCGGTCGCTCTGTCATCCCTAAGAGTACCGTCGATTGGCAAATCAAGGAGAACACCGAGGCTGACTTCAAGATGGAGCCTGAAGATATGAAGGCTATTGAGACGTTGGATAGCAAGGCGAGATTCAACGATCCCAGCTTGGACTATCGGTGGAGGCTCTATAGTGATCTTGAGGGTATCGAGGGCACAAAAGATGGTCGAACTCATTAGTTCTACTAAAACAAGGTTATATATAGGCTCTAGAAACCCACACAAACGGTTCAATCTACGGCGACGTCTTGGTACAATATCGTGCGCCATTCTTGCTGGAAGAATCTACGAAGGTCCTTAGAGAAGAAAAAGAAAGTCCTCACCAAGAGAATCACTTAAATACGTGACACTGACAACTTCTAAATGACAACAAGGTCCAAATAAACTTTGTATTCTATTTGAAACATGATGTTGCACTTTATTCTCAATTCCATTGAGCAATGACCACTTGAAGGTGCTGTATAGCTAAAGGTCGATAGTCCATCGATATACAACACATATTTCTATGCCGTGAGAGTATTTAAGGTGCAGACTTTTAGCAAGAGGCTTCATGCCGTGAACGAGTTGTTATTGCGTATCCCTGGCCAATCTACGTGCATGAACTTTAAGTCTCTAATTTGCAATGTGAAGCCTGTACATCAAAAGTCATGTATGGCCATGCACAACTTCGTAGCATTAAAATCATCAAAACCCAAGTTAACTGGATTAATATGGTTTAAGATGTTTTTGTGCTGACAAGGCCGGAATGAACAGAAAGTTTCCTTCTATATTTGCTGAGACTCATCACCAAACATTGTGTATATATAATTTATAGTTTATTGTTGACAGAGACTACATATATATAGTTGCTATAAAGCTCTTGAAACCTCAACATTTGGACTTGAAACTGTTTTCATCCAGTTTCATCACAGAACGAGAGTCCCCATGAGAAGATCTGGGAGCCTGACCAGTAAGCGGCTACTTGCTCTCAACATGTTGGGTAGGCACGGGGTCTCCCTTGGCTTCAATGTCATAACCCTGTCCCTTAAGCCCTCCAACTCCGCCCATCTCTTCCTTGAGAGTTGCAAAGGTCTTCTCCGCATCCCAGGCCCAGGGGGTAGGAGCTGCAAATAGAAGATCCATCTCCTCGAGGGTTCGTTGGTTGGATTCGGGGTACAAAGCGTAGACTAGTGGGTTGCTTTGTCAGTTGTTGCGTCTACACGAATATCGAAGTTGACTTACCGATTGGGATGCTGATGACGTTGACTGCAGCAAAGATGTACATCATTTTTTCGTTGATGGCGCTAACAATGTAGGGAAGCAGAAGAGTGAGAGTGCTATCAATAGTCAGTAACAAAGTCGTCTCTGGTCTGGTGAAAGGATACTCACCCATTTCCAATGCTCCATCCAACAACGCCCCAAGAGTTTCCCTTAGCTCGAACATGGATAGGGAAAATCTCAGCCGGGTAGAGCCAAGGAACAGTGAGCCAAGTAGCACCAAAGACAAAGGTATACAGATATAGCATTGACGCAGCAGCAGCTCCCCACTGATTGGCAATGTTAATGTTACCGTCTGCTCGAGCATCAAGGCCTCCACGAGAAAGTCCCCCGACAAGGGCCATTGAGATGGCTTGCCCGACCGAGCCCCAGTATAGAGTCCCTCGACGACCAATGCGATCGATAGTGAAGACGCAAATCAAGGTTGAGAACATGTAGAAGATGTTGTTGAGTCCAGCAACCCACTGTGTCTTCTCAGGTCCGAAACCTGCAATGTGGAAGATGGCTGTCGTGTGGTTAGATACCGCATGAGCCGCAAAATAGGAGAAGATCAAAACTTACTTGGTCCATACATGGTTACGCCAGCAATACCAGTCCAGCATTGGATTATCTGCAACCAGATAACCAACTGCACTCTTCGGCCTGTGTGAAGCTTTCCAGACTTGATACCGAACAACATGTGGATATATGATGTGCACTCGGAGCTCCTTTCGAGTTCAATGACGTTGCGGATGTCGTTGTACTCAGCTTCAGCAATTCCAGCATCCTCACCTTCCGTACCTCGGAGGCGTTCCAAAACAAAAAGAGCCTCCTGGTTCCGGCCAGCCTTAACCAGCCATCGAGGGGATTCTGGGAAAGCCCAGCAAACGACAAGAAGGAATAGAAGGGGAACAATTTGGAAAGCGATGGGGAAGCGCCAGCGGATTTCGGACTCGCCGTTGTCGAGGAAGCTGACGCCGTACGCTAACCAGTATGCCACCACAACGCCAAAGATGTTCAGGGTGAACTCCATAGCAATGAAGGTTCCTCGGCTCGTATGGTCGGCAAGTTCAGACGCCCAAGCTGGAACAATACCGTTGAGTATGCCAGTTCCAATACCATTAACGAAACGAGAACCAAGCATCCAAGATGGGTTCATAGCAGATGATTGAAGAGCAGCGCCAAAGATAGCCCAAGCGGTTCCTAGGCCAACAGTACTAATACGTCCGTATTTATCGCCGAAAGCACCACCTGCAAGACAGCCGACTAGCGTACCGAGGTAGAAGATGGCCATGATTCCTCCCTGGAGGAGCGTTTCGGTGATAACAGGGCTTCCGTCCGGGCCAAGATGACCTAAGCCCATGCGATAGATGTAATCGGTACTCTGATTGACCCCGCCCATTAAGCCTTGATCGTATCTGTTAATGTTCGATTAGCTTGAGCCTTATTCCCTGGTCTTATGGTGAGGTAATACCCGAAGAAAAAGATGGACATGCCGGCCAAACAATTGACTGCAATGAGAAGCGAACGCTTCTGCAGCTTGGAGGCGACCATCGAAGAACTGGTCTGATTTACCGTGAGGCAACCCATGATTGTAGATATGCAAGAGATGAGGAGTAGAAGAGACGAGGGATGAAGGAATGGTTGTGATCAACAAGGGGCCGCCTTAGAGAAAATATATACCGGTCGATCCAAGCACAGACAACCTGGTAGACAGAAACCTGAAAGTCCAGGCTATGGCTCAATACAACCAAGTCCGTCGTGATGGTGTCATGCAATGTCTGGGGCCCCAGTTTCTCCTCAATGACCATAACCTGGGGTTCAGAAGCCGTGGAGAAAGCAGGCTTGTGAAAGTATCACAGGGGCCTAGCTCGGCTAGCATTCCCCAAAGTCTAACGATGAACGATTGGACACTGCTCGTTTCCCCGCAACGGTCGGCTTCTCCGTCCCTCGAGACGAGGGTAATCACGAGCTAACTTGCATCCCCGCAAACGACTTTCGCTGGTGTTTACGACAAGATCCACTTGGCGATGTCTCTATTGATGCTTCCAACGCCACTCGCCGGAACAAGGCGGTCGAGACACGACGTACACAAAACTAATGGTTCTGTGTTACCATATTGCTCACAAGAATAGTGACGAGGGCAAGACTCTCCTCATGATCAAGACGAGAGACAACTCCACTCCACTTGTCTAGAGAACTTCTCTATGTTCCCAGAGGTACCAGAGTGATCATTTAAGGGCTGAAGTATCCTTGTGTGAAATGAACATCACACGCGACAAAACATTCAAAAAAACCATCAGCATGCCTCTCAATCTCCCAGAAAACATCGACGCCCCTGTGTTGTCGCAATTCTCCCTGGCTGGCAAGACTGCCATCGTCACTGGAGGATCTCGAGGTATCGGCCAACAGGTTGTTACCGCTCTCGCCGAAGCTGGAGCAGATGTTGCCTTTATCTACCACACCAGCACTACTGCCGACGCCTTGGCGGCTGAAATCGCGGACAAGACAGGTCGTAGGGTCCAGGCCTTTAAGTCAGATGTAACCCACAGAGTGGCAATTGCCAACATTATTGAAGAGATTGTCTCAACCTTTGGCAATGGGCGCTTGGACATCATGGTCGCGAACGCTGGCGTGTGTCAGAATGTGAACTCACTCGATTATACTGAAGAAACATGGGATTACATTAACAAAGTCAACTACGACGGTGTAATGTGGACTGCAATTCCAGCCGGCAAGATTTTCAAGAAGCAGGGAAGAGGAAGTCTCATCATCACAGCATCCGTCAGTGCGGGCCTGGTCAATATACCACAGACCCAGGCTGCCTACAACGCTTCCAAGGCCGGAGCTTTGTTGCTCGCCAAGTCTCTAGCTGTCGAGTGGGCAGATTTTGCTCGCGTCAACTGTGTCTCACCAGGCTATGTTCACACAGAAAGTAATTCCAGAGCCCATTAATCATCCCAACTCAGATGGTGTACAAGACTAATTTTGGGGCAGTGATTACCAAACAACCCAAAGAGTTGATGTCTAAATGGTTGAGCCAGGTACCAGGTGGTCGAACATGCCAACCTCAGGAGCTGAAAGGCGTAAGTAACTCGTTTTCAATGTTGGTGAGTGTTACTTCACTAACAATATGCCCCAAAGTTGTACACTTTTCTCGCTAGCGACGCATCGACGTATATGACTGGGTCCAACGTCATCATTGATGGAGGCTTTACGCTACCCTAGGACAACCATGCCGATGGAGAAATAGACAAGAATTTCCCGTAGAATATAAGCATAGTAGAAAGGAAAAAATATGCATTTATCTTTGTTTTCTTTTTTGAGAAGAACCTGATCAGGATGTTTCAACTCGTGATGACTATTTCGCCTACTTGATGTTGATTTGATCCGTTTTGCTCGGCCGCTTCAAATGCACCACGTGCTTTTTGGCAAAATTAGTCAAACTAATCGAAAATTCAATGGACTTGACCTTCGCGAGTTACAGGCAATAATACTGTTACTACTGGATGTGAATCTCTGTAGTGGCTGGTTTGACAATATACATTCTTTGAGATTTCTGTAACTTATTTACACTTTTCCATCGAAAGCTGCATCCCGGTCGATTCTTATCCACGCAGCCGCAGTACAGACACTAGTGATCACAAGGGAATACAGACTGGCAGATAAATTCGACAGTACTTGCACCCTGGCATGGAATAAGATTGACTGTCCAAGATCTATCAGGACTCTTAGTTCATGCCTCACCATTTCCCCATGCAAGGTCAAACTTAACCCCAGAGACCCGTGTTTTTGGAGTAGAATGATGTAACCTCGTGAGTGATTCGAGAAGCGATGGTCCGTGCTTCTGCCCTCGCCTCGAAAGGAATTCACATGCCATGCGTGGACAATCACTAACTTGGCCCCACCGAGTGAATGCCCTCGAGACGAGGGAGCGGCATGTCCATCCAACTAGCCGGGCCTGTTTTGCGGGGAGAGGGGATTTGTGAATTGGAGATGACACAGGCCAGCGTTTGTTCAAATTTGAAAACTTTCTTGATTAGGGGCGTACCTCAAACTGTATCGATAAAGAAGCCATCCAGCTTTCGTTCGCTATAGTATCCAAGTCTCGATCCATCCACGAGCTCTTTGCGACCAAGATGAGCGCTGCAATTAGGTTATTGGCCGGCAAAACGGCTGCCATCACCGGTGGCACAACTGGCATCGGCCGCGCCATCACACTCGAGTACCTTCGTCAAGGCGCAAATGTCGCCGTCAATCATCTTGGCCTCTCCAAAGACGAACCTCTTCGGATGAGCCTGATCGAGGAGGCCGCGCGATTAAGCAAGGAGGCACCGGCTGGTGCACCAACTGGTCAACTCCTTGAATTGGCGGGGGATGTGACAGATCCCAAGACGGGAGAACAGCTTGTTGCACAGGCGGTCGAAAGATGGGGTCAATTGGACATTTTTGTGGCCAATGCCGGTATCTTCAAAGCGTCCAGCTTCCTCGAGTAAGTGCTGGCTACCTTGGGCACGATTGACAATGACTGACGGCAGGGCAGCATCGAAAAGGAAATGTTCGACACATCCTTTCGAGTCAACGTAAACGGAGCCTTCTACGCCTGCCAAGCTGCAGCTCGACAGATGGTAGCACAGGGTAAGGGTGGTTCGATCATCGGCATTTCCTCCATCAGTGCGCTGCTCGGTGGCGGCCAGCAAGTTCATTACACTCCTACCAAGGCAGCGCTGCTCTCCATGACGCAGTCCATGGCAATTGCGCTAGCCAAGGATAAGATCAGGGTCAATGCTCTTTTGCCGGGAACAATTCATACTCAATTGGCGGATAATGATATGGCAAACGAGGAGAAGCGCAAATACCTGGAGCATCGCATTCCTTGGGGTCGAGTGGGTAAGCCTGAGGACCTGGCCGGACCGGCTGTATTCCTGGCGACAGATAAGATGAGTGGTTTTGTAACGGGAGCTCAGCTGCTGGTCGATGGTGGCATGTATGTCCATCTTCAATAGTGTAAAGGTTTTGCAAAGCCATTATCGCCTGTAGATTTCTGTCAGGGCAGGGAAAAGCTGTCTTAAAGTACAAGCATCATGTTTCTCTTCAAAGATAGCCTGAAAAGTCAATGAAAGTTGTCTGACAAGGAGCATCAATCCTTCCACTGAGTAGTAAACCATCATGTGCATGTCAGCGTGGCTCTGATAGCGGAGTCTGCTCCCCAAAGCTGACCAATGTCCAGGGTGAACTAATGGTGGCTATGGGCCTTGCTAGTGACAAAATCGTGCGGGGTAATCGGCTTCCGACCAGATTTCCCACAGCCAACCTTGTCTTTGCCAAATTTTATGTCTTTACTCCGTATCCGTACCTTGACCAGACCTGATTGCTCACCTTTGTCTAACGATCAACCTACGTGGATACCCCGACATGCTGCATTGGACCGAATGCAGCCGACAAGATCGTTTCCTGATCTGGACTCATTCGTGATTAAAAATGGATTCTAATCCGAGCAGCACAACCGACGAGCCCCGTTCCTTTACTCGAGGGCGACTTTCGCGTGGCAAGGGTTTGCGCAGAACAACAGGATGGTGAGTAAACGCGGACCGAAGCACCTATACTCACCCCGATACTCACAAAAGAGCCTTTCAGTTTGACGTGTCGCAGAAGACGCGTCAAGTGCGATGAGGTTAAACCGCGGTGTGGTGGCTGCACCCGCAAGAAAGCTCGTTGCGAGTACGCGAAAATACAAGCGGGAACGAAAAGTACTCGTCGGCAAACAAGCCCTGAAAACTCACTTGAAGAGGCCGAAAACATCGAGATATGTCTGAATCACCAACCAGCTTCTCCAGCCAGAGATGCCACTACGCCAAAATCTCCAACATTTGAGCAGCAAGAAGATCAATCTCGCGAACTGAGCGCCAATGACATACACATGCCGTCAGGCGAACATGTGTTGCCCATTGAGAGTCCACAACCTGAAGAAACCGTTAATATCGACAACGGAGATGAAGGAAGGCATGCGAATACGCAAATCATTCAGTCGCCACAAAATAGCCTCGGGTCGCATGGCGACTATGGAAACAGAACCTACCCTCATCTCGATTCCATAGTCTACGGCCTACCATCACCAGCCCAACTTCCATACCACCCTATGTCTATGGCATATGGAAGTTCACCAGATGCATCTCTCACATTGAAATGGCTTGACCTTCTACTTGGCGACGCGGCTATCAACTACGGACCTTTACCAGAACCATTTCCTGACCCAGGCGGCACCAACATATTTGGTAACTCCGCTATACAGTCACCAACGACTTTGGGAGATAACAGTGTATCCCATACAGGTGACTATATAGCTAGGCTGTGTGAACCACATACCATCGAGCCGAGAGTCGAAACGCGAAACGCATACATACGAGAACGAATTGCATCTGGGGAGGACCAGGTTCGCGAAAAAGATCAGGTTTGGCAAGCATTGGAACCTATCAATCTTCAAACGCAAGAACTTATACTATTTCGACATTTCACCGATCACATCAGCCAGTGGGTAAGTATATCGCCACGATGAACAGAGCAATCCTGGCTGACATGCCCCCTCTTCAGATGGATCTATTCGAGCCGCAAAAGCCATTTGGAAGCCTGGTTCCACATCTCGCTGTCAGTATATTTTGCATCCACGCAAGGGAAACCTCTGCTAATGTGACCACAGTTACACAATGTTGGTCTGATGAACGCTATCCTCGCTCTCTCAGCTCGCCATCTCGACATCATGAATCGCGACACGCCTACCTACGCCGCAGGCTTCCGACCGACCCAAGACGATACGATCGGTTATTACTACAAAACCCTTCACTACTGCCAAGAAGCGATGCAATATGACGGGTACAAAACGAGTCTAGAGCTTCTGGCCAGTGCATTCATCATTTCAGCTTACGAGATGCTCGATGGCTCTAATACGGATTGGGAGAAACATCTGAAAGGAGTCTTCTGGATTCAACGTTCTCAGACCATCCATGGACATTCTGACGGCTTGCGACAGGCCGTCTGGTGGGCTTGGTTATGCCAAGATGTTTGGGCAGCTTTTCGCGAGAAGAGAAGACCCTTCACTTTCTGGAGACCAAATCGTCCTCTGGCCGACTTGAATCCAAGCGAACTAGCAGCCCGGGCTGTGTATAACTTTGCGCATGTTGTTCGCTTTTGCGCTCGAGACGATGCATCCAATACTCCGGATTATGTCGCCGTCAAGACCCAAGAGGCTGATCTTCTCTCTCGACAATTGGACTACTGGGCTTCGTACCTAACCTCCGAGTTTCAGCCTCTTCCCATCGTTGCTTCAGGTGCTGAAAAGAATCCTTTCCCACAAGTTTGGGTACAGCCACCATTTTTTGGTCAGTCTGTCTTAATGAGGTCACTTTTCAAGTTGGCTAACATGATCAGCTGTGGCGATGCAAGTCTACTACTGCTCTCGGATTCTACTCGATCTGCACCGACCTTGCTCTGGCGGGTACGAAGAGTATTTGGGTAAACAGCGAATCCTCAAGCGATGGGCTGGCATAGTATGTCGTATCGCAAAAGCTCTAAACGACCATGCGTCAAGTGTCTTGTCTTCACAATGCGTCTTTATTGGTAAGTTCCTCTAGGTTTGCCTTCTCGACTGGGACCAAGAAAACTGGCTGACGCAACTTCAACAGCCGGAATGGTCGTAGAAGACCCTGAACAACGCTCTGCAATTCTAGACATTCTCGATACATGCAGCCGTCGAGCAGGATGGCCCGGCTACTCACTAGGGCGCGAGTTGAAGGAGATTTGGCGCGACTAATATTTACCATATAGCCTATATGCAAAACTCGGGACTATTTCAAGTCGCTTTGCCAGCGGACCCAAGAATTTCCATCCACTCAATCGTCTGGTTTATCACCTTCTCCACTCCCTGCTCCATGATCGACGTGTGTGATTGCTTGATTGTTCCATCGGCTCGTAAATGTGTGTAGTAGTCGTCAAGAACGATTCGGTTGACGTTGATTTTGGTGGTGCCAGCTTTGATGCACTGGCCCATTAAATCAGGCGGGAATCCGTTCGTGCCGTGAAGGGCGATTCTGGCTCGCTTGTTGACTTGCGTTCTGATCAAAGCGAGTCTATACCCGTGTTAGATGGTGTTTCTTGGTTCTTGAATTAACCTGACTAACCTCTCGAAGTCTAGCTGAGGTCCTTGCGGTCCATATTCGCCGTGGACGTTACCAAAGGCAGGGGCTAAAGCATCTACACCGGTCGCAATGAACTGGTCGACCTCTTCTGGTGTGGTCTTACTCGCTTCTAATCCCGCTGTATCCATGACGCCATCCTCACCACCTTCGATACGTCCTGGTTCTGCCTCAGTTGCAATCTTTCGGTCATTGCAGTATTTGACCCATTTCGCTGTCTTGGCCAAGTTCTCCTCTTTCTCGTAGTGTGACATGTCGACCATGATACTGTCGAAGGGGAGTTCATCGGCCGCTAGTTTGATAATGTCTTCTTCTTGCGCGTGGTCGAGATGAATCGAGATGGGCACGCTAGCCCGGTGAGCGGCGTCAGCAGCGGTTCGAATGAGGAGGCCATCGGAGAACTTGATGGCCCAAGGGAAGAACTGAAGGATCAGAGGGGATCGTGCCTTTTCCGCGGCACGAACAAGACCCAAGATCTGCTCAATGTTATAAGCGATGGCGGCCAACACACCGTACTCGCCTTCTTCAGCGGCCTGGAGAATCTGAAGATGGCGATTTGTCGCCTTCCAGTCGTTTGAGGTCATGTTGGTTGAGGATTTGTAGTGTTTTCGGCAATAGTGTAAACAAAGGCTCGATGGGTGCGGATTTCTACCATTTCGACGGAATGTTTGTGAGAGATTATATATAATGGCTCATTATCAGACCACGTCGAGCCATTTCTTGCGGCGTGTGGGATACATACATTGTTGTGGAGATTGAGGGTGGATTGTCTTGGAAAGTGACATATTAAGCCAGGACCTCGTCTCGAGGGCAACCATTTGCGACAGCCCGCCACCTGCGCCCAATTACTAACCCGATTAGTAAAATTAAAGAGAAGCTCTTGCATCACCGTTCAGACTCGTTGGATCATTGTCTGGCATTGGCAACGTAACCACAGACGACGTTTGCCAACCATCGCGACCATGAAAGACCTTGGTGATACAAGCCAGACGTGGCAGGTCTATCACGAAGATTTCAACTCGATACTCGGATCTTCCCCAGGGATAGAACTGCTCCTACAAATTGACGAGTATCCATTTGCTCATGAAGCCGGAGTTTTCTTCGCCCACAGAAACGAACTATTCATAACGAGCAACCAGTTCAGAAGCCAGACTGGTGGGAAAAGAGTGCAAATTTCCAAGGTCTCTCTGGGAGGTGGCACCGAGCCTACCAAGCTCGAGAACATTGATTGCGACCTCATTCACCTTGCCAACGGCGGTGTCAACTACAAGGATGGAATCTTGTTTTGCGCCCAAGGCTCTAGAACCAGCCCCAGCGGCCTCTTCCATATGCAAGCTTCACCACCATATACTACCAAACCAGTTTTGACAAGTTACCTGGGAAAACCATTCAACTCAGTCAATGATGTCGTGGTGCATGACGATGGCAGCATATGGTTCACAGACCCTTCGTATGGGCATGATCAAGGCTATCGACCTCCACCCAGTCTACCAAACCAAGTGTATCGTTATGACCCTGCAACCGAGAGTATCAGGGCCGTAGCGGATGGTTTCGGAAGACCAAATGGTATCTGCTTCTCGCCTGATCAGAAGACCGTGTACATCACGGATACAGACCAAGTGCGCGGTCCTTGGATCGACCATTCTCGAGCTGCTTCAATGTAAGTGTCGATCTTTCGGAAGGCAACATGTGTGTTTCTCAAGGTATTCGTCTGACCATTGCAGCTATGCTTTCGACGTGATCCATCGCCACGGACAACCATTCCTTGCGAATCGACGACTGTTCGCATATGCCGACAGAGGAATACCGGACGGCATCAAATGCGACACTACAGGAAACGTCTATAGCGGCTGTCCAGACGGAATAAATGTCTGGTCCCCCGGCGGAAGACTCTTGGGCAAGATTCTCATTCCTGGAGGAGTTGCCAACTTTTGCTTTGGTTCTGGTGGACAAATCTTTGCTTTAAATGAACATCGCTTATGGCGTGTTCGGCTTGATCCCAGTGTTCAAGGCGCTCTATTGGCTGCATGGAGCAACGATTAGAGTGCGTTATTCGTGAAGCAGTGATTCTAGGTTGCTTGATCTTTAAACAGAAACATTTTTGAATCATCGTACTACCTGTAATAATTGAAATTAGGTATAGTAGACTCGATTCGCAAATATATACAAAATAAACATATGCTATTAATAATACAAAGTAGATCTAATTTAAATAGCAGGGGGTAGACCTAATTTAATATATAAGTAATAGAATTAATAAAACTAATATAAAAAAAAAGGTAAGTATAAAAAAAGAATTTTTCTAAGATATAAAATAATTTTAAACTAAAATATAATATTATAATGAGTTTAAGATTAATAAATATTTTTATAATATAATTAAGAGTAATTAAGGTTTTATTACTTTAATAATAGTAATTAATAAGATATAATTATTAGTATTAGTTTATATAATTATAAGAGTTAAGTTATTAAATAAAAATAATTATTATATTTAAGGTTTAAGTATATTAATATAATAAAAAAAAGTAAATTAAAATAAATATTTTTATAATAAATATTTTTAATATTAATAAGGACTATAATTTTATAATAAAAGCTACTTGTATTTATATTAATAATATATTAATATTATAGATAATTTACTTATTTTGTTATATAATTTATCTTATAACTTATTTAATCCTCTTTTTACTACTAATACTAAATTTATAAGTTTAAGTTTATAAGTTTAAGTAACTTAAACTTATATAAAACTTAATATATTTTCCTTTAATATATATATTTTCTTATTATTATATCCTTTAACCTTGCCTTACTTTATTAAAATCTAGCTTTAATAGTTTTTATATAAAACCCTGTAATTACCTTACTTTTATCTTAAATATTATAATACATTCTCCCCTCTATCTTTATACTCTTATAATCTAAGACTATAATTAGCTTAGTTTTTATAAGGTCTTAGTCTTCTTTAATATCTCTTTAGCTTACTTATTATAATCCTAGTAGTTATATTATATATACCTTATATTTTTTACTAATTATATATAGTTATTATAGACTAATAGATTTTATTTATAATTACTAAGATATAACATACACGATAAGCAAACGCAACAGACAAGCGAACGCAACAGCCCACTTTTCACCTTATACCTAGTTTTTTTAAAAGCTTATAAAAATCTTAATTTAAGCCTAAAATAATTGTGATTTTACTACATTATATATAGCATATAAAATAAGTTATATAAATTTTCTTAGACCTTTTACTAATTTATTTTATATAGTTTTAATTAAAAATATATTTCATACTATATAACTAAGCTTTTCTAAATAAAATAAAATAATTAAAAATTTTAAAAAAATACTTTTTATAATAAATAATTATACTAAGCTTAATTATATTTTTTTTAATTTTTAGCTATTTTATTTAAGAATTAAATTATTATAGGGTAAGTTATTTTTAGCCGTACAGTGCGCTGTTGCGTTCGCTTGTCCGTTGCGTTCGCTTATCGTGTATGTTAATTATAATAGAGAATATTAAAAATATTAATAATCCTTAGAAGTATTAATAATTCTTAAAATTACTAAGTAACCCTAATAGTTACTTAATAATTACTTTTAGTATATAAATTATATTTATTAGTACTTTTATAAATTTAAGCTTATTAGCTATTAATATAACTTCTGTATATTAATTAAGCTATATATATTAAATTTACTATTAAGAGATATAATATTTTAATAATACTTAGTATATACCTTATATAACCTGCTAATAATAAACCTAGTATAGCTTAGTTTAATATAGTTAGACCTAACTATTATATTATTATTAAATATTTTTAAACTACTTATTATATAAGTTGCCTAGGCTAAGGGCCTTAAGGAATTTCCTTTTCTTTCTATTTAATTATACCTTTTTATATAACTTCTCTTTTAGGTCTTTAAGGTTTTACCTCTTAAAATTAAAAAAGGGTTTTTTAATTAGAGGATTTTTTATATAAAAAAAATATATATATAAGTAAAAGAATCTTATAATTAAAGATTATTAGTTTAATATAATTAATATTATCCTTATAATTTGTATTAATCCTCTGAAACTATTTATATATATAACCCTGTTAAGCAGCATTTATGCATTGAGTCCAATGAAACTACCTAGAAGTCAAATCACATAACTCAGAAGTCACGCATCGTGCTTTGTCGCCTTCGCCATTACCGCCGAAACCTCTTGCAAATGCTTCAGCTTCTCGCATGTTACAACCTAGAACGACGTGTATATGCAACAAAGTATAACTCCTGATTTGGACTTGCCCCTCAGCTGTCCCTCCGTTCCAAATACCTACTTAGGCGACTGTAACCGCGGCTCTAAAGCCGGTGCGGCAAGCATCTATACACTCACCGCTGCTCATCACAAGTTCAACATTAGCCTTAAACAATCAAGTCTTCTTGCTCAAGGTGTCTATCAACCACTCAAAGACGATATAGGTACATGGACTACTGGAAGTAGTACCCGCCTGACATGACCTACACCACAAGCTGAGTCGGCACTTACCTAACAGACTCCAACAGGCAATGTGGCAATTCCTAGCAGATAACGATAATTTCGCTTGGGGACTGACAGGCATCGTCACCTGTTAGTGTTTTGAGATTAGACTTAATCGATTTCTCTTCATTGGAGTTGATTTAACAGATACCCAGAAGCGAACATGATCGTAGGATGGCGGTCCGTCTCTGCTGGTGCATCTATGCTTTGGACCGGCGGTGGAGCTTTGAAATGGGCTACCTTTTATAATTCAAGATTCAGATATTGACAAGAATTATCAAGAGCCTATAAGCCATAACTGACCCGAAATGACTCTAGCTAATTCTGGCACGATAATTAAGTTCTGAAAATAGGAGACTTATCTTTGTTGAGGCTATGTATATATTACCTTCCAAAAGCTTGAGTTAACTGGGATTTTTCAATGTGTTGCTTGATATATCTTGTTGAGGTATCATATGCTTTAACTATCAATCAATAATTAAGTTCTGTATTCCTAAACGCTTATTCAGCAACATTCTCCAACTGCTAAGTCAGTTATGCGGTTAGCCAAAGATATCATTTAGGAACTTAACGATCTTTACCATTTAACTGATATATACTCTATATAGCAGATATATTTTAACTACTTTCCGGTCCTTTCTCTAGGTGTTATAATCCTTGCCATCTCGCAGGCACCAGAATGATAGGCGGGTATGTTTTAAGCAGAGCCGCATGCGGCGCTTAACCTGGTCGAGAGTTTGAGCTCGAATGCCTACGTGTCGCGGAGGCTATGGAGGTTTATCCGTGGCCTATGCTCCATAGGAAACATATTAGATGCAGCGGGCCAGTTATATTCAGATAAGAGTGGGCAGATATACGTGGCTATTGAGGGCGCTGCGGCCCAAGAATTTTCCCATACCTTGTTGGAGCCTGACATAGGACATTGGCAATTCACTGAGGAAGCCCCTTATTTGTCCCAGCCCTCAAGTCAACCAAGAGGCGTGCAAAGTTGACTGAAATATAACACACAGCTGTCGTGTAGACTCTAATAGATTACCAGCTTTAAAGGCATTGATGGTATATACCTAATCTCTTTTTTATTGGCTAGTTCTTATTTAAGAACGCAACCACTACTTAATAAATTCACATCTCTATAGCCGTGGCTGCCTACGCAAGACAAACTACACTCAGACCAATCTCTAATTAGGAAACAATACATAGCTTCCTAAGAATTATTATACAACAGTTGAAATTAACTACCTCTCCAAGACCCCCGGAAACGATGCTTTATTAAAGCAGCCTCGGGAATGCTTCCGTCATGTGTGCTGTGCGAATGAACCTGGCCCATGCCAAACCCATCAATTGTCAGGACCAGTATATCGCCATACAGCTTCGGCTCTGTCATGAATGAAAGATCCTTGGTGGTGTTGAGAGTAGAGTCATATTCTTGCAATTGCTCAAACACGACGTCTGTCCAAGCCGCTGGACCTGTAGAGTTCATGACCTCAAAGCTGCCTGGCTTCAGCTGATCAACTGTGACATTGTGCTTGCGTGACAAGTCCTCCATTGACTGGACATCACGCCTAGTCATCTTCCTGAAGACACGATGTCCGGGGACAGCTGCAATTGTCCACTGACAGAACTGGAGCCAATGAGATGTATCCGCCCAAGCCCCGCCGTTTCGTCGGTCGAACTCGATGCCAACGATCAAGCTAACCTCACCTTGGAGCTCTGGTGGCACCCACTTCTGGATAGGCTTAAGGGCGATAGTGTCAGTGTCGGTGTAGACGCCACCTTTGATCGCCAGAATGAGATACCGAAGGAGGTCTGACTTCATGCCAACATTTGGGGCTTTATTGTATGCTTCCACGATGCTCGGTTCATCAGCGAAGTGACGTTTAACAAATTCATCGGCTCCGTCCTTTCCAACCAATGTACTATAGGAGAGGTCAGTTTGTGTCCTTTGCTGCCATGTCGCTATAGGGACGGTGTTTATATCTCACTTACTAGGCGTAATCCGTGTTCATGGACAACCATGATGCAGTCGTTTCGAGCTTTTTAGGATCCAAAACAGAACCCACAGCCGATTAATTCTTGGGGAGATGGATTTGCAAAATCTTAGCGGGATGGATTGAATAGAATTTGTTGCAGAGTGGCATGCCCACCAGAAGCCTAACTAATCACGGCTGATACCACTTGTATTTGTGTTGTATTTTGAGGTTTCGAATAATTGTAATTCATAGCCTCTCACCACGAAGTTAGAGTACGTTCATGTCATTAAGAGTATTATAAGGGTAATAATGGTGAGGGCGAAGATCCTATATCAGCGGAAACCGCTGCGATCAATATTCTCCAACAGGGAGAAGCCCCCTACCTGAAGTTTGTGCATTGCTCAGTACTAAACTTGAGCTTAACGGATTAAAATGCGATAGTGTAGAAAGTTTTGGAACAGGCGAGAGTCTGAGGCAACCTTCTTCTTACCAGCAACTGCAGCTGTCGATGTATGGTGTACGCGGCCGCCAAAGAGCATTGGCTGGGGCTTGGCCTGTTTTGTGCGCAAAACTACACAGCAATCTTGAGTCCCCCTGACTGTGTTGGTTGTGATATTGTGAATACTACCATCCATGTTTTGAAGTCACATCAATTGACCTGGTCAGGGCAGTGAAGCGCTTACAATCAATCTATCCCAAATTTAGGGCGCTTGCGCAGCGAAGCCTATTGGATAGTCCGTCCCAGCAGTCTGGTTCCGTACGCGACGCATCCCATGTAGAATGTTCACCTCAGTGTTCCGATAATTGTCGACCCACAAAGAACCGAAATGTCACATTGATGCAGTTGAGCGCCGACACATTGCTGAACTTAAATTGTAATGATACGTTTCAAATGCGCTGTCACGAGAGGCTGACCAACAACATAAAATTTGGTAAGGGTCGGTCTATAAAGCCCCGTGTTGTTCCCTGCCCAGTCATTTGTGATCTCATGATCATCATAAACGTGTATCCAAAAGGTCGCACGAAGTCGGGACGACCATGAGGGGGAGGCATATACTTGGCGATGTGCCGCTGAGTACGCGTCAGCATCCCAACCAAGCGGGATAGGGAGATCGATGTAGATGAAGTCACCCAGGAAGAGTGCCATGTCCACTGGGCTTTCAGACGGTTAACTACTCAATTATTCAAGTTCATTAATACGAAGGCTAAAGTTCAGAGGGTTGTGTGGGTAGAATTGCTTAATTAATATTCATGTTAGTGTCTTTATAAAATATATTAATAATACTGTTTATAGCTAGATATAATAAATTAACTAATTATATATAAAAGGTAATATTAACTAGGGCTTTGCTTAAATATCATCTGCCTAATATATTTAGTAATATAGCCCAAGCCCGTAATTTGGCCCATCTCGCCCCAGAAAGTGCTTGGAGGTTCATTAATCAGAGCCTGAGCCTCATAGAGATCTACTGAGGGCCGCTCCCAGACAAGGTTGATTTCCAATGACTTCTTAACTTTAGTCTTCTTTAAAGCCTTCCAGAAGACATAAAGGACTGGAACCGTGATCTGCATGGTGTAGTTTGCGAAAAAGCTCTCGGTATTCCACGGGGAAAAGGCTCTGTAGCCATAGCTATAGCCCACCAGGACAATGAAAAACAGTGAAATATAAGCTCCATACGGCTGGAAGTACCCATAATAGGGCAGGGTCTTTCGATCAAGCCCTTGTACCTTGCAGGCATGATAGTAACGAATAAAAGTGATAGATATCACAATATAGTTTATAATAGCACCGCCAGCGATAAGTGAAAGAAGAATGTTCAAAGCCTTAGACGAGCCGCCGCTGATAGAAAGAAATGACAGGAAAGGAAACAGCATGGTGATCATAAAACAATATATAGGGATGCCCCTGTTTGTGCACTTCTTGAGAAAAGCAGGCGCCTGCGCTTGTACAGCAAGGCTGTAAAGGCACCGTACCGCGCAGTATGTATAAGTGTTGCCTGCAGAAAAGATGCTGGTGAAGAGTAAAGCATTCACAACGTGAGGCAAGCCGCCGATGCCCATATTTGTCATGGCGATGACGTATGGGGAGGCCGCGGCCGTCGAAGAACCTTCGCCGGCGATATGGATGCGTCGCAACTCCGGGTCCTTGTAAGGGAGAATAATTCCTACAGCAAGGGCGCTGCTAATGAAGAAAATGCCAAAGCGAAGGTAAACAGTCTTAAAAGCGGTCTTAAGGTAAATACTGGGGTGTTTGGCCTCTGCTGCAATCATCGAGATATAGTCTAGCCCCACAATGATGAAGACTACTATAACGAGAGCCCCTAGGAAGCCCTCGAACTTCCCGAGCGCTCCGGTGGAACTGAAACTTGCAAAAGCTCCAGGGTTACTCCAGTAGCGGAAGCCGTATGCGTCGTCCTGGGGGTTGCCTCCGATCATTGTGATGAAGGTGAAGGAAAATAGCATGAACATAAGGACGACCTTGCCCCTGAGAGCCAGAACTCAGCCTCTCCAAAAATGCCCACGGCCACTACGTTGAGCAGACTAATCATCGAGCAATTATTAATATCTCAAGTTCTTTCTGGGTGCTTATGAAGGTGTTTGAGTTTGGTAACTTACCCGTATGAGATGATCACACCCAAGCAGAACCCAGCAGTTGGACCAGCTTCAACGATATTTGGTGCCCAGAACGACACCACGACATTCAACGCCACAATCTCAAACGGAATCAAGAGAGCCTCGTAGAAGAAGAAGTTCCATCCAACCATAAAGCCAAGAGCCTCATCAACCCAAACACCGGCAAGCCGGATAAATCCTCCTGCAATAGGCATATAAGTTACCATCTCAGCAGCTGAGTTGTTAATTAGAGATATAAGACAGCAGTAGAGACAGTAGCAGAGGAGGAGACTCCCTGGCCCTCCTTTAGCTAGGCCTCCGCCGATGCTGATGAAAAGGCCTGTGCCTATCGTTCCTCCAATAGCGATGAGCTGAATATGGCGATTATTCAGGCGGCGATGGAGACCATTTCCGCTAAATGAGGTGGCCTGTATGGCCTGTTCGTGGTGTTCAGTCTCGATATCGTTGATCGTGGCGCTTTCCGCATGCTCGTGAAAGCGTTTTTCAGAGTTGATAGCCATTGCGCTTGAGAGGACGTCCAAGAAGAAAATTGGGTTCTTGTACAATGAGAGACAAAAATATTATGAAGAGGTGGTGCGCCTTGAACGTATAGCTCTTTCCAAAACGAAGGAAAGATCACAGAACCGTGTACTTATATAGAGAAGCGAACAGACTCTAGACATGGCGAGCCAACGACATACTAAGGCATGAGGGATGCTTCCTTGGAGCTCTCCTTGACTATACAATCTGGCAATTGACTGACAGCTAAGAATTCAACGTATAGCTGTGATTGGCCCCCCGCATTCACGGACTGGAACTGGGGCCCAAACTCAGAGACCCCGGATTCCTGGACAAGCATCATCGCCGGACCGTGCCCACCAAGCATCATTCGATAGCCTTAGTGGGTACGGTCCGGCGAATGTCGCGCTTCCACTCTTAAAAATCACTGGTAGCCGATCTGGCGCTTTGGGATCACCTTTACAGGCTGCCCCCGAATTACTTGCGACAGTGTGAGGCACCATGTTCAAGGCCTCCAAAGAATCGAGAACAGCTCTGCACCGCGTGCTCCATCTCGGTCTGGCTGCAGGCAAGCCTGGGGAAGTTTACTACCCGTAAGCTCCATCCCGACTTTTGAGAGTGATTCAATGACCAACACTGATTTCACCGGCAGTCTACAGCTCAAGGAGTCTGATAAGCCTGTCCCTGGAGAACATGAGGTCCTCATCCGGCTCAAAGCAGCTGCGCTGAACCATCGCGATCTCTTCGTTCGGCATCATCAATACCCCGCCATATCCCTCGATCATCCCATGTTATCGGACGGTTATGGAGTGATTACTGAGGTTGGGAGAGGTGTTTCTAATAACTCACTCCTCGGGGAAAACGTCCTCCTAACACCGATGCGAGGCTGGATATCTGATCCAGCTGGCCCAGAGGACCCTGAAAAATGGTCCATTACCGGATCAACCCGTCTCTATGATGTGGGCACAGCGCAATACTATGTTTGCGTTCACCAGGACGAGGTTGTTCCGGCTCCGCAACACCTGTCTGCCATGGAGGGCGCAGCTCTACCACAGGTAGGACTCACAGCATGGCGGGCATTAGTTACCAAGGCTGCTATCCAGCCAGGACAGAACATTCTAATTACAGGTATCGGAGGCGGCGTTGCTCTCTCAGCCTTACAGTTCAGCGTGGCTATGGGCGCCAACGTCTTCGTTACATCTGGTAGTCGAGAAAAGCTCGACAGAGCTAGGAACTTGGGTGCACAAGGCGGTGCAATCTATAAAGGGGGAAAATGGGAGGCAGATATTCGCGATCAGCTTCCGTCATCGAGGCCCTTCATCGATGCTGTTATTGACGGAGCAGGCGGTGATATCGCTATCAAAGCTGTAAAGCTTCTCAAACCTGGTGGTGTCATTGTACAATATGGTATGACCGTCTCCCCAAAGATGAACTGGACTATGCCGGCTGTTCTTTTGAATGCAGAATTAAAGGGAACCACGATGGGTTCCAAGCAAGAGTTTCGGGATATGGTCGCCTTCGTCGATCGCAAGGGGATTCGACCAGTGATCAGCAGAACAGTCCAAGGTCTGAGCAACCTCATGGACATTGATGGCCTCTTTGATGATATGAAAGTTGGACGTCAGATGGGCAAGCTCGTTATTGAAATAGAGGATCCAAGCAGTCCCAAGATCTAGAATTATTCAGACGGTAGATCAAGTACCATGACATTCATCTCCCGGATTATTGCACTCTATTTACTTATCTATTTGAGAGTGACATGCGTTCTCATTTGACTTCTTGCTTAATATCAAAGTTGGTAATTATTGCCAAAGACTATCGCAACTGATAAATAAACCTTTGAGTAAGTACCTATAAAATACCTAAAAATAATAATTTATAGATATAAGAAAATATATTCTTTATTTGCATTTCAAGCTTAACATTGAAATAGATGGAGCTGGCCTTGTTAAATCCTGATCATAGCTTGATGCTATCACAACTACACAAGCGAAAAGCCATCACGTTCATCTACCATTGATCTAGTGTATTCACATGTAAAAAGCTCATAACTAATAGCAGTCGCAAGAAAATAGCCACTCTATACTCCCACATACTCCCCCATAAAAAGCTCTATATACAAGAAGCCTTTTCTATCGCCACGTCATCGCAGCACTGTCGCGATAGCAGTTAGGCTCTGGCGCGGATGAGAAGTGCGGTGACGCGTTAACGTCACTCAGCTGGACAACCGGCTTCAGCACTTTAAGTTCACCCCAGTCACCTTTCAAGGTAGACATACAAGGTGAGTCTTCTCCGAAGTACTTCGGCATCGCTTGACCCCATGCCTTAAGTACCACGTCCAACAGCTCAAGTACAAAGAGGTTAGGGCCAGTTTCGTTCCAACCGAACTTCTGGTTACAGTCCTGTACCATATCTGGTGAGTATAATCCGACCTCAGGACTTAGATGGAGAGCAGCCGCGGCCATGAGGGAAGCAAACACGTGATAGGAGCCGCCTTGGCGTGCACGATCTCTGATGGCCATCATAGTGCCGATGCTTCCGATCAAACCTGTGAGCATATCCGGCACAGGCAGAGCGGGTAGGACACATGTTCCGTCTTTATGTCCCAGGCTTCGCCCGGTAACATAAGAACACCCACAAGCAGCATCAGCAATTTGTTGCCAGCCAGGTCGCTGGGCCATAGGTCCATCTGGCCCGTAACAGTTCTCCTCCACATACACGATGCCCTTGCCTCTCTTGCCAGCTATTTCTAGGAGATTATCAAGGCTCAGCCCCTTCTGGGCAATCACTCCTGGCCTGTAGCCTTGGATGAAGACGTCTGCATCTGTGACCAATCTGAGTAGTTGCTCTACCTCATCATCTTTAGCCAGGTCAACGTCCACAGTTCTGACGCCAGCATTCAGCGTCAGTTGAAGTGACTATTAAATGTTCTTAGCTTCAATACATTTTTGATAATTATAGTTACAAGAAACGACAAAAAAATGGCAAAATTCTATGAAATGAAAGATGCTTGAGGACATATAAGAGGGTAAGAATGGCTTACATTGAAGTCAGGGAGGCGGCCGCAGTTCACGCGGATCACATCCGCTCCAAGAGCAGCCAAGGTCGTTCCCATCACGGGGCCTGCAATAATACGGACAAGCTCCACGACCTTGATACCGGCCAGGGGCCTTTTGTCGGCAGATACTGGCAACGGAATGGCTGGTGTAGGGACTGTATGTGTCTGCTGCTTGTAGTTGATAAGGGGGTGCTTAGACAAGTCCTTGGCCATGCGTGTCTGTTTCCATCCAGCCGGAGTATAGCAGATACTTCCACAAAGGCCTTGAACGAAGTACATCATCTCCAGCTCATGCGCTCCAAACTTGCGAACATGCTCGGCAATGACTTGATAGGCCTCATCGTTACTGCTGCACTCTTGTGATGGGTCTATGCCAATGGTCTGCAGTACCGGATCTGCGCCTAGAGACCCATGTAACTGAAACCAAACGCCTTCATCCTTGGTCTCGTAGTTTGCCGTAGCGCGCAATTTTAGTGGCGTTCCGAAGATGTCTCCTTCGAGATCTTTAGGGAAGATGGCAGCTAACTTACCATCCCTGGCGATCTCCCGGACAGTCTGGCCGTTTCGCTTGGTCATGCCCACGCTTCCGAGCCAAAATGCAGCATGGTCGGTATCGATAGACACAGTCCGGCTGGAGCTTTGGCCGTCTCTGAGCTCCAGGAGCTCGTTAGCAACTATGCCGCTCATAGCATGCAAAGCCCCAGCGATCACGGCCGATTTTAATGGGCCGGGGACAATTGTGTGAGGGGAACCCATGAAAGATACAGTGTCCAGAACGGCAGGATCTTTGGTGAATCCCGGCGTCGCTTCCGCCAGCACCTTGAGAAGTCGACGTGCATCATCAGGCACTGGCGGTGCCTCAGAGTCAATCCAGGAACCTGGTCCGTAAATATCAGCGCCCGAAACTATCCGCGCCATTGGTAATGTTTGACGAATAATTTAGGAATAATGAGTGGAAGATTTGAATACGAACAAATTATGTCAACCAGTCAAAGAATGCTGACTCTGTGGATTCACCTTATCAAGTGGCCAGGTTTAGTAGAGCGACTTTTGTAGTCCTGTCTTATAGACATTATTTCTGACATGGTTACGAACCAGAAAGTATGTGCGGCAATTCCTTCATGAAGCTGCTATCCGCATTGAGCTATTCGGCTCAAGGGTTTTCTCTTTGTGGGGAGAGTGGGCACGGTCCGTAAGTAATTCGGTTATCAGAAGATGTCCAGTATGCATTTACCGAAATTGAGATACTCCCAGGGTGGCTTTATATACTTGACGATGTGCCATTGAACGCATTAGGCATCGAAAACGCACCCCTTGCATTAGTGCTGTGGACTGAGTTTTCTGAGATGGCTGACGGCTTCAACATAATGACAAAGATTAAGAATTCGGATTATTTCTAAGATAGCATAGCAGAGTAGTGAGAGAAAGTTTCATCAGTTTAACATGGCACGAGGTAATTGTAGAGGATTGCAGTAGTTATTATGGGATCAATAGCTAGGACTAGGTCACTTTGGCCCCTCATACCTTCTCCTACAAGAAATTGATTTTAAAAGAATGCTATGCAGTTTTGAACCTGTAAATGATATCTTCGAAACTTGCTTCTGGAAAGACATACAGCCATTTGAGTGTCTCGTTGGGCCCGCAGAAGGCACCGTGCATCGCATCCCCGGGAATCCAAAGCACGCTACCCTCCGTCACATGGTGCCTGACCCCGTCGATCTCAACTTCCCCAGACCCCGCAAGCACGTAGTATATCTCTGCCTGAGAATGCTGGTGTAGAGCGAGTGTCCCGTTGGGGGGACAAGTCGCGATCCCCGCGCACATCGAGTCCGAGCAGGTGCTCGGCTTGGAGAGAAGTGTTTGCCAAGTTACATTGCCATGTTTCGCATCCGGGAACGAGCTGAGCGCCGTCTGGCTGACTTGAGTTCCGTCTAGGATCACTGGTGACAGCTTGTGCGATATCGCGCCGTTGCTGTCAAATTAGAAACCATGTTAGCTTTTCGAGTTCTGGTGTTTTTATAAAGGCTCAAAACAGTTATTAGTTATAACAAGCCGCGAAGACGAGCTCTTATTGCTCGAGATACTTACATAGAGTGTTCCATTCCTGCGTACTCTGTAGCTAGTTGATATTCTTGGTGGTTTGAGTGAAGGAATTAATTCTACTATTCTTTTCGAGTATCTCGTTAAAAATATATCAATTTTAAAATATCGAGGTCTATAAAGTTCTTCACTCGTACTTTTCTATGTGATGGATTGTTGCAACTATTGCAGCTGATCCGGATTGCGTACGAAACCGAAACCCGAGATAAACATATAGACATGGTCTCGAACTCGGGGAAGTGGAGACGGTCCGGCTCTAATTCTCATGCCATCTCCGCATGGTTACGAAGTCTATCTCCTTGCGTCTAAGCCTAAAATGGGCATTTTTTACGGGCATGCAGAGGGGCGTTATAAGATTCCTGGATCAACTTAGTTGGCCCTGGCGGTCCGGATTTTGACCGTGACCTGGCCTGGCCGGAAACAACTCATCGACTCCATCTACCCTCAAGCATCCGATCCGTGTCTTACTATGCGATGGGGAGTAAAGCCGATGCCTACTTTCCAGTGCAGCGCATTGCCCAGGCATGCCTACAATGCCGGTACGCAATTGATACCCCCCTTTGTGCGCACTCGCGCTTTGGCCCGCGACAGCTGATTAGGGAAGACGAAAAAAATGCCGGTGCACTGGCGATCGACCTGTCTGCGGACAATGCCAACGACTCAACATTGGTAAGTGATGCTTGGCATGTCAACCTTGTCGGACTTGAGTGTAACGGAAGAAGACTGTGTATATCCTGTCGAAGCTTCTCGGCGGCAGGCTCCTAGGCAACAAAGGCCCCGCTCGGCGAGCATCGACGACCCCGACCTTTCACGACAACCCTCCGAGTCAAGCGACGCACAGGTATGTATTAACTCCATCTTCAATACTTAACAGTGGATTAAAGCCTACATGTTAGACTTCAGAGATCGTTAGTAGGATTGGAACACTTGAAGCAAAGATCGAGTCGATGGGATCGAGTCTGCAACGGTGAGGTTGAGTCCCAACAGTAAGGAATCATGATACTAAACAGCGTGGTAGGATTGAAAGATGTCTCGTTTCGCTATTAGATAGCAGTAACCTGGGTGGTATGGGGCTACCAGCATCTTCCGGGCATCCAGAGAGCAGCCCAAGGACAGGGTTCGAGACTGCAGAGCAAGGCACTACGTTCCAACCTTCACCACAAAATGATCCTGCGATCGAGGACTTTGGAACACCGGAGGATGTGCTTATGGCAGTCATTGATTCATACTTTAGTTACTGCCAGAATCAGCCCTACTCGTTCTTTCATGAAGAAACTTTCCGGCAGGGTTTGTCCCAACACACTATCCCTAAACATCTAATCCTAGCCGTCATGGCGACTGCAGTTCGGTTTTGCTCGCATCCGTACTTTTCGGGGCGCGCATTAGAGATATCTGTCGAATATGCGAACAGGTCTTGGAAACTCATTGTGTCGGACTGTTTTACCGTCGGCAAGGTGGCGGAGGTATCCACAGTCCAGACAGTCGCCTTGCTAGGCTTGTTCGACTTTACTGGTACGTTTTTACATTCTCTAGCGTCCGAGGTACGACCATAATGGCCATTTTGTCTCACACTTTATCACGCGTATAGCCGGTCGATTACGCCATGGCTCAGCGTGGGTCAAAGTCGGCCTGGCCGTCAGGATCGCACAGGATTGTGGGCTCATGCTAGAGAACGCAGCGCATCTCTCGTATGCGGAACAGGAAGAGCGACGACGGGTGTTTTGGTCAGTCTATCTATTGGATCGCTTGGTCTCCTGCGGCCGTGGTCGACCACCAGCCATCGTTGACGCGTCGTGCCACCTACAGCTGCCGTGTGACGAGTCAATCTGGAGGGAGGGCCTATGGGCCAAAACACAATCGTTGGACGAGATGACAAACCGAACCCTTTCAGTATCTCGACGCCAATGCCCTTTGGCACAAGTTATTGCTATTGCGCAGATCCTCGGCCGATGCGCACAATATGTACTTCAAGACTTCAACATCAGAGGCCCACATCCACCTTGGGATCCTGGCTCGGATTTTGCCGGCATTGAATCCGATCTTCTCCATTTCGAAGCGTACTTGGAGATACAGAGACCAATTGATGAGATACTCGCACCCTATATTTTGGTTGGCGGGGTAGTAGACAGCCAGTCCTCAGGCCCGATTATCTTCTCTCGAGCATTATTTCATCTCTGCTATTGTCTGCTAAATCATCCCTTCTTATTACGGCGCCGCATCAACACATGCCGAAACCTTGCGCCTATCAGTTTTATTAAGAGATCATCTGACTTGGCCTGGCTTCACGCACAGCAGATGATGGCTCTTATCCGTGAGGTGCGCAAGTTAGGCTGCTCGTTTCACTCCTCATCCAGCGGCTATGCGGTGACAGTCGCGGGCTCCATTATCGCGTTACGGACCCATGACGAGGATTCGCCAACTTGCGAAGAGGCTCAAATACTGCTTAAAGAGGCCTTGGCCTATCTGGATATCATTGGCCAGCACTGGAGTAATGTCAGAACAATGGTGACGTGCTAGATTTCAGCTTTCGCGTTCTTTGTACACTAATGATTATCAATAGGCCTCGACACTTCGCCAGATAGTCTACGATGGGTTCTCAGGGCGCCACCTGAATAGCCTCACCCAAGGTTTGAGCTTCACGCCTTCCAAGGAAGAAGCTATGTGGGCCCTGGTCGACTATAATACAATGTCAAACCAACTTAGCGAAGATGCCCAAATGAGTGGGCAGGAATCAGATGGTCTAATGCCAAATTCGTGGATCGATTTGTTTGGTCCCATTGACTATGCTTTGCTATCTAATTTTAATGCGGCAGCTCAAGAGTAACAGTTAATGGGAATTGAGGACCATCGTCAGAGGTAGCAAGCTGTATCAAATTTTCATAGTGGATCTGTATACATGCATTGAAGCTATCAGGGCTCCGCCATGCTAGATTTCCACCTTGAAACGAGGTACAAAGTTACAGTTTTCCGCCTTCGCTAATGACCACCTTATGCATGCTCGATAGGAATTCCACGGTAAGTGGGTTACAGCTTGGAGCTCTGCACAGTGGAGCCCAGAGAATCAAGAGCCTCGTATATGACACTGAAGTCGCGGTCTCCGAACTCCTTGGACTTGGCCAGCGGCCTATACGTCTCCTCGACGCATCTTCCTACCGCGAGAGGGACATTGGCCTCTTCAGCAGCCGACACAGCGAGGGCAAGGTCCTTGTGAGCCAACTTGGTAACGAAGCCGCCCTCGTAGTTCCGATGAGCTGGGGGGCTAGAGTCTCCGGCCTTGACCCCAGGAACTGGGTGATTGATCTAGACAAGAACATCAGCGCATGCTCTTACTGGAAGATGCCGATCCGCTAGATGCGAGGCCGTTTGAAGACCTACTTCACTAGACCAGCAACGCCCCGTGGAGTTGTTAATAATATCTGCAAGTACTTGCGGATCAACTCCGAGTCTTCTTCCCAATAGCATCGCCTCACTTGGTTTCATTAGCCTCTACTTTCGAGCATCTGGGGGTTCTAACTGTTTCCTAACTCACCTCAGGCCAAGCATGGTGATACCAAGTAGAAGACTGTATATCATGGCGAGTGTCTGCGGTCAGTAATTGTATCGAAATCGGCCGGTGGAGGGGCGATGCACTTATTAGAGATCTTCGCGGCAAGTCCAGCCCCGAGGTCACCACAATATGTGACCTTGCGAGCCATGGATTGCAGGACGGGAACCGAGCGATGGTAAGAGGTCTTGGATCCGCCAACCATGATAGCCAATGTGCCTTTTTCAGCACCAATTACACCTGTACCGTCGTGGATTAGTGGTGATGGTAGAAATGGGTCGCTCGGCTCTTACCTCCTGAGACTGGGGCGTCCACCAGATCTGCGCCGACTTGTCGCATTTGCAAAGCAACCGCATTGCTGACACTTTGCTCAATGGTAGACTGATCAATGCAGAGAGTATCTGCGCGTTGATCCTGACTCATAGCTTTGAGAGCGCTCAGGACACTCTTACCTTCGCCAACGTACACTTCCTGGACGTGCTTTCCGGTGGGAACCATAGTGATAATGGTAGAAGCTTTCTGTGCTACATCATAAGGTGCTGTAAGGCGTTAGCGGTGCCACTCACATACATGAGAAATCTTATCCTATGGTGCATACTTACAGGAGCAACTAATGAGAGACACACCGGGGTGCTCAGAGTCGTGGCGTTTAATGATACTGTCTACCGGGGCCTGGTTTACATCACACAATGCGAAGCCGACGTCCTTTCCACTAGCCGGGCTCCTGTATCTCGAGATAAGGTTATTAAGCTAGTCGGGTTAGATCCCCTTTCGTAGAATCGAATTGAATTTGCAAGAGCTGACCATATGACTGCCCATGGCGCCGAGGCCGATGAACCCGATTGTATTAGACCTCCCAGTTGATGAAGCGATGGCGGATGTTGCAAACGAGTTTCCAGTCCCTACTGGAAAACGATAATGGGGTAAACCCCAAGCACTGGCACCTCCTCGCTGAGCACGAGAAAAGCTCGCGCCAAGGCTCATTTGTCGGAGAGTGTTATGGGCATGCATAGTGACTAGTAAAAGCTGGCACGCAGAAACAGCGACCAGGAATGGAGTAAATGAATATTTTGCGGATAGTCTAGAAAATCTCTCTAGGATCAAAGGACGAGTTCAAGATGGTTTTTGAATACGCGGCGCAGGGTCACCAACCTCAAGCTGACTTTGGCATTAGTATGTTTCCATTGCCGGCGCGCTTGGGTGGAGCCGGTCCGGCCTCCGGCTTTAGTTCATCGAACCCTCACAGCAGACCAGACGTTTGTTTCACCGAGGTTAAGGATATTCATTACGGTAGTCATGACTATCCTAGAAGAAGAGAAAAATATGCAAAGAGCAGATCAGAGGCCTGCAACAGGGGGAAGTCTTATCTCTGTATATAAAGCTGCTTTACTAAATAGGAACTTGGGCGATATAATGCTATTATATCCCTGATAACTTGGGAAAATGCTAAGCCAATAAGTAGTCTATTATCTGACTGGCTTATGCAAAATAGCCTCGGTTCGCTGGACTGTTCCATTTGTCTGGCACTCGATGACCCTGGCTACTCGATGCGGGCGGCCAGGACAGGATTTAGTTGTCTCTCAACCAACAGGTAATTTCCCAAACCCCATATCGACTTGACGGCGAGACAATGGTTCGACCTATAGCTCCCCGAGTCCTCCATCATTAAAACCCAGGCTGCACTGTAATCCGAACCAAATTCGAGCCTCTTCTCATACATTTTGTCGCCAACTTCAACCTGGCGTTGCTCAAAGTGATGCCGCTGAAGGAGCAGAAAATAGATCAGAGTCTCAACAGGCTGGGGGTTGAGGCTGTTGGTTGCTCATGGCCCCACCTTACCTGATGCCGTTACCAAATTTTATGCTGTTGGTCAGCCTCTCGTGACAGCGCTAGGAGCTATTGGCCCGCGGCTGTGTCTAAGAATCTTAATTGGTTATGTTGAGTGATTTTTAATAAGCGTGACTTATCCTGAGTTCAAAAGTGCAGGGTAGTAATTAGCAACAGCTAATAATAACTATTAATAGTACTCTGGCGCTTTAAATTCATAAGGTGCTTATAAGATCAGGCGCGTAGCAGGAACCATCCACCTTATTACAAGTTACGGCAATTAGATATTAGGAATAAAAATAATAATGTTGCCGTTAAGTATTAGCGCCTTAAATTAAGAATTAATTCAGAATCAACTTCTTATAATTACCCGAGGTTCACTGACTGACTCTCTATCTAACCGCCCAACATGGGTACCAGTCAGTGGGCGATGTTGGTTGTATTGAGGGCTGTACGGATAATGGTGGCCTGGCTTGCATCTCGCCCAATAATTACCCCTGTCCAACGACACCTCGTTAGCTCACAGGATCAGGTGTTATTTCGTTTTCGTAGCAAAAGGGGCGTCGACGAATTATTTCTACCTCTGTCATCCCCACTCGAACTGATCACGTATTTGCCCGTGGATAATACTCACCGTCAGCAACCATGACAACACAGGTTCCAGATCTCACAACAACCTTCACACCCGCCAAGTCATGCTTCCAGTATTACAAGTATAGATATACAGGCGATGAACTTACATGTCTAGATGGCGGCACCGGTGCGCCCAGCGCGTGCACTTACATGCAGTTGGGTCCCTCAGGGAGCAACGCCGACTGCTTCCCAAGCAGCTTAGAACTCGGTTCAACCTTTTACTACTCCCCCGGTATATGTCCCAGCGGATTCGAAGTTGCATGTAGTTCGACATTCGGCGGCGAGACGAGAGCGACATGTTGTCCAAGGTACGAAGCTAATGGCTGTTGACGGCTCATGCTGACAGTGATCCAGTTCATTTAGTTGTCAAACAGAGACAGACTGGCCTTGGTACAGCACTGATCTTTGCACCATCGCGCTCCCAAGTACGGTCGAGGTAATAGTTTCTGAATCAGTTATTGGAGGAGACTGGAAAAGAACTACTGTTAGCGGAGCTGCAGCTAATGCTATTGGTATTCCCATCCGATGGCATTCCTCCGATTCTGCATCCACCACGACTGGAGCCAGGACTTCTGCAACCGGTAGCGCAACTGAAACGATTTCTTCTTCGACTGGCACTTCTTCGAGTGATTCTTCGTCGGATAATGGGAGATTGAGCACTGGAGTCAAGGCAGGCATTGGAATTGGCGTTGGAGTTGCAGCTCTTGCTGGATTTGCCGCATTAGGCTGGTTTGTGCTTCGAGCGAGGAGGGTTAAGCAGGCAAATACCGCCGCTACAGCTAGGGTAGAAGAGGCTAAGGAACCTCAGATGCAGCAGCAACAGCACCCATGGGAGCTTGATAGTCACGAGGCTATGTCCCCGGCGGAGCTACCATCGGAAAGTGTGAGTTATATTGGGTATAAATAGAGTAGGTAGTATTAGGGAATTAAAGTATTAAAGAATAGAGTTTTTTCTATCTTATATAAACTTTGGGGTTGAAAGCCCAGAAGTCGATCATCTGTTTTCCATGTGTACTAATGACTTGGAGGCTCTGACAGCTAGACTATGTCGGGCGAGGAGTTGGGGCATTCTGAAAGGGTAATCTAGACTCAAGGAACAATCAAGTAAGAATGAAGGTAGGAAGATTTCGAATGAAGTATTGTTACAAAGAATTTTTAAATTATGGCTTAAATGTAGAATCCATGCTTCCAATTGACGTGAACCAAGAGTAAGCTTATCAAGACGTGAGCAGTTGATCGTCCTGGTCTCTCACCAATCAGTCACATGATATCATCGAGACAGGATGACGTTCTGAATGATACGAGATGGGATATGTAGATAAGAAATGGCCGTAAACGGGTCCAGAAGGGGTTCCAGAGCACAATCTGTTCCAACCGACAATCATCCTGGATAAAAATTGCCCATCTCCAAAATTGACTAGACTCATATTTGCACTCTGAAACCACGTAAACACTCCTCTTGTGTGCCACAATCGCTGATCTGGCCGGATTTCGATGCGTCTGTCTCGTTGGCGCTCTGCTCCAAGCGGGCAGTGCATTTGGTGCCGGCTGACAAGCAGTCGTGGCGGGACCAGGTGCAAAAGAACTTATACGAGCCATTGAACCTTTTACGTCTCTGCATTGGTCTGGCCTTGCTGGTGTTCTTTCTATGGATGCATTTCGGACAAAGCGACAGAGGCCTGGCTTGGTTCCGAATAGATCAAGGGCCAATGTACCATTTTCGTCTATTTGTGTCGCTATGTTGCTTATCTGGAGCGCTCTTAATGCCAGTGAGTAGCTAGCAGCATTAGATGCCTCTCTTGTTCGAGAATCTGCAGCTGGTAATAAGTGACTGATGCAGATCTTAAACCATCATTTTCGTATTTTTGTCATGCTTTCGTAAGTCTTTTCGACTGCTTATCCATCGCTTCTAAGTGAACCTTTGTGACAGGATTCCGAATATCAATAAAGACCCTTTCCACTTCGCTCAGCAAGAACGGCCCTGGATTACAGGGTGTATGATCAACCCCATCAACCTTACCAATGTCATGGACCACCAACACTGTCATCTTACGACGCAGGCCAACGATACTATCCATCACATCTTCCGCCTCAGGTAAGGGCCACAAGCCCCCTCGCGCGAGACAAAACGTTATCGAACCCAGAATCATGGATTCACAGCGATGCGGCCCCATCCACTCTGCATGTCGACACCAGCGGGGCTTCTCATCAACGACGAGTAAATCGTTGACGAGCTTTCTAATGACGTCTAGAAGTGCTTGGATGGTCATGAGACGAATTGCGGATATTCGTTCTTGAATCTAGATCAGTTGTTGTCCTGTTGATATGCGGCAGAAACTCACCTATAATGTCCGGCTGCATTCTGAGATTGGGATCTTCGGAACCGTCCGATTCCATGAGCATTCTTCTTGCTATTCTGCAAAAGGAGTCTTTCCGGCCAAATTCCCATGCTATCCATAGGCCCTTAGCCATAGACACCTTCGACGCCTTTGCGTTATCCTCTACCGAAGACATCCATCTTCCTATCCAAGGTTCCAGCATATGTGTGCCATCGTAGTAGTTTGACGACACCGTAAGGTCGTACAGGTCGTCTATCGATAACGTTCTGGGTACCTGATCGAATTGGCCATGTGATATGCGTAGAAAGATGGATAATGCTGTCGGCTTGTCCTCTGGGAGTTTCACAACCCAGTCTTCACCATTTGTTGTTTTCGACTCCATGAATAACCCAAAAAGCATACGCTCAAAGACTGGCGATGTTCTAGCCAAAGCTCTTGAACAGGCTGTAAAGGTGACGGGGTCTGTTTCCCCGACACAAAGTTTGATATCGCCACGTGGGTCGAACACGATGTTTCCTGGAGACATTGGAGGAGGGTCTGCGGTGCTGTTAATCTAGAATGAGCGGATTTAACACAAGGTCGCAATTTTATACAATGATCATCACAGGCCTCCCAGAAATCAGTATTAAATGATGAAAATTTAGCCTTGACTAAGAATAGAATTTTGCCAAGAGAATTATCAGGGGCAACTAAACGGTCGAGCCAATGGCCTCAGCCACAGAATGGCCGGGTAGGCGTAGGGCGAGCGGTTTAAACGAAATAGCTATAAATAGAAGATACGAGCGTGGCTGAGGTGGTTTTGCCAATTCGGCCCGTGAATGAGTCCGAAGTTTCCGACATCTAAAAAGTAAGCTTAATGTTATTGTTTGCTTTGACGGCATTAATTTGATGATTAATGGGAGCGATTTTGGCTAAATACTGCAGTCTCGTTATCAGGTTTGTCCTATCTTATCTTATCACATCTGATGCTAAGTTCATTTAGTCCCCTTGCATTTTCTCTAGTGCTGGTTCGGAGAAAACCGAAAGAACAGGAGGTCAAGCGCACTAGGTAGGGCAAGTGTTCCCAAACCTTTATCATCGCAATCCAACTGATCCTCATTATCGGTATTCTGGTATGCTCTTATCGATACAGTCCCTCAAAGACTGGCTCAAAGACGGTCTAGGTTTACAACAGTAACTATAGAATTACCCTACATATCTCAGAAGCTGTTGGCGCTAACCGTGTTTGTGTGGCATAGTGCAGCTTCAGGTCTATGACGTAGTGCTCCAACATTCTCTTTCCACCGTATTTACTGTCTCTCATGCTTAAACACGACCATAAATGCGTCTCAGATATCACGATGGCTGACTTTGCGGCAAGGCGACAAGAAAACATCAAGCAAAATGAGATGCTTCTCAGTGAACTCAAGAATCCCGTACCCAAGGTCGATTCTCAATCCAAGCCTGCCAGCAGAAGCGTTAAACGTAAGACCAGTTCACCACACATGCCTACAAGGCAGTCCAGGCGCATAGCGGAAGCCAGCACAAAACCGAGTTACAATGAAGATCGAGATGATGTATCCGTATTACAGACATCCACCAGAACTACCAAAAAGAGTCGAACAATCAACAACAACGTTGTGCAATCAACAAGTTCAAATCCTGAATCAAACACTCAAAACTCCAGAGACGTCAAGTCTATCATGGACGGGTGGATAGGATGGAAACCAGAAGCTGACGAGCCGACGCGCGATGCTTCTGGAGCGTTTCATTTTGATTCCAATCCTGATTTCCGGCCCAACAAATCCCCAGAAGAGATCATCCGCGAGGGAAGTTTTGGCGGCTCCTACTGGCGGCCTTTATTCTCCAAACATCTTGGAGTCACTATACAAGATGATTGGAGAGAGCTACCATCCTCATGGACTGCGGGCTTGAACGTGGAAGAATATCTCACCAGCGACGCATACAACCCTGAGATAAATAAATACGGCGTCGCATGCGGGCAAAGAATTGAAGAATGGGAAGCAGCTGGCTGGATCGCCCATGAGTACGACGTTCGGGGCTGGTTTCAATGGTATTGTCGCTTTTGGATGGGCCGTCGATGTTCTGATGACGAGCGCCAGATCAGCCGTTGGAAGAAGTGTGTTGGCGAGACGGGTCGTTGGCGACGGATATTGCTGAAAAAATACGTGACTTTGGGGATACGAACGGTATTCGCAGACGATGGTAGAGAAGAAGATGATGTTGATGTGAGCCCTGCAGTGCATCAGACGTGCCACCACTGGGCATATGAAGTTCGACAAGACGCTTTGGAGAGATTCTGGGCTGACGGGAAATGACATGCATTATCACAGATAAAGACTTAAGAGTTCATATTCATTGATTGCTTGTGATCAAAAACACCTTAATACAAAATGAAATTAAACTTCGTGACATAAATCGTGAGTCATTAGGTTTCCAAGCTATCTGTAGTATTCCAATCCATTTTCCGTAGGATCTTACATAAAAGTCCGTACGACGATTGAGCTCCCCGCGATATTACCCGCAGTTCCTTCAGTATCGTAACAGCCTCGTTAACTGCAACAACTACTTTGTTCCGCTGAGGGAAGCTCCTCGTTTGATCCCTTTGCAGAGACATGGATAAGAAAGCGGCAGTATCAAAGAGACACAAAACGACAAGATGAAATTGCCCATCACCTTGTGAGACCCGAGATGCCCATTGAGTTGCGATTTGCAACGTCTTCAGAGAACACTCTACCGCTTCCGCTCGTAACTGTTGTATCTCGGGTAGAGACAAGTCTGTTGATGGATGCAGTAAGTAGGTTTTATATGGCTGGAGAATCATGAAGTACGCCATTGTCTGGATATAGTAGCGATGCGTCACGACCCATGGCCACTCAGCATCTTTCGAGGTGTCTGGGTCGCTTAGAGCAAATACAGCTGGCAGAGAGGATATATGATCTTCCACCATCTTCTTGTAATCCCGGACCATGGATGGCGAGTTGATATTCTGCGGCGTTTGCCAGCGCTTGGCAAGAGAAGATATGAGTTGGTATTGAAGCTTTGTATGAAGTGTTGGTGTTGGCGCTGAACTCTTCAGGTCAGGTAGTTCAGGCTCCGAATCGATGTCATTCATGATGAACGGCCGACCTAGGATGGACGACAATTGCCTGAGCGATGTTAGCCCTTGAACGACTCGTCATCTTGCTCTCCAGTTTGCACGTACCAGTTCCAGCAGTATAACACGCGCCAGGCTCGCCGACCAATCTGCACCTCAATATCCTGTGTCACCTTGAAGTGTCGAGACTTGTGTAGTCCTGCATAGATAAGATGTTCAGTAGGAGCTTGGGTGTCCTATCCGTGTTATTGACTTACCCAACTCATACGCCTCTTGCACGGCGAGCCCAATTGTGTGCCAGGCTTCAGTGAATTTTGCTTCGCCTTTGAACCAACAGATAGAAAGGACTTTCCACTGAAGGTTAGTCAGATGGTAGGACCCTGCTGGTATGGCCTCGGCAAGCCGTGTTCCAGCATCGTGGTAGGCCTTGGAAACATCCTTTGGAGGTTGGGTCAGATGGATACCCAGAGTTGTTTGGGAATCAGCGTCAAGATGCTGAGTGACGCAAGCGCACATCATGAAGATGAGCGTTGTGAGTTGAAGATCCTGGAGACATGGTTGTGGCGTTCTGCATGACCAATTGATGTATTGCCGTATAAAAGCTGGTGGGTGTATAAAATTGTAATGATGATTGACATTGCTGAAGAATGCTTCAATTAGGGCGTCTTGGAGAATTGTCAGACGTGAAGCAAAGTCAGATTAAGAAATGCTCACCCAATTGAGGCTTGGCAGGGAGGAAGCGGAGTGCACATCGTAATTGCGAATCAGCGCTAGAATCTAGACTTGCAAGGTCATGACTGTCCTGTCAGATACTGTCAGAACTGTCACTACGACTATCTATCTGGCGCGATGAACTGACTAGTGAGTAGGAAAATGCACCCTCATCCGTATGTAATAAATGGCTGAGACCTGTGTTTTCCGAAGAGGGTTCGTAATTGTTATCTTGCTCCTCTGCTTGGACTCGTGAGCGTTTCAGGGTAGGTGTTTTGGTCAGCGGTTTGGTAGACATTTTAGATAAATACCCGGAAGTAATGTTCGACGAAAGTGTAAACTTGGACATCAGTATCGGTTTATGATATAGACAATGGATTCATTTTCGGAGTACAGTAAAAAGTCGGTGGTGGCCGAAATACATCGGCCGAAAGCTTTCGGCATCACGCCCGAAGACAGAGTGCATAAGTGAGATGATACGGCCTCACCAACAGAATGACACACAAAACGGAATCCCGCTCTTTTTTTCCATGTCTCTGGTTAGTTGCTGACAGGGATGCGGTAGCCGACGGAAATAAGAAATGTATTGGCCCAATGGAAGCCCTTGATCCACTGACCTGCATCCATGTCGCAGCCTAGAGGACGATTGGGAAATGATCACCCTGTCAGCTCTCCCTCGACAGCGGGATTTTCAGTGGCACACAAGCATTTTACAGTTGGACAGAGACTCATCACTTCTGAAAGTGTCCTGGTCTCCCGCTGCCCGCTTTTTCAAGCAGATCGGCGCACTGACAAATCTTGATCACGAAGCAGATCATATGTCTCAGCTTTGATCTTTTTATTTAGTCTAAACTCAATATTTACAGCCGGTTAACGCCGAAGAAGTTGTTCCAAGTTGTCGGGCCTGTCAGCCCTTCAAAATGGTAAAATAAAAAACAAACATAAAACAAATAACAAATGATCCAAATAATCTTCTGAATAATGACCCAATAACCAATCTTGACCAACCAGATTGAAGTTGTCTCGCCTGTAGAAACGGCGGATTGACCATCACATCAATCATTCTCGTCCGTCGGATCTCGGGGGCTTGCTTCCCAAAATATCTCCCCGATCGGAAGCTGTTGCATGTGAGCATTTCATTGGTTTCATTTTCGGTGACAATCTCGTACCTCCACGTGATGTTGGCCTGCACAACATTCTGAATGCCTTGAATGTAGCGGGCGACATTTACGTCAATCTCAGGTCCCCAACTTGGCAATTGTTCAATTGCGCTCTGCCAATATTGGTATCTTTCCTCAAGAAGATTCCCGACAGTATCAAATGCCTCTTGTGGAGATTGGCCAGTCATTCGACAAGCTGCAACCATGCTAAAAGGGCAGTCGTCATTCTACGCCACATTAGCTTCCGTGATCTGAAATATTGTATGCAATGGGTCAACTTACCTCTTCCTTCCGGTAGGACAATATGTCGTTGGACCTTATATGTCAATTAGCCAATTAAACGAGAACAAAGAATGGAGCGCTCTCACAGCAAGACAAAGTCCGCACCCAGAAGTTCTAACGTCTGGATAATGGGGTCTTGGAATACTTCATCTGGCAACTTGATGTCATGGGCATATTCGATCAGATGATATAAAGGCGTCACTCCCGATGAAAGCCGCCTTGTCTCCAGCATCTCTTGAATACTAGGAATGCTATTTGTAGAAAATTGCTTCACATGATGGACTACTCCGTCTGTGTATTGCTTCATTGCGAGAGCAAATCTTCTCCGGGCACCTGGAACTATTAGCAAGGTCCATATGGCGATCAAGTCACTGAAACTTGCCAGAGGTTGAGCCCTATGAAAATAGTATGTCAGATCTCGATAAACGCCATGTCATAGAGCTGGACCTACCTGTGAGACTCTTCGAAAAATGTCGTCATGAGCCTGGACTACAGCGCTCTTTGTTCTGGTATAAGTCTTGTCTAGCATATCTGCCATGAGACTATCGATGACAACCTGCGACTGGTTCGGATCGGATTTCAATGATCCTTCATCGAACACTAACATTGTTAGGTCCCCCGATCAATAACAAACGTGAATAACAGCACATACTATCGTCGAAAGGAAAGACCTGGAAGGGTTGTTAGATGGCAGCAATACAAACAGTCACATGGTTCACTTACCCAGTTCCCCCAATCGCACATCGTCTTGAGCTTGTCGAATGGAGCATCAGGAGCAGCGATAGAAATGAAGATGGCAAAGTCGCAGAACTCAACCCTCTTTTTCATTCGAGGCGAGAAGGAACACTTCCTGGTAGTGCATCAGCATGGTAAGTAAGAAGTTCACGAGCCAGCATACTCTGCAAGCCATCTCTCAGATATCGGCTTGACTGTTTCATAGTTGGGATTCATGGGTGGAGACTCGACCACAAAACCTTTGAACATGTCGGGAAGAATCACAGTTCTTCTCGACTGCATCTTCTTGGCAGTGAACACCTGCATGGTGGGTGCTGCAGGTACAGATTGTGGGAAGGGAATGACGGGGGAGGGAATAACTGCGTTCTTTGACATGCAGAAATCAGTTCAAGGTTGGCTGGGCGTCACGAGTACTCAAATATCCCAAGGCAAACAAAGAAAGCCAGGGTTCTGACACACAGCCTCGTAGGTGTTCTAATCAGCCAGCTTCCCTTCATCCTGCGCCATTTCTTTCAGCTTCACACTAGATACATACTAACCCATGATGGAATCACAAGTCCCAGACATCGTGCTCAGCTAGGGTGAGCATATCATACCAGGTGATGCGTAGACAGGGGTCTCGTTTACGAATTATTGGCAGACGAGCCACACACTCCGTGGGTATGGTTCAGATCTAAATCATGGAGTGAGAGACTAAGAGTAAGCATCCACCAACAGATCACCCCCTCGTCATGTTGATCGTGGGTTCAACGAATGGAGAAAGCCGGAGACCCCCAAGCGACCTGCGAGCAACAAGAGCACGAAATGTACCTTTGAGTCAAGGGATAGGAACGGGAGGAGGTACTCCGAGTCTGGTTGTCAGGTACATTTGGTCATCCCCAGCTTTAATTGAAGAATGTCTGTCCTGCTGCTGGGCAGCTCTTTTTGAACATCAGTTTAGTACCAAGTCTGACTTTCCAACTTTTATCTATTTTTTATCCACTCCACGATGAAGTTCTTTAGGGAACGCGCAACTCAGGAAGAGCTTCGGACCATTGGAAACCACTCTTTCACATGGACGAATGATCACATCCCCAAATCCCACACAGACCCTCTACGTTACGAATGTGATGAACTTGGAGCTGCTGCTGTCAAGGAGATCCAAGAAATCCACGCCCAGCAAAAGAAAGAAGGCCATCAAGTCGGCAGAGCAGACTTGTTCGAGACACTTTCTCATCACCAAGACCATAGCCAAGTGCTTTCGCAGCTCTGGACCGAGGTCCATACTGTCCCTTACTGGGTTGATTGGGACCAGATTGCTCGAGGACAGCGTTTCTTCTACCGTTATGCCCTCGCAAATCTCATCGGCTTTGCTTTTCAAGGCTTTGTTGGTGAGAATTCTGCTTCTACCAGCGTCGTCGAAGTACTTGCTCGTACTGGTGGCTTCAGTACTCGTGTCTTGAGACGTCGATTGCTCGAAACATTTCAACTCGTTCTTCAAGTCACACACTCTCTTGATCATGTGAAGCCTGGTGGACCAGGGCATAGATCGATTGTGCGAGTCCGTCTACTACACTCCATGGTCAGACAGCAGATCCTCAAAGTTGCCGCCTCAAAATGCCGATTCTTTGATCAAGAGACACATGGCATTCCTATCAACACCCTTGATTCGATACATGCCATTGCAACATTCAGCTGCAACCATGCTTGGCTTCAGCTCCCTCTTATGGGGATCACCCCCGAGAAACAGGAAGTCGAAGATTACATCGCCCTCTGGCGATACGTGGCCCACGTAATTGGGGCGCCTCAAGAATACTTCACATCAGCAACACAAGCTAAGGCTGTGATGGAAAGCTTAGCTTATAACGAGCTCCTTGTGACACCCACTTCTGTTGTCATTGGGTACAACTTCGTCGAGGCCCTCAAGGATCTACCACCCATGAACATCTCGGATGGTTTCATTCAGGCTGCCAGTCGCGTCTTGAATGGCCACGAGATCTGCGACCAACTTGGCATGGGACGGCCCAGCTGGTACTCATATGCCTGCTTCAGAGGCCATTGCTGGTTGGTGTGGAGTTTGGCTAGCCTGCAGCGATGGATCCCTGCGTTGGATGACAAGGTGGTCAACCTTTGTCGGGACGGCCTGCATAGCGCTATAATCCACAGTAACCAAGGTCTCGGAGGTGGCTCCATGCTTGATTTCAAATACGTTCCGGATGGGCGGATCCAAGGAAAGGAGAAGAATGACCGGGCCGAGGGACGTTTGTGGTTCTTTGAAAGACCCCTTGAGTTCATGTACTTTGTAGTGTTTGTCATTGGATGCATGGTAGTGTTGGCATGGTTGCTTTGCATGGCGCAGCTCCTTGCGCTCGGGACCTCGCGTCTTGGAAGATAACCTGGTTGGGCTGAGATAGCTTTCTGTACTGTAGATCGCCCCGTAATTCTATTCGTTGTATGAACCAACATGCAGGCTGCCGTGTGCCTACTGTCAACCAAAGTCCTGGATCCGTATAACCCTGGTCAAGTTTAGGGCCGCAGCAAGAAGACCTCCCTCGCTCGGGTGACATTCTGGTGTCAGAAGTCGAGAGATCATCACGTATTCAGAAGAAACGAGTATTTTCAGCTCCCAAAGAGGCAATAATTACCAAACTCGTTCCGAACTATCTCACTTGCTCCATAATCGAACTGAGACATGGTGTCGTGCCGCTTTACATCTGATAGATCACTGGTCAGAGCGCAATCTACCAAGAGATTATTGTTTGTCTCGATCGATCCGGCACTTCCACCATTCCCTGAAACAATGACCAATGAGACGAGCTCAGTCGGTAGTGCGAGAGTAGGTAATCAGTGAAATATTGGACCTTGGCGTCGCAGTTGGGTCAAATAGTGCGGGATCGACAAACTAGCTTTGAGTGGCTGTCGTCTGACAGGACAGAACCCCTTGTCAAAAACTCAGCTGCTCCACACCTACCATGGCAAGTCACCAAATGCTCAGCTATCTAAGGAACAAAGTGAGTTTGATATTGCATGACAGTAGTTCGAATTTTGTTTGCTAAAATGGCATGGTCTGCCACGTCATTCTGCTGTCAGCCTTTAGTGATATACAAGTGCACCAAGCCTCTGTGTCTCGGTGTCAACTTAATCGGCCCAGGTTATGTAAAAGTGTCTTAGATCTAGCACGTAAACAATTTGATGTTTGACGATCCAGACAATGAGTGATTTAATCCACTGGGTACCGTTCACGCGGTATCCGTTCCCCGATATTTTACGGACTGCACCATCTGTAAGCCATCTACTGCAGGCACCCTGACCCTGGTCAGCGCGAGGCCCGCGCCGCGAACCAACATGACATACTACGCCATACTACGCTATACTGCGCTATTGCCCGCCATACCACCGACGCCAAAAGTGTGACGTGTTAAGTCTGACCAATGATTTGATTAGAATGCTACTATTGGTGCTTTCATCTTCAATAGTATGTGATAGGAGTTTTCATACTAGGGTAATCTCTCGCGAACCGAACTGAATCATTCCTGCCATGGCGGTAGGTAGGAAGGCCTTGGGTGCCTTTAGGGACAAAAGGATGTAAGACCTGACATCAGGGGGCCAAGAACAAGTAGCTAACAGGGTCAAAAGCGTTTGTCACTTGGTACTGGGCTTTCAAGTTCTCGCACCCCTCGACCCCTCCGCTGAGGGTGGCTTGAAGTGCAAGTTGACCCTTGATTCCTGGGCCGCGTCTTCCTCCAGACTGCTGGACACGCTAAACAGCCCTTCGGCTTTAATGATATCACAAGAGGCCGCTCAATCCATGGCTCCGAAAAGGCCCATGCTCTCAAGTTTATTTGCTTGCAAACGGAGAAATCCGCGACTGAGGATATGCCGTTGGTAGGTACTCATCTGCCTAAATCGCATTGACCTTTGTTCCTGTAAGCAGCCTAAAGCTTGATTCCAGAGCCACAATTTTAAGTCAGTTTAAGGAGACTTTGGCCGAAATGCAGAACCAAATACAAGATACAAGGATAAACCACCGACCCCCAATACAGGCAGTGCTGCAAGTATGTTCTAGGGTATACTGTTTGCTTTCAACCGAGCCTTTCCGCACAATATGTCACCGGGGATTAGAGAAGGTTGGACTACAGCCATCGTGATGAAGCATAATTAATATCTATTCAGACAAGCTGGTATACAGAAGCAGCATGGTCCCATATAGATATCTGCCTCGGTTTGAGAGGACTTCCGAAGATAACCAATGAGACCGGTTTCGGTATCTCATCTCTCTTTCCAGTCGCTCAAGACACCCAGAGTAAGAATATAAAGCCATACATTCCTCGGACGCTGGTGACACTGGGTCGGATCTCAATATAGATAGAGAAGTTCGGGATAGGCTGTAGCTGCCTGTCAAATTTGGCTCTACTCGAGAGAGAACGCCCAGAATGTGTGCCCGGCAAGACCATCTAACCACAAGACTCGATATATATTAGCAAGTCTTATTATTCGATAGTCGCTCCATGCAACCCAATCAGCATGTCAAAGTTTCGGGGTCTTTACAAAAGCTCTATATCCAGAATGCAAGTTGCAACCATCCTAATATAAGCGCTACAAGTGAAGCAGTCGAGGAGCGATGTTAGCATTCGTTCTGCGACTTTTCGGGAAACTACTTGACCTCAGCCAACATGCCGTCGCAAATCGAGCTACTAAGCTAAGGGTTGAAGATAAGATGTCAACTGTGTGTTTGACCTGAAGGTAACACGTTTAGCTCGTATCTTTTCTGGCAGTCAGATCACCAAGTAGTAGTATTCATGGGAAGGCAATTAGGTATGAAGTCCCTCGACATATTCGTCTATTGTACCCACGTCTTCCTGGTATACTACATCTTAGAGCTGCCTAGCTAGTGTCTCCCCTCCCCTTCAGTCTTATGTCCACGTGTTCCTATCTTCCATCAATTAAGCTTCTTTCATAAACTATTATCAGCTTCTTATGCAGAGAAGTGGGTAGCGCGGCGGTTGTTGCGGTTGTTGGTGTTATTATCGCTCTGGTCCTGGGTATCTTCCTCATCATCCTCATCGCCGTTGCCGTTACCGTTGCCCGCGCCGCCAGTGTTGTCTGCATTGCCAGTGTTGTCTGCATTGCCAGTGTTGTCTGCATTGCCAGTGTTGTCTGCATTGCCAGTGTTGTCTGCATTGCCAGTGTTGTTATTACCGTTGTTGCCGTTGTTGCCGGTAGCCTGGGCCATTTGAACTGGAATAACACCACCGAAAGGACCAGCCCGTGCCGGGTTCTGGCAACGAACAAGGCAAACATTTTCCTCACCAGCGACGGAGCCAGTGCAATTCTGTCCTGCAGGGATAGAAGCAACAAGAGGAAAGTCACCCATCTCGCCATCGCGGTTGCGGCCGCGATCGTTGCCTTCAACGTTGGTAGTCACTTGGATGTTGTCCCATGAGGTGCCAGTACCATCGGAGTTGATCATACAAGTATAGGGTCCAGCACCGTCAGAATTGACCTGGTGGACGGTCATCTCAAGGCTGCCACCAGGGTTGACTTGAGGAAGCTGACTGCCAGTCTCTTCCATGATGTCGAGGGTGCCCTGCTCAATCTGGTTGTCACCACCAGCGAGTGTCTCGCCAACAGTGTCAGCAGCATCACCACGGAAGCGGGTAGCATCAGTTTGGAAGGGCCGGCGTCTGGTGCCATCGCGAGGAGTGGAGGTGTCAACACCGAGGGCCATCCCAGAGCCGCCAGCGTCCCCAACTGCATTGGTAATGACGCTGTGGGCAGCTGCGAGATCAGCAGCGACGAAAAGAGCCCAGACGAGTTTCTTGATGGGAGCCATTATGAATGTTATTGTAGTGTAGGGTCAAGACTAAAAGTAGTGCGTGAAATTGAAGAATTCGGGAGGGTTGATTAAAGACCTGACCGGCAGGGAATAGAAGTGAAGAGGAGGGAAGAGGAATGTACTGCTATGCTTAAGATGCTGATGCTGATGTTGATGATGAGAAATATTAATGAAGGGAAATGGACATCATTTATGGAGAAATCTCAGACGACCTTTCGTCTTTTCCTCCCCATCTTACCATACACATATCACCACAAGAGACAAGCCAAGAGAACACAAGACACCCTATGAGACGTTCAAGAGCTTCACAATGAATGGTGGTCTCTACAAACATATCACCAAACGGCTTCACTTTCGCTTTGACCCTCTCAGCCAAGACCCGGAATCCTCGTCTCCCGAGAGAACCGAAGAGCACAGCCTCTTTATTAAACAAAACGCCAAACGCGTTTTGGCCATCTCTGCAGTGCGATTCGCTCCAGAAACTATAAACCACTCATATATGGTTATTCTGAACATAAAACGTTATGATTGCTGCGCCCACCGACCATGATCGACAAACTGGTCATGGTAGATGTATCATGATTCATTGCACACACGGGGATTGGCTACAAGCTGAAAGGTTGCGGATAGCCCACTTAGACCGTTTTATTCCTTGTCTGATTATGGGAATTCTAGCCCGTGATTGATCAGACTGGAACCTCGCTACACCAATTCCAGCTAGTCGTGTGTGAGAAACCAGGGGTTCAGGTGCAACTGATACCAACCCTTGTCAGTCTTCTGAGGAGCCAATCGTATCTCGCTATCGCTAAGGCCCGAGATCTGTGATTGTATGGAGGTTGTTTGTTTCCTTCTTGAGGAGCTAGTTAAATGTTGCAAATCGCGTTTCAAGGGCTGTGAAACCTGTTGCAGGCATTATCTCACGAGGTTCAAGAATGAGAGCGCTAATAATTTTTCACTTTAGTTGGCAGCTTCAATTAACGTCCCTAAGAGCTGGTGTTTATGCAGGAGTAACTATGTAAAGGAATTTTACAAGTGTAAAAATATAAATAAAGATCTTAACCTGTTTCCTGAAAACTTCTCACTAGGATTACCAGCTGTATATGACCAAAAGGTAAAAATTAATAACTTAAATCTATAAGCATTCCTCCTCAAGACCGAGCAATATCAAACTCAGCTATATACCAGTTCTGAATTGCCTTTGTGTCTCCTGTAATAGCTACAGTGTCATAACGCGACCTCTCCTCCTTTGCTGCCAAGCCATTGTTCACCATACGGCCAACCCACTTGCCATGTCGCCGGCCTGCATTAATGATCTTATCAATGGCAGCAGTAAATTCAGGCTCGTCACCTCGCGCAGGCACATATCCCAGTAGTGACTGAGCAAGATCATTGGGGCCAATGAACAGCATGTCCACGCCGGGAGTGGCAGCAATTTCATCGACGTTCTCGACACCAGCGCGAGTCTCTATTTGAATCATGGTGATGATGGTCTCGTTGGCAGACTTCATGTACTCAGGTGTTGTCAGACCGTGGCCAATAGCAGGGAATGCAGAGCCCTGGCCTCGAACGCCCTGAGGCGGGAACTTGGAAGAAGCAACGATTTGCCTTGCCTCGTCTGCATTGTTGATTTGAGGAACCATGATACCATGTGCACCGGTGTCAAGTGCTCGCTTGATGATATCGTGAGCAGGTCCGCGAATACGGATGATAGGCGACACCCCAAGGGCTGAAATAGCCGCCACTGAGTTGTGCATCGAGTCATCTCCAATATGGCCGTGCTCACAGTCAAGGATGATGCCGTCCAGGCCGGTCAAAGCAACGATCTGAGCTTGGCGCACACTGGGGATTGCAACAAAGGTCATCAGTGGAAACTCCCCAGCCTTGATCTTATTGAGAAACCTCAACCGAGGGTTCTCAACGGTCGTTGTGAGGGCCGTAGGGTAGGTCTTCTGAGTCATGGTAGCTTAGTGGTTTCGCAAAGAGATTGAATGACTTTTTGGCTATGCAAGTGTAAAGACAATATAATGGGCTGTTGATGCCGATAAGACAGTGAGTTGTCGTTATGATGTATTCGGATGTCCTGATTAAATCGCCTGGAGTATTGCGCTCTTTAATTAATTCTTCCAATAAAAACAAAAGGTATTATTTACAGTTTCCAAAACATAGCAATTGTATGCCGTGACTATCATGCTGGATCCACAGGGAGGAGCTCTCCCCGCCTGCAAGGGGAACAGACAATGACAATCGACCTGCAGGCCCGTCTAGTGAGCTCCTCCGACGGGTTATCGGTTAACCCCAACCGATAAGACAGCTGGTCTCGTTGGCAAACCGGACTAACCACAATGGTAACCCTAGCTGGACCCCGGATTCCGGTATCTACACCGTTCAACTTCGGTTTAGAGCCAACAATTGATTATGAGTCGTGTCGCCAAGCTAACTCATTTTACCCCCGCATTCAAATCAACCCACCATCATTCGTCGTCCGCCACGAGACCTCGGCGGACTTCATTCTATGCGTCGAGATAACGCTATGTCCTGCCTGTCGGTGGATTTATAGACTCGTCTCCCGACAATTGTTGGAACGAAAAATCCAGACAGCCATTCTCATCCCTTTATTCCTCACCACTTCAAGTCACAAACAACATCGCCATTATGGCTACCGTCCCTGTGGATGAATCCCTCAAGCGGTCACCCTCGTCTCATGCTGAGGGTACCAGCACTGCCTATCAGAGGATGCCCGAAGCCCTCTTGCACCTCAGCGAAGAAGAGATCGCTGCAATGAATAAGAAATTAGTCCGCAAGATCGACTCCATCATCCTGCCCATCATCGGAATATTGTACATTCTCAACTATATCGATCGGCAGAACCTGGCCGCGGCCAAACTCCATGGCATCACCGACGATCTCAACATGACAACAGAAGAATTCGCTACTGCGATATCAATCCTCTTTGTCGGTTACCTACCATTCCAAATCCCAAGCAATCTCATCATCGCAAGGATTCCTCGACCGGGTATGTATATTTGTGTTGCTGTGGTGATCTGGGGGACAATCTCAGCTTGCACTGCTCTGGTTACCAACTATGGTCAACTTCTCGCTGTCAGAGCCATTCTCGGTGTTGCCGAGGCCGTCTTCTTTCCCGGGTAAGAATCATTCGCTTCCTTCAGCCGATAAAGAAACATGCCTGAGTTATCTCTAGTGCCATATACTACCTCTCCGCATGGTATACAAAGACCGAACTCGGAAAACGAATTGCCAGTCTCTACATTGCCCAACAGGTCGGCAACGCGTTCGGCGGCCTTTTTGCCGCAGCTATCTTTCAGCTCGACGGTCGACACGGAATCAAGGGTTGGCAGTGGCTCTTCATCATTGAGGGTTCTGCCACAGTTGGAATCGGTGTCGTTTGCGCCTTTTTCATGCCCGAGTTCCCCTACAACAGTCGCATCCTTTCCCAAGCCGAACGAGACCTTGCCGTGTGGCGTATCGAGTCTACAACTGGCGCAGCTGAGGGCTCCGAGAAGGAAAGCACTCTCAAGAGCTTCGGAAAGGCTCTGTCTGACCCCAAACTTCTGCTTCTCATCCTGTGCAACCTGCTTTCCCAGGCACAGGGCTCGATTGCCAACTACTTCCCGACATTGGTTGCCTCGCTCAACTTTGGCAGCACTGTTAGCCTGCTCCTTACTGCACCACCCTACGTCCTCGCTGGGGCTGTCTACTGGGTGTTGATGTGGTACAGCGACCGGAAGAACACAGCATACCCCATTATCATTGGATGCATTGCCATTGCCATTGGCATGTATGTCATTCCCATGTCTACACTCAACGTCCCTGCGCGCTACTTCTCCATGATGATTCTTCCTTTTGCGTCTGTCGGCCCTCAACTTGTGCTTTACAAGACTATCAACCTTCATCTCGCACGTCCTGTCTCGAAGCGTGCCGCAGCATCTGCTCTGGTCAATGCTATTGGTGGCACCTCCAACATCTGGGCTTCATACTTGTACTATGCTCCCCCTCACTTCTATGCAGCATTCGGCACTCTTATGGCTTGCGCCTTTCTCTTCGCCGGCACTATTACTCTCTACCGCTGGCTCGTCTTGCGAGAGAATAAACGACTGGACTCTGGCGACCCTGAGGAGATAGCCAAGGTTATCAAGGGTGGTGTTACTGAGGAGATGGTTCAGCTTGGATGGCGTTACGAAATGTATTGATTGTTGTCGCGGGCGTCACGTTATTTGTATCAGGATGGACTAGGTAGATAGGTGGATAGTGGACTGGCGAGGTGTTGATGATCTAGTTATATATTCATATGCAGGCAATGCATTAAGGTACAGGTTCATAAACAATCGTGTTATGACATAGTTTTCGATACGCACAACACTAGTGCATGCAGTTAACATTGGATTAGTAGGCCTGCAGTGCATAACAACATACGGTATATACTTTAGGCAGCTAACAGAATGGAGCTTAGTTTGGGAGATGTCTAGCTTGCGCTGAAAAGATGGAGTCACTACGTAGATTAATAAATAATGAACGGACATTTAAGGACAGCGGAATCACTGGAGGCAATAATTAATAAAAGCAATGAAACTAAATTACCGGTAGATAAACTCACCTACGGAGTGATAGGTAATGATAACCGATAAAGATAACGCTCCATGAAACTGGAGCCTGTGATTGTCCGTTAGTGATAGGCGTTCTGACGGACCAATAATAGCCATGCTCAGTCAACAAGCGGGATGAGAGAGATAAGTTAGTGGGGCCTATCCTGGAAGATAATGATGACCCACATTGCGTTGCAGATTGCGGGGAAGAGAGGAAAGGGAGTGGAATTGTCTGGGGGAAATTGTCTGTCATTTCAACTCGACCCAGCCATTGTTACATACATACATATATACACCCGCGAACAAACCAGCTCGTGAGACTCAGAATGGCATCAACAAGCACTCGCAGCATAGCCATCTCTCCATCATCCTCCCAACCTTTTCAATGTCAAGTATGTTCAAGTCGCTTCACCCGCCATGAGAATCTGAAGCGTCACGCTGCGCTACATTCTCGTTCTTCCAGCAATGCCTCCATACCCTGCCACCTCTGCCCTGCCACCTTTTCGCGCCCAGATCTACGTCACCGGCACATGAAGCGAAAACACATGGACCGTATGGAAAAGACTTCGAGAGGAGGCAAGTCACCACAGAGCGACCTGCAGCGCCAGGCACCTACGCCGCCGCCGCAGACCAGTGAGGGGGAGGCCGACACCGATCATTTTTTTCGACAAGGACGACACGTCTCTATTGATGAGGATACTGTCAATCTTTCCAGTAGCTTACCCTCAGATCTTGACGATACTCAAATGCTCGCCACGTCATTACCGTCGCAAGGGTCCATGCTGCTAGGCACGACTGCTTTGGTTGGCGTCAACTTTCTCGAGCCTTCCTGCAATCTCAACATGTCGAATTCGCCGTCTGGGATGAGTCTGCTCAACTTTAGTCTCGATCAAGGCAGCCCCGAAAGATTATTGTACGGATCAATTGACCTCAGCCGGGGCCAGAATGACTGGTATCCGTCGACCAGCCAAGTTACACAAGGCTGTCAATTGTATTTCAAGCATGTGTGCCACTTCCTGCCTTTTCTGCACCAGCCGACATTTGATTCCACCTGCATCCCGAGCCACTTACTGCTCAGCATGCTTTGCATAGCATACCAGTATGGCGGAGATCCAGATCGTAGTGATCAGCAAGGGTCTGGCGTGAGCTTATCCGAGAGGTGCTACCATCGCGCTCGTGATCTCGTGTCTGGCGATGAGTATGGGCCAGATGACTCAACACGTAACCTCTCAATTGTGCAATCTCTCCTTTTACTCGAGGTTTACGCCATGATGTATCTCTGCGGAAACCACTCAGCGTATGGGCTCAAGACTCACACCAGGATGATCTCGCTCGCTCGATCAAGTGGACTGTCTATACCCATATCAGCCGAGCTCACGTCAACAACCTCTGACCTTGATTCCTTGTGGCACACGTTCATCGAGGCCGAGTCGCACAAGAGGACGCTCTTCGCCGCCCATCAAGTCGACACGTTGTGGTATCAGTTTCTCTCAATACCCCGACAATTCTCGCATCTCGAGATCAAGCACGAGCTGCCCTGCCCCCAAGACCAATGGGCGGCGTCTTCAGCAGCCGAGTGGGCGCACAAAAGACTAGTTGCCGTCGTGCCTGGCCCACCAGCTCAGTATCCCGATGCCGTTCGACGCTTTTTGTCATTGGCATCGGATCCCTGCTCCTTTCCCTCGTTCGATCCATATGGAGCCATAAACATCACCCAATTTCTTGCATCCAGCGCCCAAGAAACCTCGGGTTGGTGTGCGATGACAGGAATGATCAGCACGGAAAGGCTTGAACCATTGCGCAAGTCCCTCGAAGCGTTGGGTCCTGTTGTTCGGTCGGGGTCAGAACACGCAAACTGGCCTCGTGGGGCGTTATGTGAAGCTTCCTGGCACTCTGCCATGATTGATGTGCGGATATGGTCGCCGTCGCATACCTGCGGCATCGTGGGTGGGACAATGGATGCAGTATTGCAGCAGACGACATATCTGGCGCCATCGTGCGAGTTTCTCTGCGAGTCCAATACTGCACAAGTCATCAAACCTCATATCGATTGGTTTCTCACCTATCTCGACGCGCCCCTTGTACCGGACTCAGAGGCGCCTTGGATCATGTTGTACGCCTTCAAGGCTTTCGTAATCGCCTGGCAATTGATTCGAGGCAGTACGCTAGGAACGATGCAAGTTGTCGGCGTTGAGGACGGAGATACCGATGGGGCTTTGGAGTGGGCCAAGAGAGTTTTCGGTCGAAGGCAACAGTGGCAGCTTGGCAAGATTATCATGACGTGCTTGGACACATTATAAACAAGTATCTGTAAGCATTCGCCAACCTTTTTCCACATATCTGTAAAAATAGAGGGAATAATCAAGATACCCACCCTTTAATTATATGCTCAAGACTTTATCACTTTGAGTCACCGAGTCGTGCGAGGTGGGATCGGCTCATACAGGGTTCCCGTCGTAAGTTAGCACTGAGAAATGGTCTGATAGTTTACATGAGGGCTTGGGCTTCTGCATTTACTAATGTGAATTTGCATTATTCAGCATATTACAGGCTTTACTGCTGACAAATAGTCCCAGGAGGTATAACTATCTATCATGTTCCACTAGTGCATTATGTTATGAAGTTCAGAGTAACATTCTCTATTTATAAAACCATTGAGACTTGGTCTAATCCTTTGCCCCTCAAGCCCAACTAAGCTTGCGCGATGCACTCAATCTCAATAACAGTACCGTCACCAGGAGGAAGAGCCTGGAGGCACGATCGCGAAGGCATGGGCTTGGGCAGAAAATCTATGTACACCTCGTTCATAGCGGCAAAGTCTTTCATGTCAGCTAGATAGACATTGTACTTGACGACCTGCTCAAGTGATGAGCCGGAGAGCTCAAGCACCTCCTTGAGATTCTGGAGAACAGTCCTCTGTACAAGCTCGAGTTAGAGGGTGCGGCAGTAAGTTGAGACTTTGAAAACGCACCGTTGCCTGCTTAATCTCGCCAGTGGCAGTCTGTCCGGCGCAGAAGACTAGACCAGGAACTTTGGTGGCTGGGCCTGCGCAAGGTCGATAGATGTCAGTGACCGTTTCTCTGTCAGTGGAGGACCTGGAGTTTAGCCGACTTACAGTTGTGGGGCTTGGGAGGGAACTTTTCGCTGGAAATGAGTTGGCGTGACATGGTTGTATGTAAGATAGAACTTGGCGGAAAGTGAGACAGATATTGCCAGTAAGTGTCTGATGACTTGTGTATGAGAATTTGAATGGTGATACCTACTGAGCAAACAACCGCACACTTATCATATACGTCTCTTCTTCAAGTTGAAATCTGGGATTGGTTGATTGGCCGCTTATCTGGGAGGAGCTCCTCCCAAGTACCCTGACCCGGCCCCCGCACAGCTAACGCTAGCTCCTCCCAACTTTTTCTTTTGTCCTCCGGCCCTAATCCCAATGAGGTGCATGCCTGGGGTGATCACTGGCTTCAGCCATCTCAGGGAGGGAGGAGCGTGATTGTGGTGAGGCACTGTCAATCAGCGAGTGAGGTAGAACCAATATTGGGCAGGATAGACATTGGCGTTGGAACTAGGCAACTGTGGCACGTAGTTCGGAGAACGAACTGATCGTATGTTGGAATCTGTCCTTAGTCCTACACCATCTCCGAGAGGCGGAGCTCGATCAAGCAAGTCCCATGCCATGCAACTTGCGCAGTTGGGTGTATAAGAGCAGAACAATTAACCATCAAACAACAATCTGGATCACACCAAGAAATCGCAATCCATAACAGCTATCTTTTGATCTAAATATCATCACAACTTTTCAACATGTCGCCAGCAGCTTCTTTTAGTCCCCCTTCAGCCGGATTGCCTGGCAAGCCTTTCGTCCCCGAGTGGATTCCCCCACCGGTGACACAGCAAAAGGAGGACTTTGCCGAACTCACTTCTATTGATCTTTCCTTGCTCGACTCGGATGATCCTGCGGTTGTGCAAGAGTTGGTTAACCAAGTCAAGAGAGCTATTCGAGAGGATGGATTCCTATTTCTTGAGAATTATGGTATCTCACTGGAACAGGTATGACGCACCATTCCATTCATTCCTAGATATGAGACCACTGTCGCTGACGCCCCATGCCACAGCTTCACCGCCAATTCGCTATCGCCCAGTACATGTACAACAACATTTCAGAGGAGGACAAGGAACGTCTACTCTTCAACCCTGACTCCGGTGTCTGGTCTGGCTACAAACATCCATTTGGCTTCAAGGTAAACCTTCCTCCCCGCCACTGATCCACCACTTCCTTCAAATGAACTGACTGACTGACTGTTTCCATCCAACAGCGTCATCGTGGACCTCCTGATGGCATTGAACAGTTCAACTGGTACCGACCCGACTGGGAGGATATCAACCGAGTGCCTGCCTGCCTACATCCCTTCATGGATGAGATCGAGGCCTTTGCCAATTACCTCACCAAGTCGGTCAACCGTCGCCTCCTGACTCTCTTCTCTCGCGTTCTCGAGCTCCCAGACGATTACCTTTGGGAAAACGTCCAGTCACACGGCAGCCCAACCGGCGAGGGTTACTTCAGGCATGCGCTCTTCAGACCTGTGCAGAAGAACACAGAAGAGGCTTCCAAGGGCCTTCGCATGCATGGGCACACAGACTTTGGTCTTACCACACTGCTCTTCTCTGTTCCTGTCTCTTGCCTTCAGATCTGGGGCCAGGATGAGAAATGGTACTATGCCCCCTATAAGCCGGGTGCTCTCGTCGTCAATATCGGTGATACCCTCGAGATCGTATCCGGGGGGCACTTCAAAGCCACTCGTCACCGTGTCTACAAGCCCCCGGTCGACCAGCGCAACTACGAGCGCCTCTCATTGGTGCTTTTCAACAGTTCCGTCGGTGACTTGCGTATGACACCAGCTTCTGGTAAGTTGGCATTGACTGTCCCTTTAACTACATGGTACTAACTATGTAACAGAATCTCCCCTCATTCAGCGCGAGGGCTGTGTCGAGGATCAAGGAGTGTACGCCGAGTTCAAGAAGCGAACGCAACAGGGTCAGCTCGTCCCTACCAACCGAGAATGGCGTGAGATCCAGATTGCGACATGTACAGATCCTACCGATACAGTGAACAATAGAGTTGGTGCTCATCAAGTCCTGATTGATGGAAAGCTCATGCACCAACGAGAGTACATGGGAGTCAAGGTCGTTTTGCCAGTTTGATCATTATTAGTTTATAGCTACATGAGAGCATCTTAAGTCTTCTATCCGTTAAGGAAACCGGCAGCCACCAAGGTGAATTTCTAACCATCTGGGGACAACTGAAAGAAAGAATATAAAATGGTTCATAAAGGCGTTGCCCAGGCTGTGGCGCTCGCGAAAACACCCGAAGCTAGACTTGTATTTGGGCAGCAGACGCTGGATTATATACGCAGGTGGAGCGAAGAGCAATGATAGCTTAGTAGACTAATCTTAACATCATGTCCGTCTACTAGAGGAGAGTGAGATAGAACACGTTGGTGTGCCTGCCCAGATTCTCGCGCCTGAGAACGACTTCATGTTCTCGCCTACGATGAAGGGACTTGGTAATAAAGTAATTTCCAGCTTAGGCGTCGCGTATGCCAATCATCACTTTTCTGGAGTTGAGCACGGGTTCGCGACGAGAGGAAGACTAAACATAATGAAATATAGTACTGCGTATGATGAAACGCTTTAATAGGTAGTAAATATAAAATAAAATAGTTTAATAGAATTTTGAAACACATAAATAAATATCTTAATTTATTTTCTGAAAGTTTCTCACTAGGTATCAAAGGCCTTAGGTCGTTGCTCTTCGAGCTCAATATACTCATCGCTGACCTCCGATCTTGAAGGGACCTCTCTAACTGTTCGTCGGAATTCTGTCACCGAGCTATCATCATTCAGGACCGTGAATGGGTTGGGCTCCCTATTAGTACTCCTTTTAGCATTATCTGTCGCCGTAGTGCCAGTAGTCCTGAATCTACTGGGATTTGCCGGAGTGCCGTAAGAAGTCATCTTAAAGGTCTTGGGCAATAGTGGACGCAGACCAGGGAGACATGCGCAGATAATCCCTGTCACTGGCTCGACGCCTGCAAGAGACCACAACGTTCCTTCGTCATACAAATTCTTCCATTGGTACCCATGTGTAAAGACAACACGGGCGAGAGCAATAAAGCAGGTACTAATCATATGATGTTAATAACAATCCGCCGGTAAAAGTTCGAGTGGTAGAGCTCGTTTGATGTCCCAAGGGATAAAGGCCACTTACATAAAACCGAAGCAAAAGGATATAATAACACCAATCTTTTTCCCGCGGTTCATATTCAGCCCCCAGATCGACTTGAGCGGGAGCACGAAGATCAAGAAGTCAGTAAAGACTGTCAGGCTGTCGTAGGCAATGTTGATATTCTGCATGGCTAAGAACTGTTCCGCCGTGGCATCACCCCAAGCCCACCACTTCTCAATCGGCCGTACGGCTGCGAGATAACCGATAACACTTCCCAAGAAGCATATCAAGGTTATTCCTGATGCCACGTATATTATGATATTCATTGGGCCATTGTGGCCTTTGAAGAGACGATGATAAAGGAATAGGATCGAGGCTTTGCAGGAGTAAACCGCGAACACGAGGACGATGTTGTTGCCCCAGCCGATCTAGTAAGCCCAACTTAAATTAGTGACATATCACTAAAAGCAATATCAGTCCGTACCTGATCGTGGATTAATGAAACATCGGTTGGCTCTGTAGTACTAGTATATGGATATCCAGGGATGCCAATGCCTCCGTACATAAGCACTGGTTTGCGGGCACATGGTTAGCTATCGAGTCTCGGCAAAGTTCCATGCTCTCGGATGTATAGAAGAGAAGAGAAGACCTACTCAGAAGAAGAAAGACGAAAAAGAGAACAGTGAAGAACTGCCAAGAGCGTTAGAACACAGGTATCATAAAGAGTGCTTTATAAGACCAGGCAGCTTACAGCAGATACTATGATCATCCAGTCAGTCCAACCATAAACACCTCTCGTCTTTGTCTTTGCGTAAAACCGAAGCCCGACTGTAATTGTCGATAGCATAGGCAGTACTACCCAAGTGGCGATCAGCTCCCGCTGCCTCGGCAGATAAATGGGGAAAGCTTGGACCATGGCTGGCAATTGTCTCAGATCAAAGGCCTTGAACGAAGGAAGGGAAATCCCGAAGGATGCAGATCATTGAACAAAAGTTCCATGGACATGTATTTAGAGACGCTGGCTGACTCCCAATTAAGACTGAACGGTTCAGCCCATTTCGATTCGAGTTAAGTGAACTTTATCTTCTTGAGTCAGTCCACGCCTGTTATCGCTAGTGTGGCGTTTTGAAGAAAGAGTAGCATGACTAGTGTTAACAATTTAGCTTTACACTATGGAACATGTGGAGAAAGCGAGCAATATTTAAATTAGAATTAAGTGGTCGTGTCTGTCTGATCTGGACTGCTTCCAGCTTACCACCGTGCCCCTATGGACTACACGCCGCTGGGGTCTGTTTTGTTGATGGTATCATATAATGAGAGGGTTCTCTTACCATCTGGGCGGCATCCTGTACCTGATAGGTACCCCAATTAGCTTCCAGAATATCACCAGCCAGGTAAGATCGTGACGTGACTGGTACGATGAAAGTTGACAAAATAAACCCCTACGACCTGGGCATAGCTTAGCGTTGATACGTAGCCACCAACACCTTGTCGTTATCCACGAGAGTCTGTAATTGACGCAGGCTAGGCTTAGTGTCTTTAGCTTGTCTGGACTAATGCAACTATATCTGAAGCGATGTTGCAAACCGTGGTCAAGTAAACTGAGCTATTGCAGCCACATGAATAATATCATTGACAGTGGTGAGGCATTATGGCCACTGTTAATTGAATCAGTAACGGCAGGGATGATACTGTTGGATTAAACAGATAGATGAACTTGACTGCTTGACAAGAAGATACTTATTCTTTCTTTTATTTCAGAACCTCTTCCAGGCAATTGTCTGTCCCAGGGTCATAGTTTGTTGATAAGCAGAAGCCTTGATTTACCGTTGAGCAGATAAGGGGTAACGCAGCCCCACTGCGGCGTTGATGGCACAATATCCTAGTGCCACTCGGACCCCTCGCACATTTCGAATTGAGTAATTCGTGATACTATTCGCTCCTATTTTAAAGCCGGCTCCGAATCAGGGCGGTCCGCCTTTCATGGCTGAGGTTGGACTCGGCCTGAAACCCTGACAAAAAGGGGAAAGCTCCACACTTAACACTTGTAAGAGTCAGGACCCAGGAGCACCCGAATATGTGGGAGAACGCTGGTCTGGCGTCATAAGGCTAGCCTTATCTCTCTGCCACTAGTGAAGCATTTCCCAAGTAAATGATCCCAAGCCACATTCGCTTATACAACCAATGGGAGGCGCGTACAATAGATAGAGGGACAATGGTTTAAACCCGCGTATAATTCCATCTTTACCGATAGGGCAAGATTGTTGTTTAAGCAGTGGGCTATTGTGTGGGTAGTTGGTATGCTGTCTGAAGTGTGTTTTTGAGAGTGTTATTTTGAGTTAGTTGACCTAACAGCTGATGCGTGCTGTTTAAGGGGAATGTATAAATAAGTAATGTTGTCTTAAAATGGTAATATATTTTTTAAGCTAGAATGTAAATAATGTAATCTAGAGCAATAAGTAGTAAATAATATTAAAGGAATTTAGATAAGATACTCTGCCTTTTAAGAATATAAATTATTATTACAGGGTAGAGTATTCTTTTTATACTCCACTGTGCTATAATTAGACGTTATTAGTTCCGCCCATTCCGCTCTCTAAAGAGAGCGACAAGCAGGGATCCCTGTCGGCTTAAGCGTAATTAAAGCCCTTTAACCAAGGAAGAAAGAAAGCCTGCAAAATTCAAGTATATACGGAGTACCGAGAACTTGTTTAGAAAAAGTAATATCTATTGAAAGAAGGTTTAGGCACAAGAAAAGAAAAAGAAGAGCTGAACATATTGTAGAAGAGTGGCCGCTCCTAAGCGGGAATAAGGGTGAAGCAGTCTTGCCAAGCCCTACCAAGCCCGCTGACAACATGTCACGCCAGATGACTGCCGAAAGACATTGTATTATATAGAGCCACAAAACTCAATGCTTATAACGAGCCTAGTTAGTATATATAAACATTGCTGTATACAATCGTCATGTAATGAAAATCTTCAACATCTGTTTGAGAATAATATCCAAAGGTCATTTATTCCGAGAAGAGTTACGCCTGCCCATGATAGGTTCGTTATTATGTCTGACCTCAATTATCAGGGCCCTGAACATGAAGACGGCAACCTTCCTCCTCAGCGCCCTGAGCGTGGCCGCAAACCTTTATTCGACTGAACCTGCAGACTGCGGAGGTTATGGAGTTGGCAGCAAAGGCATTGGGGCTTGCACCAACCGAGATGGCAATTGGAAAGATCGCGACACATTCTGCAGTTCTTTAGCTGGACAAGGAAGCTGGAAACGAACTTGTCAGAATGGCCGCAACTCAAACAAATGTCATTTTGAATACCAGGGGCCTGGAATGCCTTGACAGTTGTGCTATGACGCATTTGAGAATATCATCAATCAATGCTTCGGTACTCAAAACGGTGGTGGATATCATTACGGAACCTACAGTTACGGCAACCATTGGTTTGTTATCGACCGTTGCAGCGCCTGAGAATAGGAAAAATGAGTTCGCCGGGTTAGGGTTATTATTAGGCTGCCAATCAGATGTTATTTCAATTCAATGCAATTCAATTCTGAGAATAATCAACAGCGTCTCCCTCAACCTTCCCAAAGCGCTGAAGATTATCCCTTTCAACATCAATCTCACCGACGTGCAGATGTCAAGGGTGGCCCAATCTCTTACCGTTTCGAGCAGTTGACTAGCAATTTTTCGTCGGCCAGACAATCAGGCGAATGAAGTGCCAGTATCTCAGCCTCTTATCTCCAAACCATGATCACAAGCTTTCAGTTTGATCAGGGTTCTCCGCACGGGAATGATAACGGTGGATCCTTATCCTGTGAAAACGGAGCGTAGTCGGAGGGCGCAAACGGAATCCTGCTTGATTATCGAATGAGGTTCGAGTATTTCTTCCCCGCGATTGAATTGAGTTAGCTTCGGCCGATATCGATAACTGCTGATCTTACAACATGTGCTGGAACCGTTATGTCTGGAATGGATGGATCGGGGGTTTATAATTGAGGTAGATCCCCAGCCATACTCTCTATTCTTCAGTAGACATCTTACCCATTTCATTCTCTCGATGTATCTTACGCAATGGATGTCAAACCTACCACCAACCTCGATGACTACCAACTTGCTCAACTGGGTCATTCCCAGTCCTTCAAGCGCAACTTCAGTCGCTGGACAATGCTGGGGTTAGCTTTTGCTATCCTTAACTCTTGGACTGCGCTTGCAGCATCTCTTTCACTCGCCCTACCATCAGGCGGACCTGTTGCTGTGATCTGGGGATTAGTCACGGCTGGTATCTGTAATCTCTCACTTGCTGCAAGTCTAGCTGAGTTTCTGTCAGCACAGCCAACATCTGGCGGACAGTACCATTGGGTGGCTACTATTGCACCTGCGTCTTTGAAGATTCCACTGTCTTGGATCACGGGTTGGATCAATCTCAGTGGCTGGGCCTGTCTGGTTGCGACGAACTGTTCCTTGTCGAGTACTCTCATCATCAACATCATCTCGCTTCAAAACCCCAGCTACGAGTTCCAGAGATGGCACCAATTCCTCATCTACCTCGGTATCGCCTTTATCGCCTTCGCAACCAATGCCTTCCTTCATTCGGTCCTACCTCGCATCAACGGTCTTGCACTTGTCTGGAGTATCGCCGGCTTCTTCATCATTTCCATCACAGTGCTCGCGTGCGCTGCCCCAGACTATGCCACAGCCGACTACGTATTTGCTACCTTCATCAATACAACTGGGTGGCCAGACGGCATTGCCTGGCTCCTTGGTCTCCTGCAGGGAGGACTTGGACTTACAGGATTCGATGCCGTTGCTCACATGATTGAAGAAATTCCCAATGCAGCGAGCGAGGGTCCTAAGATTATGCTTTACTGTCAGTACATCGGCATCTCAACTGGCTTCCTGTTTCTCATCGTGGTGCTCTTCGTGTCTGGTGGCATCAAGAACGCCGATACCATCATTGGCTCGACTGCCGGTCCCTTACTCGAGATCTTCTACTTGGCCACCAACAGCAAAGTTGGAGCCATATGCCTGCTCATGTTTCCTCTTCTCTGCCTTGTCTTTGCAGCCATCGCAGTCATGACGACTTCATCTCGTATGATGTTTGCATTCGCAAGAGATGGTGGATTGCCCGCATCGCGTATCTGGTGGAAGGTTCACCCTACGCTTGGCGTACCGATGAACGCCCTTTATCTCAATGTTGTAATTGTGGTCATCTTTGGCTGTATCTACCTCGGGTCTACTGTTGCCTTTAACGCTATCGTCGCATCTTCTGTGGTGGCTCTTGGTCTCAGTTATGGCATTCCCATCGCCCTCCACCTTGCACGTGGTCGATCTCAATTGCCCGAGGGAGCCTTCAAACTACCCAACTGGCTTGGATGGACAACAAACATCATCGGGTTAGTCTATACCATCGTTACCACCGTGCTCTTCCTATTTCCTCCAGCATTGCCCGTTGACGGGACTACGATGAACTACTGTGTTGTTGCATTTGGGGTTATTGTCGTCATATCGGCCATTCAGTGGGTTGTGGATGGAAGGAAGAACTTTGAAGGACCTCGAATCACGATAGGCGAACATGACATGGCAGAAAGGGATGTTGAGGAATGATGGCCTGTTACCTATGGCGCGGTTCATTCTGTAGTAACTTTATGGTCGCTTTAGGAACGCAAAAAAAGCTCTTGCTGTGCAATAATCATGTTACTTAAATTCATATCATAATTCACATTATCAATCTACCAAACAAGCCGACTTCTTCCCTTTCAACCCGGACTCTGCTCCGTGGCCTGACTCGGACATAGTCTCCACCGAGTTCCGTGGTTGCAAAGATCAAGCCTTCTCGGTCTGATGAACAGCGCTATCCGCCTCCTCGAAAGAGTCAATCTGGTAGGAGCTGAACTTGCGTGCGGAGACACCCTTGGCGAAGAGAATATCGAGTTCCTCAAAGGTACGGTTTCGGGTCTCAGGAAGACGGAAGTAACCCCAGATGAAGACCAGGAAAGCAGTGCTTCCCCAGATAAAGCCGGTATAACCTCGAAGGTTCCACTGAGTCGGGTTCATGAAGTAGGGCTGAAGAACACCAGCGACAACTCCGGTGATGGCATATCCGTTGCGGGCGAGGCAGATGGTCTTCTGTCGGAGTCTGGTTGAGCCCATCTCAGCAGGAAGAGCCCAGCCGAGTTGACCAGCGGACAGCTGGAAGACAAAGGTCCAGACAAGGGTGAGGACAGCTTGGGTCATGGCAATTGTATGGTTCTCGGTTCGGGTGTTGAGAGCGCCGATGACGAAGAGGACGGTAGCCATGGTGAACATACCATAAAGGTAGGCTGTGCGTCTTCCAACGTATGGCATGACACAGAACCAAGATACCAAGGTAGCAAACAGGGCCATTCCGTTTCCGCCAACGTTGAGATGGTATGTAGTGTTGGAGTCGAGACCGATCTGCTGGAAGAAGTAGGTCGAGTTGTAAGCAAAGTTGAGACCAGAAAGAATCTGACCGGCGAATACAACGATGGCGATCTCGGTTCGTCGGAGCTCGAAGCCCTTGAAGCAGTCGCGATATGAAGTGCCGACGGAAAGCTGCTCTTCGAGACTGTTGGTGTAAACGATGAGGCCAAGAGCATCCCGGAGTTCAGCTTCGGTAGCACGAGGTCGAAGTCGGGCGAGGCTCTTGAGGGCGTCGTCGTGTCGGCCAAGTCGAACAAGATGCCATGGGGTGTCGGGAGCAAAGAAGAGGATAGGCACCAGAACAACAGGCCAGAACCATTGGAGCGCAAAGGGGATGCGATACGCCCAAGGAGCAGGAGTGTTGACGAGTCCAGCCATGACTCCAGCAGAGATGAGCTGTCCGATGATAAAGCACATGTTGGTCCAACTGGTCATGTAAACCCGAAGCGACATGGGAAGAACTTCAGAGGCATAGGCTGGCGCAGTCGTAGCGAAGACACCCCAGGGAAAACCGCAGAGGATCTGTCCAACGAGGAGGACTTTCGTGTCGGGAGCGAAGAAGACGATGAAGATGAAGCAGCTGAGAGAAATCAAGGAGCCGATGAGGACCTTGATGTGACCATACTTGGTGACGAGGTAACCGTTGAGAAGAGTTCCAAAGAATGAACCAACTCCTGCAGCATTACCGAGACCAGCTTGCCAAGGAGCGGAAAGCTGATAGTTGTTCGTCTCTTCGTTCCAATGGCCGTATTTCTTCGCAAAGGCAGGATAGGCGTAGAAGTTTGAGAGAAGGTTGGTGTCGTAACCTTCCATGATAACACACATGGAGACGACGAGACACCAGACAACTGTCCAGGGATACTTTCGCACGGCTTCGAGAGGAGGGAGGTCATGCTCAGCTTGAGCACCGAGACGAGCCTGGTCGGTGGTATCGTGCCCAACGGTCTTTGCCACCGAAGCTTCGACATCGTAGCTTTCGGCGTGCGAAACCGAAGGGTTGATGACCTCTTTGCCCATTGTGATGAGAATTGATGGTTGTGAGTGTCTGATGGAGTAGATATTCAACTGATCAGCAACGCATCTTGAGGTTATATACTGGAGCAATTGAATCCTTTTCCTGTCTGTTTTCCAATCGCTTTTGTTCCAAGTCCCCATGGGGAACCGAAAACCGCCCCACGGGGGGATAATGTTACAGTCCGAACATTACCCCTTTCGGAATAGCCCCTCAATTGAAGAATGCTTAGCTTCGGGCCCATCGTGACCTCGAGAATGGTCAGTTTCTGGTGGATACCCCTCATCGCTTGATATATCGGACCGAGAGTCACGAGAAATGACGCTGGCAAAGATTGGATCTGCCGACTATATCTCCATTAAGCATTCAACAAACCCCGGATCTAAAACGACATGGCGACTATCCCGGTAAAGCGTGGCCAAGTCTGCGACAACTGCCGATTCCGCAAGGTCAAGTGTGATCGTGGTCTGCCCTGTAAGAACTGTCACATCGGAGACCTCCGTTGCCAGTATCGCCACAGCATTCGGAGGAAGGGCCCAAAGCAGGGTCAAGGGAGACGACAGACACAGCTGAGACAGGGTCTGGGTATTGATGAGTATCAATTCCAGATACTCACCTCTGAAGCGCCGCCTGGATCAACCAGCAACAGCCATGAAGATGCCCAGACAGACCAACTCAACGCTCAGTCATTCTCATCTCCACCAACAAACATCAACCCTGCTCCACAAACAGAACCAGAGCCAGAAATCACAACACCACCCAATGACTCCACTATCGATACTGGAGACCTCTGCAAACGCATGTCTCTATCCCTCGTTGCTCACATACGGCTCTTCCAGAGATTTCTCTACCCTATTATGCCAGTTGTCGACGATGACATCCTCGCCGATGCAACTCGACTAGACGACCTTCCGCCATCTAGATACGCTCTCATCCTTGCAATATGTGCTGCGACAAGAATGCAATTACGGTTGGACAAGAGAATCGACAACTGTGAGAATGATCTCAATGCGGAAATCCCACCCGAGCCACGTTTGACGGGAGATATCCTCGTCAATCTTGCTGAGAACTCACTCCGCCAATACAGTGTTATCGATGATACAACCCTCGATTCGGTACTTGTGTCATTCTTCCTCTTTGCAAGCTATGGTAATCTCAACGATCCGCGTCACGCTTGGTTCTATCTCAATCAGAGCATTACCCTCGCTCAGTCACTTGACCTGACAAAAGAGTCCGGCTATTATGGTCTACCTGATGATGAACGTGAGAAGAGACGACGCGTCTTTTGGCTTCTCTTTGTTACAGAAAGGTGAGTCTCTTCGCTCGTTCCTTTACCCCAAGACTAACGCGTTGCAGAACATTTGCCCTTCAGCACAGAAGATCCGTCATGCTTCGAAGCACAGTCAACAAGCCCCAAATCGTCGACTCAAATTGCCCCGTAGTGATGCACGACTTTATAAACCACATCCGTCTCTTCGAGTCCCTTCCATATTCTCTGTACGAATGGCAGCCTGAAGGCGATGATCAACGCTTTGATGACTTGAAGCTTGTGCATAGCATCAACGACAAACTGTGCAGTGTGCAGCCAGACCAGTCAATTATTGAGAGTCAACGATTCGATACGCTCATCACTCAACAGTGGCTTCGGATATCCATGTGGCGGATCGCCTTTGGTCAGAATCCATCATCGGCGTCTGGCTTCGGACTATTGCTTCCACCTTCGCTTCCGATGGATGCAGGAAAGATCATTATGTCGGCCTTGGGATCTGTTGGAACCAAGTCGAAAGATTGTCATGGAATCGGAATGGTAAGATACACCGATGTTAATGGCCGGTCATGGAATACTGACTCTTGTACAGGAACAAAAGCTCTTTGACGTCGGCGTCAGTCTCGCAGATACCGCTCAACTCCCCGGCTGGACATATTCTGCACTTGAGAATGGCCCCCGTGACTTACTCTCCGTCGTGATTCATGCTCTATCAACCGTTCGGGGCGCTCAGTCTCACTTGTTGCCCAATCTTCTCAAGCACTCGGAGACATTGTTTGCTCTTGCAGATCCCAACGCCCATCTCGATCTTCAATGGGATATGCAAGAGGCAGGAATTGATGAGAGGCCAGCAATTGTTGAGGAGCTGTCGCCGGAAGATGAACAGCCCGTGGACCCTTTGGGCTGGGTGCCAGATGGTAACCTCGATCTGTTGGACTTGAGTACGCCTGTGGTGACGACGACTTGGGAGGATGCGACGATATCGTGTGGACAGTTTGATCCCGAGATTGGGCTCTCTTTTGAATGACCAGAAAAAGGTTTCTTCATGTTGACAATTTATTTAATACTTGTGCAGTGGCTTGCCATTTTGCCTCAACCCTTTGGTGTCCTTGATATCTATACATATGTTCTGCCAAACCCATCTATACCCTCTCTAGCAGAACAACTTTACTATCATAGTCTGTACCAAATCGAAACTGGATTCCTCCATTCATCAGCGTTGCGCCCGAGTATGTCTCTCCACCATCAAGCTTATACCTCGCCGCTGGGTCAAGCCCAGCTAGTCGAAGGAGAGGGTAGTTGAGAACAGTAGTTGCTCTGATCTGGAACGCGAACAAGACAGCTTGGCTTCCATCCTCTGATACAAAGATCGCCGCAGGGAAGTTGGAGTCCTCGGGCAACACCAACCGCCACATATCTCCCTTGATAATGATCGGGTTGATCTTCTCTGCGAGTTTGATGAGCTCCGGGATCTGTGCCTTGTCTTCCTCAGGCGTATGGTCCGGGTTCAACTCGAAACCGAATGAGCCACCCATCATCGCAACGTGGGCTCTAAAGCTCATTGGGATTGAGCGTCCAGTCACATCGTTCGGAGCAGAGCAGACATGTGCGCCCATCGTCGAAGGCGGGTAGACCAGAGATGTACCAAACTGAATGTGAATGCGATCGAAAGCATCCATGTTATCCGAAGTCCAAACCTGCGGGAAGTACTGCAAGATGCCAGGATCAAAACGACCGCCACCAGATGCACAGCCCTCCCAAAGGACATCGGGAAATCGGGCGGTCAGCACGTCGAAGACATGGTATATACCGAGCATGTATGCGTGATGGTTGTCTGGCGTAGGGCTTTCGTGCATGGCTCGGTTGTTGTCCCACTTGACGTAACTGACGGGGACAGTCTCCAAGATCTTGGATACAGAGCTGATGATAAAGTCCTGTACTTCTGAGAGGGCAGCATTTAAGACTAGCTGTTGGCGCGTTTCGCTACGAGCGTAGTTTCCTGCGCTCAAAACCCACTCAGGATGCTGCTCATATAGCTCGGACTTCTGATTGACCATCTCGGGTTCAAACCAAAGACCAAACTGTAGCTTCTCATCCGAGTCCTTAACTTGCAACTTGGTGATGTCCTCAGCAAGCGAGTCCAGACCACCGGGGAACCTCTTGGGGTTTGCAACCCAGTCACCCAGTCCAGCATGGTCATTGACACGAGGGTGCTTGTCGCCAAACCATCCATCATCAAGCACAAAGAGCTTGGCGCCCAGCTTGGCCGACTCTTGTGCTAGTTTGTAGATCGTCTTGTCGTCAAAGTCAAAGTAGAGACCTTCCCAACTATTCAACAAAACAGGTCTCGTTTCGGAGACAAACTTGCTTCGGATAAGGTTCTGTCGGTATAGACGGTGGAACTTTCGTGACATTTCGCCAATGCCGAGGTTGGAAAAGACGGAAACACATTCTGGTGACTGCAGTGACTCGCCCGATCTCAATGGCCAAGATAGCTGACAGGGGTTCATTCCGACGAGTGCGCGGGTGAGGCCTTGATGACTCTTCTCAACTTCAACGCTGAAGGAGCCAGTGTAGACGAGGGAGAAACCCCAAGCTTCGCCGTGGGACTCTGTTGTTGATGGAGAGACCATTGACAAGAATGGGTTATGGTAGTGGGACGAGTAACCAGTAGTACTTCCGAATCTGCTTCAATGTTAGCCATGGAACGTCTTATTCACATCCATCACATACCCTTGAAGTCCATACTCAACCTTTCGGCGAGTTCTATTGCATTCTCTGGTCCATTCTCCTTGCAACTGCAGCATCTCATAATTCTCATGGGGAAAGTCAACGCTGAAGCTTGACAGCTTCTCAACAGTAATGACATCATCACTCTTGTTGATGATTTTGACGTTTCGCACAACAGCGTCGAAACTGGGGAAAATCGAGTATGACAAGTCTGCGCCAACTGAGCTATACTCATCGTAAAGATGTATAATCAGTGTTGAAACATCGTCGTCTGAGCCAAATGTACTGGGAAGCTTCTCGATTGCGGGTTTACCCTTGACGACTGTATGAGACTTATACTTGAAGTCGCAAACTGTGAAGCCCTTGGCGTGCTTTATGTGTACAGCAGGAGTGCGGAAATCTCCACGACCAAGGTCTGGAAACTCACGACGGAGATGAGCTTGAGTTGACCAGCCTCCGCCGTTGGACATGATCTGCGCAATTGGGTTTTCTGTCACACGATCGCCGAAGTGATCGAGCAGAAGATCTCCAGTCGCTGGATCGACGTGAAAGCGGTAGGAGACATTTTTGCCGTTCAGCGCAAATGAAGTGCCGTCCACGACGATTGCTGGGCTTGTCAGTCATGATAACAAAGATAAGGAGGGAAACATACGGTCGGCTTTGGGGGTAGGTGTTGTTGCCTGGAGAAGAGTCATTATGAAGATGCACAGAGGCTGACACGACAGAAGAAAAATAGAAAGGTCTTGAGGATGATTACAGGCTTTCAATAGAAAGTAATCGATTCAGGTTTAAATAAAATAATTGTTCTTCTCATGCAGCAGTCATTGACAGAATTCCGAGCATTTCCCCATCGGGTTAATCAAGCTCCGATCAAGGAGCGGGGGGCATGCATGCAGATGGTCAGCAAGCAACCAAGAAAGGCTACCCCTCGTACACCTTGACTGGACCTGTGAACATCCGGCGCATGTTTTGCGTGTGATCTCAAGTTTACTGCTTTAGAAAGGAGGGCTTTACATTGCAATATTTCCCAAGTCTCTTTTGCTGAGATTTGCTATGGCAGGGGTATGTATCTAGTGTTATACTCTTGGCGTCAAACGTCTCTGATCCACCATGTTCCTAATCGATGTACCAATCTGTTCATAGGATCAACGCGTATAATAAAGCCAATGATATTGTTCCTCAGTAAGTCGCTCAACACGCGTTCCCCACTTTACATTATAATTATCACCTCAAAATGCCACGGTACTTAGCCAGCCTAGCTAAGTATACTAATTTATATCCTTCCTATATATAGCAACTTTAAATTAAGTCTCAGTTTAATTTTCCTTAAATATTAACTCTCTTAAGCTTCCTAGGACTGTATTATATATAACTATTTATATCTTAGAGCAAGGTTAGACGAAGAAGGGCAGTAAATTGGCAAAGAGATAATAGATCCAAAGTAAGTAAATTTAATTGATAATACAGGCGACCAAAAGAGGCCGAGGAGGAAGTAAACATATATAAGCTGGAAAGCCACTGTCTAAGTGCTTTAACCAGCTAGCAGTAACAAAATATACAAAAAGTAAACCCTTACATAATCTGGGCATTCTTGCAAGAACCCCGCAATGCTTTGCACTTTTGGTAGAGAGAAAGCGCGCCTGGGCCTCCACAGACCTGTTCCTTGTTACCTGCACAAGGCATCTCGCATTTACCCAGCTGTCCCTTGACAGGAAGGTTGCTCTTCGCGACCGCATTCCCGCAGTAGCACTCTCGACCATATTCAAGGCCGGCGAATAAGTAACCCTGTCGCTCGCAGTAGTCAAGGCATGATTCAATTGTCATGTTATCCCCACTAGTACGGGCCATATTGAGGCTGCGGGAACTGTAAGAACCTTTGGCGCATCCTAGGTAGCGGAACATCTTGGTGTCGGTAACGTCGGTGAAGGGCCACTTCGGTGGGCTGATCTCCTTGGTAGTATTTCACGCGTCACCGACAACGGGGGCAGCAGGCTCCGGGCCGAACGTAACAGGGTTACATCCGGGGAGTGTTTTGAGGACGCCAGTAGTCTTCTCATTGACTTGGACAGGCACGCGGCATCCGTTCATGGCGTCGTCGTCGAAGAAGGTAAGGACGGGGCACTTCTTGATGACTCCAGAAGTATCAGTGCACTGATTGACTGACTTTTGCAGGACTTTAACGTCCCAGCCGTTGAGGAAGTCACCATGGAGGCCGTAGCCGGTCGGGTCGCCGTTGGAGAAAACAAAGGGATGCGAGCTACCATGCCATCTGTCCTTGAACTTACTGACCTGAAAGACTACATCATAGAATATCGTGACCAGGCGCTTTGGGTGCGACTGTGGGCAAACGCCACTATCAACGCGATCCGGATACGCCATATGGCTCTTGTGATTAGGCGAATCCAGGTTTTTGCCATCCCAGCAGGAGGGGAACATGACTTACGCTTGTCAGAACAGCAAAACCCTTAACGGCCTGCTCAAAGGTGAACTGGGCTTCCAGGGCTATGTCGTCAGCGACTGGGGCGGCACTCAGTCCACTGCCAATTCAGCCAACTCGGTCCAGGATATGGAACAACCCGGAGCTGGTATGCTTCTTGGCGGAAGGACGGAATCCTTTAGCAGAAACCTTACACTGGCCGTCGAGAATAGGACCGTTGCATCCTCCCGTCTTGATGGCATGGTTATGCGAATCATGACCCCTCGCTTCTATCTTGGCCAAGACTCAAGCGATTGCCCTCTCATTGATCCAAGCTCCGCAGACCTGAACAAGTTTGACCCTTCAACAGTCAAAGAGAAGTGGCCTCTGGGTGGCGAGAAGAATCGAGTCGTTCGTGGCAACCGCGCCGAGCTTATTCGAGGAGGCAGTGGTTCTGGTCGCCTCACATATGTGATATCACCTCTCGAGGCTATAAAGGCATGGGCAAAGCCAGCCGGATCGCTCGTTCAGTACATCACAGACAACAAGCAGATCCTCGCCCAGTCCAGTGGTGGCTTCAGCACTGGTGCCATCCTCAACTCCATCTATCCCGTTCCGGACGTATGCTTTGTCTTCCTGTAGTATTACGTATCTAAAGGTCCTGACCACAGCGAATTTGACTTGAACAACAACGGCACTGCTTTCATCAACAGGGTTGCCGGTTCTTGTGCCAACACCATCGTTGTAACTAATTCCGGCTCTCCCAACATGATGCCCTGCGCGGACCACGAGAACATCACGGCCATTGTAAGCCCAGTAAGCCGACTTTCGTTCCCTTATACCGATAGATTGACCGCGTGACTATAGCTTGTCGCTCATCTTCCGGGAGAGCAGTCCGGAAATGCAGTTCTAGATGTGATCACTGGAGTGTATAACCCCAGCAGCAAGCTACCTTTCGCAATTGCATACAACGAGACCGACTACAATGCAAGGATTGCCAAATTTACCGCCATGAACATCAAAGATCCCAACGGCCCATTCATTTTACATTTCTAACGAGGTTGAAATGAGACCGAAGAACAAGGTTCAATTAGTAGAGATGAAGCGATAGCTAGATGGGCAATAGAGTCTAGTAATAAGGGTTTATTGTCTACTAAGATCGGAAACTGTATAAAAGAAAGATTATTAAGTGTGGATATAAATGTATGCATTGTTTCTGTGATGATGGCTAAGTTCTTGTGGGCATATCTATGCTTCAAGCCACAGGTCTCAACTGCAAACAACACATGTAGCTCACCAGTGACGACGGCCTCCGCGAATGGGTGAGTGGGACGGCGATTCCAGCAGGGAGACACAATCGGAGAATGTGGGATTGGAATAAATGGGTTGCTACGCTCTCAAGACTACTCAGCACCGTTTAGGTGCTTCGACAAACATAGGAATTATCTAGAATGGTGAGAGGCAATGCGGATAATAATATAGATGTAGGATGTATCTTAAACGCATTTTGATCACTATATTTTCAAGGATTTTATGTATTATTATCGTAAGTTTACTATAAATGAGGCTACACACTAAAACACATAATGGCATATAATATCTGGAAGATATTAACAACATCACCGTGCTAGACTCTTAGCAGCAGTGGGATATCTGTGCACCTATGTAGGAGCAGCGGTTGTTGTAGTTTCAGGAACCTGCTTAATAGCAACATCGTACTGCTGTCTGCAGTAGTTCCGCTGATTGAGCTAAATCCTTGACAATTGTTTGAGGTTGAGTCTGTTGTAAACTGAATTGCGGCGCAGTTCGAGGATTGAGCGCAAAATAGTACACATTCTTGGAAACTGTTTGCGTGGACAATTCCGATAGATGTACCGCCAGTGACAGCGAAGTTGCAGTTGATATCGAAAGTGGAACCACCTACGGAGTATGGGTCGCTGGTGGAGGCGCAGGAACTAGGGTCTGGGCCGGAACTCGTGGTTGTTGTTGTATCTGCAGTTGTTGTGAATTCTGTGGTGGTTGCTTCATCCGCAGTTGTTGTATCTGCGGTGGTTGTTGTGGGTTCTTCATTAGTAGTGCTGGCCTCTGTGGTAGTTGTAACAATAGCAGTAGTAATCTCCGATTCTATAGTTGTTGTAGCCTCTGTAGAGGATATTTCGGTGTCGGTCGAAGCCACTAATACCGTGGTAGATGTACCTGAGGTTGTCTCACTCTTTAAGAAAGTGTTTGAGCTAGCTGTGGCTGACGGTGATTCGGTCGTGCTGGCAGTTGAAGCTGGAACAGTAGTACTCTCTGATTCTGCGGTGGTTGTGATCTCTGTAGTCAACAATTCGGTTTCGGACGAAACCCCTGATGTGGGGGTAGATGACTCGGTCATGCTGGCAAGCACGGTAGAAGTCTCCGACTCAGGAAATGATGATAACTCGGTTGTGCTGGCGAGCGACGTAAAAACCCCTGACTCGGTAAATGATGATACTTTGGTGCTTGAGCTGTCGGCAGTGGTGGTGACAGACTCGGGTGCAACAGTTGCTGTAGCTTCGTTGCTGGGTGTCACTGTAGCAGATGCAGTCGTAGTAGTCTCGCTGGCAATTTCGGAACTGGTAGCTGTCTCAGAGGCTGCCTCCGAGGTGGTTGTATCATAACCAACAAGTCGACCATTTTGGCACTGTATGGCTGTATCCTAATCAGTATGCAAACGTGTAAGCCCATGAGGTATTCTCACTGTCGAAAGCAGCCAAATTGACTGGTTCACATCCCGCAGGTGAAGATGAAAAAGTAACATATACTTGACCACTAGCAACCTGACAGAAACCTGCCTCGCCGTTTGGAAGTGCTGCGTTTCTGAATACAAGATCTCTGCCAGAAGTCTCAAAGGTTGTTGTGATAGAGTCGCTGCCAGGAAGACCCTCCCCTTCTAGTTGCACATATGCCTCACCAGAGTAGGAAATAGGCACACCTTTGTTGAGGAGCTGACCGTCAACGAGGTTAAATCTCGAAGCAAATGTACAAGTGTTGGGGTTATCCTGGCCAACGAAACCCTTATCTTCTCTTTTGCTAAGATCACGCTTTGTGTTGGAGGTTTGTTGGATTAGAAAGATAACGGACCGCCATACGCATCAAATTGAGGTGTAAGTGAAGATAGTCCACTCTTCCATAGCCATATCTCCAATGAAGAGGGGTATTCGTGTTAGCCGTCATAGAAAGACAAGTTGCAAAAAGGGCACCTAGATTTGGTTCGTAATTCTCGATGAACATAGAGCAGCATGCTTCATGATAGCCACAGTCATAACCCCAACGAGCATGCGCTTATTAACTCGTACGCTTTGCATCGGGAACAGCCTGTTATCTAGACCTTATATGTTTTCCCTTTAGACGCTAGCTTATCGTTGTTGACCGATCCTGGACATGAAGACTTTTCGTCAAGTATTATTCCTAAGTTTCGGATTACTATGAGTTGCCACTTTAGTTACCCTACAGGAATGAATTTGTTTTAAAAGTGTTAATACTAAAGAAAACTTCTATTGTGCTGACCACTGCCAAATTTTCATTTAAACCTTGTCTCCAAGTCGACATTATCCCTATACGCCACTTCTTGTCCTTCCTCGCTTTCACCATAAACAGCCTCGTCCCAATCCAAGATTTTGATCATTCCCAACCCAGCTATTGCCAGCTTCTTAGAAAAGAAATGTTTCTTAACATTTGCAGTTGAGACCTGTTGCTGGAAGCATGTATATGCCCACATCAAATCGATTTCTTCAGACTGACATTCCGATACTGCAATACAATGAGCTGTTCTCCAATAACGTCAATATCTCGTCATGGTGCGCATCTACCACGTCGGCGGAAGACTCGTTGGTCGAGGAGTGCTGAGACAAACACCCTAGACCAATTGGGCATAACTTATGCAGACCCGGCATTGAAACTTATGCAAACCAAGGCGTTTGAGTTATTTTACCCTGTAGCTGTAAAGTGATTTGTTTTTTGCTGAGTGGCAGAGAGGGTTAAATTACTGTAAGACTTAATACACTTGTCAGGATAGATGTATTGTTTTTAACCTCGATAAGTTTTTTCTGGAATTCTGGTGCATTAATGGTTTTTAGCCAGACGTTAACACCTCGAGCGTTTTATTTGCCATTTGTCCCTGGCGTTACCCATGCCTGGAAATCAAGAGGCTTTATGAACCAATAATTTTGCGTTGCCCACTCTTTCTTGAGTAAGCGATCGTGCAGAGCAAACTCGAAATCCCGAACCAAAGCAGGAATAAGTTTGCGCATTCCGAGCATGGAAATATAACAGCCGATGCATGTACGGGAAACAAGGCCAAACGGTAAGAGCACATAGTTAGCCCTTTATTGTAACGCAACCGGGGCCAGTTTGATGTGTTTGCCGCCCTGAAATCGGCCCATGAAAGAATAATGGGTAAACTTACAGGCATCCAGAAGCAATCCATGAAAGCTGTGCGCTTATTATTATCTCGCATCTCTCCGGCGAGAATACATCTGCATATAATTATAATAATTAAATATAATATTTTAGTTTTATATTATTATTATCTTACATATCTTATATATATTATATTTATAAGTAAACCCTTTCCTCTTAGGTAAGTGCCTATGTCCTAGATTTATATAATATGCGGCTTAGAGAGATTTATAGCTTTTAGCTATAATTACATTAGTACCCATGTACCTACTTATATTAGCAGTTAGGCCGAAGGTAAGGGACATTAAACCCAACTCTTGAGACTTGTTTTCGCCGTGAATATATGCTTAATAGGCCTATAGCGGCGCATATTTGGAAGACCAGATAGCTGATAGTTAACGGAAAAAAAGCCAGATCTTTTAGTTAACTTGGTATCTGTAAGATTAAGAATGGGACACAGAGTTGGTATTTATTGAGTTAAAAGCAAGCGCCTGGAACCCCTAAAAATAGAGCCCCTAGGATGAGGGCTGGCGCATGGATTATATAGTTAAAATAGCAGCGCATAAGTGACTCGTATAAGGAAAGGCCTAGCCAAACCTTTGTTGTCAGGCACGCTTGGCCCTCTTCTCTGTGACCGGAATATATGATCTGATTTCCCTTGACGGGGTGCTTCCTATGCCGAACCAGCATACCATTTTCTTGGCTAGTGGAGTATTTCTAAATAGTGGCGTCTTGTTGGCCAGGATATCTTCTGTGTCTGTAAAGTTCTATCTGAAATTGGTTTGTGCCGCTTATCTGAAGCGAAAACGGGAAGAAGAGAAGAAAATCTTCTTGGCAAATGCTGGGTAAAGTAGTTACAAGACCTTTACTGCCTCAGCCTGCAAGACGTGGCAGTGGATTAATGATATAAAGCGGGATAAAACTATCTGTCCATTGGCTGCAAAGATTGAGGCCTTCAATATTTCCCTGCAACAGAGCGTTTATAGATGTGAATTGCGTCATCTTTGCCCTCAGGCCAGGCCAGCTGCCTTCCCAAGTCATGCTGATATTAAAACTGTGACTGTGATTGAAGTAGCTCCAGTCTCTACTATAAGCTTGAGAGGTATGGCTGATATCTCGTGTGTGAGATGACACCACTACGAATGTCTTAATCTTCGTGGTAGTGGGAACATGAAAGTTGCAGACATAATAGCAAACCAGAAGTTCTTTGTGCGGAATAGTCATTCTCAGGGCCTCATCTCATCAAGCTTCCGGAATCAGCCTTGGGTTTAAACACGTCCAACATCAGCGGCGACAGGATATATATATGTCAGGTCGTTGAGAAGCGGGCTGCTCGCTGACAGCCTCCGTGACAGAGGTCAAGCAATAAAGAATATGTCCATGGCACTACATACAGACACAAATATTCGATCCAATGAGGAGCACTGACACCCAAGTCATTCAGGTCTAGATGTAAATCCCAACATATGAACTTGGCTCCATCCTGTGTCTCTGCAGGTGGCTCGCTCAGAAATGCCAAAATGCAACAGCCCATTTCTACATATGGAGTGCCGATATTTACTGAGGTAGTCTCATGTTTCTATCGACGGATCCATGTAAAGATAACTGACAAAGAAAGGCGAGCCAGGAGTATATTATCAATGGTACATTGTCGATATGTTTGTGACACAGTGGAAAGCCTTCCATTAGACAAGAGACAACTCTTCAATGTGATGATACCATGCCAACTCAATAGGTTCGCGGGGCGCTACAGGTGCCACGTATAACTTTCCTGCTTATACTTGGCATAGACGGAACAAAGTCCTAATATTTTGCTGCCACCAAAACGTGCATATCGCCTTGACGACCATAGAAATGGACGAGTTTCATCAATTGATGGCACTGCGCATCCGATGTTTCCGATTGCGAGAGGCCGGCCAATTAAAGGTTCAGACCCCGAATACCACCTCGGGGTAAAATCGGCACCTCTTTCCGACGAGAGCAGGAGTCGCCGTATATAATCACAACGACAGCCAAAGCATTGGTTCATTTGCGTGGCGCCGACCTATGAAAATTAATTGAAGTACCTCTGAGGTGCTCAGTTTATTATTGCTTCAACAGTGGTATCTCACTAAACGTGGTGCTAGTTCCCAACATTGGCCTCTCACCCCATCATGTCTATTGTGGAATCGGCGTATGGGCCCATGAACGGTCACGGCCTGGTCTTTGGATTCCTTCTGCTTGTAAGTTCTGCCCTCGATAGTAAATATTTACTGGGACTCCTTATCGGTGAGTACAATGATTTCAGTTTGACTAATACATATGCGTTTCCAGATTCTAGTTCAGATTATCCGCTATTATATCTCCCGCATCCGCCGTTTCCCTGGCCCTCTCACGGCGAAGATATCATCCTTCTGGCTCGCATCGCAATGCCAAAAGGTTCGACGTTCCGATGTAGTGATGAAGTTGCATAAGAAACTTGGAGACTTCGTTCAAATTGGGCCCAACCATGTGTCTATCAGCAACCCTGCTGCGATTCAACAGATCTATGGCCATAAAACTGGGTTTGTCAAGGGTCCCTTTTACGATGCGTTTCATCAGGTAACGCCAGTTGTCTTCAACACGAGAAATGTGTCAGAGCATACACGAAAGAGAAAGTACATTAACCCTGCCTTTTCATCCCGCGCTTTGTCGGATTTCGAACCTTATATGGATGCCGAGATCGTTGGATGGAAGCGTCAACTACTTAAAATTTCCAACGGATCAAACAAACGGGTTGACTTTTCTGTCTGGAGTGAGTGCACTACCATTGATACTGACGGGATTGTCCACTAACCTCGTTTGCCAAAAACAGCTAATTATCTGGCCTTCGATGCCATTGCCAGTTTTGCATTTGGTGAGCCTTTTGGCTTTGTTGAAAAAGGAAAAGACGACCATGGCCTCATTAAAATCATCGACACCCGAGGGGAGTTCATGAATGCCCTTGGATCTCTTTCACCTGTTCTAAGATCATTGATGAAGTACAACCCTTTCGACTCATTCTGGAAGAACGGCTTCCAGGCGTCAGCAGGTCTTGCAAAGATTGGAAGAGAAGCATTTGAGAAGCGAAAAGCGTCTGGAGATAACAGTCGGAAGGACCTACTAAGCTTCCTGTTCAATGCGAAAGATCCAGATACGAAGCAACCAATTACTGAAGATGAAATCATAGCTGAGTCGATCAGCTTCATCGTTGGTGGGAGCGACACGACGAGTAGTACAATGACCAATTTTATCGACTTTGTGTCTCGCGATGCTGATTTACAGAGCCGGATCCAACAAGAGATCGACATGATTTTCCCAGGCGAGCCTTCTGATGACTGGGTACCTAGTGATAAAAGGTTGAACGAGCTATCGCTATTGATTGCAACTTTGAGGGAGGTCATGCGGTTTCGACCTACCAGTGCCACTGGGTTAGAGCGAGTGACGCCGCAAGGTGGAAAATCTATAGCTGGACAGTTCATACCAGCAGAGGTAAATTGAAAGAGATAGACAACACTGAGAAGGCGTTGGATTTTGCTGATTACAGGTCTAGACATTAGTTAGCGTCCCAACCTTGGGCATCATGATGGATCCGCGGATTTTTGAGTCCCCCGAGACCTTCAGACCAGACCGATGGCTCGAGCCAGGTGGAGATAAACTCATGGAGTTCTTTTACCCGTTTTCTACAGGGCCACGAGCATGTATTGGAAGAAAGTTAGTCGTTCACGATTCTGGTTAGCTGTTTGGATGCTAATGACTACAAGCTTCGCCTGGATGGAGATTTTAAAGGCTGTGGTGACTGTCTTTAAGCTATTTGATGTCAAGAGGATGAACCCTAAGCCCACAGTGGTTAGAGAAGGTTTCTTCAACAAGGCCGTCGAATGCAAAGTGGACATTAGCAGGAGACACTTTAGTTAAGATGTATGGACTAGCTGGCTGTACAAGGCTGTAACCAACTTTAATTCAAGGCTCAAGATATCCTCCTGAAAATGTTCATATTATACAATAATCAATACACCATCAAGTCCATTCCGCCATGTGAATGCCACTCTGCGAATGGAGATAGCTTTAATAGGCAGCTGCTCCGTTTCTATCAACATGAGCTTCCTTGACATGCTGCTCCTTGACGCGGTGCTCCTTGTAACGGTCCCGGACTTCGTGGAATGCTGCAGTAATAGCATGGAGGATACTGTAAAATGTTAACTATCGAACAAGAAAAGTTTCGCATGTGACTTACGTGCTGACGATGGCGAGAATGAATGTGCCCCAAGGCAGATTGCAACTGTCATCTGAGGAGTCCGCATTGATTCCAAAAGTACTTGAGAAGCCCTCAGTCCTGTAGCAATGTCCTGGGCCAGCCCTGCCACCATTGGGGCGGGTAAGAACAGAGACAGCAATGAACGCTCCAACAAAAGCAATATCCAGCAGCACCCAAAGCCAGCGAAGCCATCTCGGGCCACCGCCCTTGAGAAGCAATGACATCAGCATAGCAATGAGCGTGTACAGGACAGCAGCGGCCAAAATGCCTTCAACAGCGCCATAGGCACCATTGACACCACGACGCGTCTTGATTGCATTGACCAGGTTGTGGACTTTGCGAAGACGGGCCGAGAAGAGTCCAAGGGAGATGACAGCTGAGAGGAATTGAAGGACGCGTGTAAGGCGTAGGAACCAGCGATAGAGACGGGAATGTTTGAGTCTGTCTGGAACCCATCGGGTCAATAGACCTGTTTCACGGCCACGATCATAAGTGGTCCCGTAGTCGGTGGGAGTAGCATGGTTGTCGTAGTGAACCATGGTGATGCGATAGGTATGTTAAAAGGTAATAGTGTTGAAATGGGCTCCTTTAATGAGTAGGATATATAGTAGAAGTTGGAATCAGACGAGATTTACTTGCTTGATTTACTGCTATTTCCGGACAATGATGCTTATATATAATTTTCGTAATCTATGCGAGACGTCATAATGTCACACGAGTCAAGGCATCACATTCCCAGCCGTGTGATATGCCCGGCCCGTCACCGTCGTCATGGATACAAGGTTCAGCCTCATAATGACACCGCAAGAATCTACATTTAATTCTTGTTTTCAATTTGATTAGCCAAGACGCGGGAAACGCCTTGTTCTTATCTTGGTAATGCTTGATTGTGCCATGGCTTGAAGTCCACTTTATCTGGAAGAAATGCTCCGGGCCGATGCCGATGGGCTTGGCTTACGTTTGACGGTGTCACCAGTGACGATTTTCCCGCGTCGGCACTTTAAAACCGGATATTATTAGAGTTGCATTAAGCCCGGCTACTGATCTATCACTTTAATTGTCCGGCGAAAGTCACTTACACGTCGTCTGTTTACAAGACAGAAGAATATGCCAGCAGATGGAGCCAAATGACTTTCAGCCATGAGTTTAGGTTAAATGGGGAATGAAATTTTACTTAAGTGGTGGTATAATGGTTCTGTTGAGAAGCGATATAGGCCCTTATTCCTCTGTTACTTGATAAAAGGGGCCCTTGTTTTTAGGCCATTAGTCTAGCAGTCTAATCGTCACAAATACCTACTTAGATTGGTAATAATGGATGTTTCTAAAGGAAGCATAAGTCCACCTTAGAGACAGCCCAACAAGTGACGCAAGATACCCTTCTCATTGGCAAAACCTGGCTGACCAATCCCTCACAATATCGTTTAGGCTCGTCCGATAGGCTCATCAGCATTTGAGACATCTCCTCCTTCCAGTGGCAAGTCTTCGCCCTTCACCCTTATTAATATCCCTCCCCTCGGTGAGGTCAAATCTGGTGTCGCAGCCCATTCCACGTCGAGTTATGACAGTACGCAAGATCCTTTTGTTTGCAAGCGAAGAGAGAGCTACTATAACGACTAAAAGATGTGCCGCATCTATGACCTCAGTGTAGTATGCCATGAGATGCATCACTTTATCACATGTATTGGCAAATAGTTGTTAAAACGTTTACCAATTTAACCAACCACTTTATCCCAATCAACCTCACAGCTCCTTTTAATATCTATATATTAAATTAAAATATAGATATAGAAAGCATTAATTACCTTATATTAGCAGTCCCTTATCATACCTCCATATCGTGACTTTATATAATAATACTTGCCTTTTAACTTTAGACCGCCCTAGAGAAGACAATGCTTGGTGTACTACAGCTGACTGCATTGCCAAAATGGCTAAAGTCAGAAGCTGATTGAAAAGGTGTAGATTGGATTAATACGCAGTCAGCCTAAAATAATATGCATTGAGTTGCATTAAGAAGCTTCACTCTTTCACACCGTTTTCCAGCACCCAACAGACACAGAATAGAAGCCACCAACTATTTGCGATATTGCAGTATGATTTACATGTGAAAGCAACTTTTTAGAATCTAATTAGCCCCGCCGGCTTTCTATATTAAGAGGCCACTTTCCCTCGTGTCTGAAAACCTCCAACCTCACGAATACCCTTCTACAATTTATCGATCTTCAATGTTCTGCCCTTGTCACCATGTCACACCTGGCTTTGCGCTTATGAAGCGGTTCATGACGTACGATACACATAAAGAGATCAGCCATATATACGTGCATAGTCTCTTACACCTTTAGCTATCAACGCACATATTTCAAATTTGTAGTTCCCTGCGTACAGAGGGCTCTAGCTAGCGCAAGCCCAGCCCGGCTCGCGCTTGGGAGCTGTCCGAGTTCCGTACATGACAAAATCCGGAGCTAAATGAAGTCAGGACCCGGCTGCACGATATAGACAATCGTTCTTACCAGATCACGTTCACGGCATGAAACTTGCCGTGGCTTGGTTGAAAATCTCAGAGTTGTCTCTATTCTCACTATACTTGTCACGTTGTGGATTGATATGTTCCCTACACATCCTGGCCTCTATATAACTCTGATGCTAGCGACCAACTTCAATCCTTGCAAGTCTCCGATCCAGTTAGTGGATTCTATCACTCATAAGCACTTAGCAACACTCGCATAGCAAATCAGACCGCGACTTTGCCCAGAAGAAAAACACCCTCCTTGTTGCTGAAATTGGCCACGTCTCCCATAATCTCGGCGACCTCAGGTCCTGCAAAAGCAGTTTTTACCTGATTTGCATCCTCCCATTCGACAACAGATCCAAATGCGTAGGGACTGGGTGAACCGTCGAGTCCATTGGAGAATTGTGTAGCCGACCAGCTTTTGAGACCGTATTTGCTCCAACGCTCTTGGATAAGAGGCATGTGCTTGGTTACGTAATAGCCAAAGTCGTACTTGGCATCAGGCTCATTGGGAAATAGAACTGTGACGGTGAAGGCCATGTTGATAGTGATTTTAAATGCGGGTTGGAGTGAAGAAATTATGTTGGTCTCTGATGTGGTTTATGGAGCTGCTGCTGATGAGACAGACTGTATAGAACACTGATGAGAGGAGATGAAGTCTTTATGCTTGAGCAACTTGAGTAAATGGCTGTCGATGACGCCCTACTCCCGGCGTTATCGGGGATACTTGTCATCATGATAGACTTAAGGTTTGATATACCCCACTACGGTCTGATAGAATTACAAATCAAGCTTTGGCAATACCAGCGAGGTAAGTGCCGTGGTATCACTAGTTGGTCTAGCCCATTAGTCTTCCGATATGAATTGCCTACGTTGGGAAGAATGTATTGAGTCTGTAAATCTTATATGAGAAGCACCCTCTCGTTTTCAAGATTCCATCTTGACTCACACTCGTATAGTTGAAAACAGTCAGCGCATTTTCTCTCCCATTATCTTCACTCACCATGTCTACGATGCAGAAACTTTTGGTCGTTCTTACATCACAAGATGTGCTTCCCACACGGGCCAACATGAAAACTGGATGGTATCTCCCTGAGCTGGTTCACCCATATAACGACTTGGATGGCCACGTCGAGCTCGTTGTGGCTTCACCCAAGGGGGGAGAAGCTCCCGTTGACCCATATTCCATCGAGGATTCTAAGAATGATGAAACGTGCCAGAGGTTCCTCAAAGAACAGGGACATGTCTGGAAAGATACGCAGAAGCTTGAAAGCTTCCTTGGCAAGTCTGGCGAGTACGTCGGAATATTTTTCGTTGGAGGTCATGGACGTGCGTTTCTTCCCCTGCGACCACCGTACCTTGAGATACTTACAGGTCACCCTAGCTATGTTCGATCTAGCCATAGACACCACGTCTCACGCTCTGATTCGTGAATTTTATGAATCGAACAAGCTGGTCTCTGCTGTTTGCCACGGGCCCGCGGCCCTGGTCAACGTCAAACTATCAGATGGAAGCTACATGGTTCAGGGCCAGACCGTCACGGGATTCTCCAATGCCGAAGAGGACGCCTACAAGTTCACCGACGCAATGCCGTTCTTGCTCGAAGACGAATTGAAGGCACATGGCGGGCTGTATGAGAAGGCGGATCAACTGTTTGGCGTGAAGGTGGTTACTAGCGGTAAGAGTGAGAACTTGATTACTGGGCAGAATCCTCCTAGCGCTGGAGTTATTGGCAAGGTTTTGTTGCAGGCTATTCAGAAGCGCACGCTTTAAGCCGCGGGGTGAGACTAGTTAGCTAGCTTTAGACCAAATGCGATTTTATCACAATTGGGCCTTCGCGCGAGAGCAAATCGTAAATGAGTCAAATTGGTTGTAGATCCAGAGTTCGATTTGTAGGTTTCCCCACATAACTCAACTCCAAATAACAAAGTCAGATCACAGGTTAGACAGTAGGTGTACTGACAGCCTGGATGGAGCTCCCCATAGTAATTAACTATTCCAATAACCCTAGAATGGCGGTGAACGGAAGAGCTTCATGATGAATATTCAACTCGATTTAACAAGTTCGGTCTTCAGCAAATAGACTACCCCCTGCAGGAATTAGACGGAATGTGCCGATCTTATTAACTCCTTATGACTAGCCTTCCGGAGTACGTGCAGCTTTATCTGCAGCTCCACAGACTAACCCCCTAGCGGTTAAGATTAGGCACTAACCTTGTCTTGATGGGCAAACTCTATTGCAAGCGGAGATATTGAATACTCTACCCTGATGCTGACATCTTCTTCCTCTTCTTCTTCTACGGTAGCTCTTGGCATCCTCCTCCCGTCCATACGGTTATCTCAGCTGAAATCGAGTCATAGCGCTGTGTCTTTACTACCCACGATTGGTTCCCTGTCCAGGGTTCTCTTCCGGCACCAATATCGAAGCCCCAAGTGGAAATTCGCAGTTTTCCAACATGGTTAACACTGGCCGACCCTCAATGGACTGTCTTCCCTGTAGGCGACGCAAGCTCCGAGTATGCCTATTGGCCATTCTATTTCTGTACAAGAGTGGCTAACATCTGAACCAAAGTGCGACCTAAAACCGGAATCCTGCGGCCAGTGTCGCCGAGCCAACATATCATGCCATGGCTACCGGAATTTCCAGGACCTGGCGTTCCGTGACGAGACACATGTAGCCAGGCAAAAGGTGGTGGCCCGCCAAAGATATTCCGGCAATCAGCTCATTATGTTGCCTTCGCCGATGCTAGACCTGAATCTGGACGTCGAGACACGTTGTCGAGGCACCTTTTTCGTGCTTTATGTTACTGGCTTGTCACGGAGTTGCTCCTCTCTCCCACCACTATACAACCAGGCCCCTATCGCAGGGCATCTTGCATACAGTGTAAATGCAGTCAGCCTCGCGTTCTCGGCAATACAGTTCGAGAGCCGAGAACTGATAAGTTCCGCCTTTAACACATACTCGGCTGCCATAGGGAGTCTGAGAAATTCACTATGCGAACCGAAAGTGTTGATAGGTGATGAGATTCTGCAGTCGATACTACTTCTTGATCTATTTGAGAAACTAACAGGGCCGAGCCTTGGCATGCCAGGATCTTCGATGACTCATATTCGAGGGGCAATGTCAATGATCGAGTCGCGAGGAACGTTGAACTTTACAAGTGTTTTATCAACGCAACTCGCCAGAAGCGCTTTATCGCACTATATAATTAGTTGCGGGATATCCAAAACTTCTATTCTGGACTCGCAAGTTGCCGTCTGGAAGACTCTTTCTGGGCTTACCATGGATGATAAATGGGATTACATGGGAATCCTAGTTGATATTGTTAACTTGAGGGCCATTTTGGCCAAGGGAATAATGGTTGACGACAGGAAGATAAGAGGAAGGATTCTTGAGATAAATTGTAAGCTTGGATACCTTGCGGACTCATTGGAAAGGTCATGCAGGCCAGTCACCGTCTCCTTACACCATTGGCAAACATTCAGCGGAGAATACGACGTCTATCCGAACCACCATTCAATGCAACTAAGCAACGCAGTGCGGATGATGCGTTTAGAGATGGAAGGATTGATAAGGGAAAGATACCGGCAACATAACGCTGACATGATCAACAAGATTGCGAGGCAAATCTGTCGCTCTGTTACGCACTACATCATGCCACATGCTAGGCCAGAAAATACTGAGCCTTTCACACCGATGCAGAAGCTGCAGTGCAAGGTGCTGATGGCACCACTGTACCAGGTTGCTCAGCTGTCAACAGAGAATTGCGTACAAGAATGGATTTGGACAATCCTGGAATACATGGCAGAGAAGGGTAATATGCGGATAGCAAGGGATGTCCTTGGCTTGTCCAAGAGAAGACTGGACATAGATTATTGGACGATTTGGGCCATGGCAGGATCCTATGCAACAGCAGCATAAGATAGTCTGCAAACAGATTACATAGATCCGGACATCAGGTTTAAGTCCATCTAATACTCGTATTCGTAAACATGTATGCTTAGATATCACCAAAGAAATCGGCCCGAAGGTAGTCTCGTTGGGGCTAGCGAGGGTTAGAAAAAGCTTATTTATTTTTCAAGCTAAAAGGGATAGTCGATCTCGGCATTTCCTGCAAACCGAAGGCCGAACAAAGTCTAACACATGATTCATTGATGCATCATGGTAGGTATTTAATTCCAATACCCCTTTGCAACAGGTCTGGAGTAGAGTAATCCATTTCTTCAATTATCACAAACTTTCAAAATTAACCGATCCCAGATTCATCTACAATGACTCGAGTTCTTGTCACAGGTATACCTACTTAACTATTTATCTGCAATGTGCTTTATATTTAACACATACTGTAGGTGGCACCGGTTTTGTCGCTGGACATGTGATTGGTGTCCTCCTCAAACATGGCCACAGCGTCGTGACTACTGTTCGTTCTAAGGAGAAGGCCCAGTCAATCCGCAATGAGTTCCAAGGCGTTGGTCAAGAGAAGCTCGACTTTGCTATCGTCCCTGATATTGCAGCCAAGGATGCTTTCCAAGGCTTGGGCGCATACGGCCTCGAAGCGGCCATTCACATCGCCAGTCCCGTGAGTCAATGGCGATTTCAAATTTCCCTTCAAGACTAATCGTTCTTACCCAGTTTCACTACAACATCACGGACGCCAAAAAGGATTTGATTGATCCAGCCGTTCTTGGTACGACTTCAGTGCTTGATGCACTCCACCGGACTTGTCCCACTGTTCGACGAGTTGCTTTGACCTCATCCTTCGCTGCAATCCTAGACCCAAAACTATCCTTTACTGGTGCGAAAAAGACGTACACCGAGGCCGATTGGAGTCCCCTTACTATGGAAGATGCCTATGCCAACCCCGGGCTTGCTTACGCCGCATCTAAAGCATTTGCTGAAAAGGCCGCTTGGAATTTCGTCACCAAGAACAAACCCAACTTCTCTCTTACCACCATCTGCCCTCCAATGGTCTATGGCCCTGTCAAGTATCCTGTCAAGTCCCTTGACTCCGTCAACACATCTAACCAGCTACTGGCTGATATCATCAATGGGAATCACAAAAACGGCTTTCCTCCGACTCAGCTTCCCCTCTTTGTCGATGTGCGCGATGTGGCATTAGCCCATGTCAAGGCTATAGAGACGGAAGAGGCAGCAGATAAACGCATTTTTGTCACTGCCGGGTACTATAGCAACCAGGAGTTGTATGGAGTACTGTACGAGAACTTCCCAGAGTTGAGGGATAGGCTACCCGATGATGCCAACAAAGGAGGTGACCCCAACCCAGCTTTGGATTCGTTTGGCTATGATACTACTCGGGCAGACACTATTCTTGGAATCGAATGGATTCCATATAAAAAGACAATTATTGATTCAGTCAAGTCTCTTCTTTAGACTGAACAATAGCTGGGGCTATTATCTGAGTTGTTGGAGCATATTCACGATCTCATTCATTAAATACGAAAATAGCCAAACTCTGAAATCGTCGTCTAATCTAGACACCTGTGTATCACAGACATCACCAAGGAAGCTCTTTGTTTTCCCAAGAAAGAAACCTTCCCGATGTTGCATGCCTTGTTGCGCCATCTATAACACTGACGATTCCATTCACACCATCCTGCACAGAAACAGGAGCCGCCGATAACCCTGAGCTCTGTGCAGCATGATTACCCAGCTACTATGAGTTAGCCCAAGACACAACTAGCGTGACTGTTCATTGTATGGTTTTGCTTACATCAGTTTGAAGCCAGCCAGGGTTGATACTAAAGGCCACGAGATCCGGATTCTCGAAATGTATCCTCCTCGTGATGAAGTTGAGAGCCGCTTTAGACGAGCCATATGCAGTATTTTCGACCTTTAGCTTTTCCATGAAACCGAGGCTTCCTGCACCTGATGAGATAGTTACGAACTTTGGGGTTTTTGCAGCGCTGAGGAGGGGCCAGGTTGCTTGGAACAGCAGTAGTGGTGCCACGGAATTGACTTTGAAATGTTCCATCATCTCCTCTACTGGAGTCACCTCTGCCGTTCCGAAATACTTGGAGATGCCGGCATTAGCAATGACAAGATCAAGCTTCGTGACACCGTGGTCTCGCTTCAAAGTCTCCATGGCGTCAAGGGCGTCCGTCTCTGAGGCACTATCAATCTTGACCAGGATACATCTGCTGTTGACACCCTTAGTGACATTCAATAATGTCTTGGAGCCTTCAGCCGTCGGGTCACGAACAGCGGCGACAACAACATGGTCCGGGCGAGCGATATACGTCTCGAAAAGGCCTCTTCCGATGCCTGGGATAGATTGTACGTAATTAGAGGAATAAACAGAGCTTGATGTCATTGACCGCGTTGAGAGAACATACCTCGATTGCAACCAGTAATAAGAACATATGTAGCTTGTGACATAATTGAGGGAGACAGAATACTTGTGACAGATTGAGAGTATGATAAATGATGAAGTAGTAACAACAGCGACCCCGGCAATACTCAGTTACGCTAGTAATGTGTAGTGACCGAGGAGTAGAAAGAAAGGGCGCGAGGTACTGGCTTTTAATAGGTGTAAATTGCACTATCTTTGCTCAAGGCTAGACTACCTAGCTAGTACTATTTCAGTTATGCCCCGCATTACAAGGGTCCGACAACGCCCGAGGACTCGGCCAAGGCTGTGTTGAAAGTTCTGAAAGAAGCTTCCTTGGAGAAAGCTAGCAGTGGGGCCCTTGTCTCGAAGTTTGGAAACAAGCAGTGGATGTAGTGAGCTTAGGAGCCTCAGTGTAGCATCTTATGATATATTAGAGTTCTAGGACTTATTGTGTCCGTGACTAGGATCAGTTCACGATATTTCAAAGGCTTTTGGTGGGCACGAGCTGAAGAACTGCCCAGCATCTATTGGTATATTATATGGTGCTGGTTCTACCTACTCCGACTCTGCAGGGTCTTCAATGTATCCAAATTCTCTTTCAATCCTCTCAAACTGATCTCGTGGGAGCATTGCCCCCTGAAGCCTAGCCTCAGCCCCTTTTTGCCACGGTTTGTTGAATCGCTCGTGTACCTCATCATAAGTCATCTTCTCCACTGCCTTGAGCCTATCAGATACTTTGAATGACTGTATCCTGCCAGAGTCCCAGAAGACATACCCAAGTTGTCTAAGTATTGAGGAGTGAGAGCCTCTAGGATCGATAGGTAGGTATACCTTTCCCCCATTTCGATTCTTTCTGAACAAGCTGTAGCCAAGATTCTCGTGTGATGGATCATCACCTAAAGTTCCTTCTTCCAATGAGATATCCTCATCTTGTTGCTCTTGTGGCCATATCGGCGAATGACTCAGGGCTTCTGGCAGGAACTCGCGGGATAGAGGGGAGTTTGAGCGAATCAACTCAGATCGACTGCCCTCTGATGTAGAGAGGTTGTATATGAAACCAAGGCCCAGAGACGTCATGTAGGTGATACTATCCGGGGAACTATATATGCCGTCTTTGGAAAATAATAAGAGGTTGGTAAGGTCTAACTCCTTAAATTCTACTAGGTCATCCTCTCCCTTTTTCTCGGCTTCTTCTCCTGGTTCTAATTCTGGAGATGATGGCCATACAATCCCAGGGGTCTTTTTGACAGCTTCAATGAGCTGCTCCTCAAGTTGTCCCACGTAGTCGCCTATGAGAAGGAAAAAGTACACCTGGACACAGGCCATTTCCTCTACCTCCCATGGCGTTAGTTGACTCAAGAAGAGATTAAATTGTTCGGCGGCGGAGAACTGATGGAAGGGTGAAGGATCCTCCCATGGCTCAGTCTCATTGGGTGGAAAGACGCGGCAGTAGATTTCATATCTTAGAAACGCCCTGTGAAGTCGAACAGACTCTGATGAAGAGGGAGCAAGGATCGATTCGTCAAACCCAAGTTGTTGCATTTGATGCAGAAACCGGGTGATAAGATATGTTACGCGATGGTAAAGTTGGCATAGCGATACAAGGTCTGCTTTGGTTGTCGGAAAGTCGAATGACGAAGAGGCACTGAAGTATTTGTCAAGGAACAGGAATACCTCATCACTAGTCGCAGGTACAGGAGCTTGCAGACAGACAAGATAGTGCCTACTCGTCCCAATAGGCAGTGTGTTCCGAGTTACAGCTGAGAGAATCAGCTGTGGCGTTTGTGAGAAAACTCGCAAACAAGCAGGTGATGCTGCAATCAGGTCATGGAGGCCGCGAGGTGAGTCAACATTTTGTAAGATAAGAGACACCAGTTCTGGTGCTAGGCTTTCTAAGGGCATTTTGAGAAGAACAGTCAAGAGGGTGAAGGTTGGTTTGTTTCGTTGTTATGAGTTGTGTAAGTCTTCCAAAGATTGATATGATGAGAGAAAAGTATCAGAGCAAGGCAACTGGAATTGCATACTACCATGTTCAGACTGTCACGTGAAGATGAGGGGCAAAGTGCTGCTCAGCGGTTAAATCCTTGTCGCATCACCACCAATGGGGTACGAGTATGTATATTATTAGCCGCGGTCAATACGTGAGCGCTTATCCAAACAAAAGATTATATTTAGTAAATCGTGATTTTATACCCACCGGGTCTGAACATCTGGCTTCTTGTTTCAGGTTTATGCAATCACCATTTCTACTGGCGGCTATAGATGGCGCTATTCGTCTGGATTGGCGGCGTTAGCGATGCCAGGTTCATTTATGAGGATCAGCTTCTCTACAGCCTCAACTGAGGAGTCTCCAGGAAACGAATGCAACCTGATGTTGGTCTGTCACCTGTTTCGGAACATGGTGGCAGAAAGGAAATGTAATGTTGGAACTGAGGGAATTCATGAGACTCTATGAATATAAAACGGACCGTCTCAGGACTAAACTCCAGACAATAATTCAACATCTTTCAGTATCTCAGTCAATCTCTACTACATCTTTCAGCGATTTGCGGTTCTATATCATCCATCTATCTTTGTAATATTGTTGTTGCAAATTTTGTATATTTGTTTTAAGTCATGTCTTCCAACCAACACACTGTTCAGTCCTATACCAAACTTACCGCCAAGGAGTATCAGTCATATGCTAATACCCGTCGACAAATCTATGGCCAGAATGTGAATACCCGAACGCATCCCACTCCCCAAGCGGAGCGCGATTACAATGCGTATAGCCAATGGCGCGAGCAGTCCAACGCCTCGCGAGATCACTACGAAAAGAGCTTGAAGGAAGCAGTTGGCCCAAACGGCGATTTTTCAGATGTTGCAGCAGAGGCAGCATCAGCACTTGGTCTTGCCAGCTGCTCAGGCGGCGACTGACACAAACCTGTAAGTGGCTTGCCTCCAGAAATGAAGAGAGCTGTCAATGATATGCAAACTCAACAAAGATAATGTAAAAAGACTAATTCGTAACTCTTTTGTTCTCCCTTCATAGGCATGCCAGTACCAGCAATGACTTCTTGGATAAGCATCCATTTGCATACAAGAATGCGAGGGCAAGAAAACATCACGAAAAGCTGGCAGACAGTTCTGTGAAAGAGGCAAAGCATTACCGCCAAGCCTATGATACACATTACGAAAAGGCCGGTGCGCCAACTCCGCCTATAAGACAAGCCCCATATGGTACACATGGCTCTTCTACTGCTGCTACTCCAGGCGTCCCTCGCCAGCAACCATCGCTATCTGTCCCTCCTCCTCCTCCTCGACGTGCCGAAAACCCGAGGATCCCTAGTCCAAGTGAGGCCTATGGTCAAACCCCTTACAGGACTCAACCTCCAAGTACTACCTCCACGTCAGCTGCCTACCGTCAGCCATCATCTGTGTCTGCCCCACCTCCTCAGCGCTCCCAGGATATCAGTGTCCCCGCTGCAAGCCAGGCCTACGGGCGCTCTGCTAGTGTTGCTACGCAGGCTGATTATAGTCAGTCGCCATCAGTATCTGTTGTTCCTCCTCGACCTGCCCAGGACCCTAGAATCCCTAGCCCAAGTGAGGCATACGGGCAAGCCTATTACAGTACCCAAAGCTCTACCAGGACCGCTGTACCGGCTCCGTATGTTCAGCAGCCATCGGGATCTGTTCTTCCTCCTCCTCCTCGTCGACCATATGACCCAAGAATTCCCAGCCCAGAACAAGCCTACGGGAACATTGGCTCTTCTCGAAGAATGGATCGCCGACAGTAAGTCCGCAAGATTGTTTGCATAGATCGAGTTTTGGAGTATTTTGTGTCTTGAGCCCATGTTGGAGGGAAATTTAAGCCTATGAAATCTTTGTTGTATATGGGTTCGCTACTGTTTGTTGGTCAGCGTGTATAGTCACCGTCGGGGTAATTTCAGTTGAATATCATTGCTTCGATTTAGTTACTATGGTCGATCACTTATGGGACGTGCACTCAAGCGATATATGCTTGAAATTTTGCTCATAAGGTAAAACAAGGCTTAGAAACACTTTAAATTTCAGATAATACAAATATCTCATGCAGTAAGAAAGCCAGGCGTTACGTTAATATGAGGGGGAGAAGTATTACTTGTTACCGAGGCCTCTTCTGGCAAATGTTTCAGGGCGTCAAGGGTATAAATTGCCTCATAAGGCCAGTGAACTGATGGCGATCATAATATGCTGTTCTTGTGATTGGCCTTCTTGAAGAGTTTTCCTTATGTATCTCTAAAACCCCCACATCTCTATATGTAGTGTCTGCATCCATATAAAATGGTTTGGGAATTCCTCTAAAATCTCGGCGATGTACACATGCCAGTCATCTTCCCATGCTCTAGCGGCATATACTGTCAGAGCATACTCCCAGTATGAAGGATACCAGCCAGACGATTCCCAGTCGAGAAGGGCCACGGTATTTTCCGGCGTAATCATGATGTTTTTGCGCTGGAATTCGGCGTGTGTAAAAACAGGATTCCCATTCCCTTTGAAGACTGTTGGAAGGATCCTTCGGTAAAAGTCGACTCTGTGTCGTGCTGTCTCACCGCTGTCATACAGGTACTTCTCTAGGAGGCCATTCAAGAATTCGTCCTCCGAGTTCATTCTATATGAGTCCGCTGTGCATGTGTCATTCAAGCTGGGAGCAAGGTGAGAGGCCTGGAAAGAAGGCCAGTTTGGCTTCCAATTATTGTATGATATCTCAATCATGAGCTACTTAAGGAATTTGCATATGAGCCTTATGGTGAACCCCGTCTGTTGAAGCTTCAGCTTAGCGCAATTAACTCATTTCGCGATAAAACTTATTTTTTGTTTATACAGGGTTCGAGGTCATGTAATTTTAGTCAAGGGGGAACCAACAATCTATTCATCGCAAACTAACAACTAGGTACCTTGTCACATTCTGTCCTGTTGGTTGTATTATCATTCGTATTCGAACATGGATCTGCAGCAAACGGTCTGGTGATAACCGCTGGTTTAAGTTTTGTTACAACCAACATCTGTTTCAGTTATCAATACATCACCAACATCTCTTCTATTTTGATCAGCTCGGGCTTGAGGTTCAGGAAAGCAGCATTGGACGCGACGAAGTGTAAATGTCAGTATCTATAAGAACTCGCGGTTTTCCAGTGATATAGTTAGCTTCATTATCATTCAGTATCATCTTAACCCCCTTTCACCGTTCATCATTCTGTCCTCATATTATAAATTATCTGTTAACATGTCTCTTCCTGTCTTTCTTGTGGAGTATCTCGGACTTCCCCGTAATCACCATGCTCTGTTTATTCGTCTGAATGAAGAGACAGAAGATGGCGAGCTTTACCACATTGCTGGAAATGTTCAAAATGGCATGCATTTTTAACACAGACCTGTCAAGAAACCTCAAGAGCCCAATTCATATGTTGCTCAACACTACTTGGGCTTCATCTCTAGTTCGGACCGTCAATTCTTCAAACAGATCTGCCAGTCCAATCCACCTCCTGCCAAACAATTCAATGGCAACAAGAAAATCAACCCTCGCCAGCCTTTAAGGCGATGCCAGGAATGGACGGCCGAAACTATCGCAATGCTACAGAGCCATGTTGTTCTCATGTCAGAAGGATCTGTTGGCAACAGCGCACCACGGGGTTCTACCCGTCCAGTTGACTCCGCCTATGGCCAGTCCTCAAAGCAATCTAGCCAGGCTAGATCTTCATCAAGCAACCAGCCTCTGGATGGGCAGACATCTAGCGACGGTTACTGGACATTCAGCTCCAAGTATGGAGATTACTATCACGTTGGGAAGGATGGACGCACCCTATGGGCAAGCCAGCAGCGTGCTGGATCAAGTGGAAACAGAAGTTAAGAAGCATCCGGATATAAGTCTTGGTTTGGCCGCTATTGTACCTGATTGTTAGTGTCTTGTCTGTTTGTTTGCATTGGAGCTGGCTCTATTGTGTAGAATCTATTTGCTTTACCGTTTATTGATTGTCATTCGAGCCCGAACCTCCTCACAACCGCTACACCTTAGGTCTTTTCCTTAGTTGGGACCTGCACACAAGACTTGGGGTATACAGTAAATATGGAAATGCTTGTCGTCCATATGGTTAAGCCTTGGTAGAAATCACGGATCAGCGTACAAAAGGTGTAAAATATATTGGACTGGGGATTCGAAGTAAGACGTGCGATACAAGCGTGAGCTCTAAGCCATATCAATTCTAAATAACATATCCCAGAGCCACGCTTCATGCAGCATGCCAACTAACCCTCAACATCTCATGGATAAATAGAGATAACAATGAATTGGCCAAATTATTACAGAGAGAAATTTGCCCAGTACAATGGTGCGCAACGCTTACTCGTTTCGGTTCGTCCGTCCTTCGTCCGAAATCAAAGATGCTCTACCATTCGCTTCTCAAAAAGGGTAGCGTTGCGCAATAAATGGAGACACGATACCAAAGACTCAATATGTATTTGTAAGATGAGTAATTGTCACAATGAACCATATTTAAACATCAACAGATCATGAGAATAGCTGTGAAATACTGATATATATCCAGCAGACACCTCAACTACCATTCAGGGCCATCGAACAAAGGTATTCAATAATACATGATGAGCATTCAAGCCTATGAGATAACCATCCTGGGCGCCACAGGATGGACCGCCACAATCTGCGCAGAGCACATTGCCAAGACCTTCCCAACAAACGCGAAGTGGTGCATTGCAGGTCGTTCAGCCGCAAAACTTGAAGATCTGCGCCAAGGCCTACGGGCCATCAATCCAGACCGACTGGAGCCAGCAACTTACGTTATCTCTCAACTCGACGCTGAAGGTCTCAATCCCCTTGTCAAAAACACCAAGGTTCTTATCAACGGCATTGGACCATATCACCGCTACGGTACGCCAGTCGTTGAAGCATGTGCTCGTAATGGTACCCATTATGCCGACTTTAGCACCGAGACTGCATGGATAGCAGAAATGATTCGTGATTGCCACGAGATGGCCAAAGGTTCAGGTGCGATTATCATCCCGGCTATCTCGGGATCAAGTGCTCCATCTGATCTTGTGGCGTGGCTGATCGCTTGTTATCTTGGCAAGCAAGGCTTACCTGCAGCATCTGAAATCGTATGCTCTGGAAAGCTCAGCATGTTTGGGATGCAGGGTGGTTCTCTACATACCGTTCTTGACGTGGCCGAGACCTACGGGATCAGTGGCTGGTTGACTTCTGACACCTCGGTCCTGTTGCCATTTCCCAAACATGAGGTCAAGAAGAGAAAGGGACTCATGGGTCATCGTTACGATCAACATCTTGGGCATTTGGCAACATCCTTCGTTGCGTGGGGTAATGAGTCCGTCGTTCAACGATCAGCAGCCTTGGGTCCGATGATTTACGGACAAAACTTGGTGTTCAAGGAGTACAGCCCAGCCACTGGCCTCATCTCTGCGCTACTCATGCACATCGTCACAAAACTGGGCATATTCTTGCTTGCAGTGCCTTGGTTCAGATCCTTCGCTCGTGGCAAGTCTTTCAATCGAGGATCTGGACCAGACAGAGATGAAAGCCGCAGAATTGAGAGCGCGGAATGGAAAGCAGTTGGCTATGTGACTGGCAAGAAAGAACCAGTGGCGTTTGCAAAGTTCAGCTACAAGGGAGCGCTGGTTGACATGGCGGCAATTTTAGCCGTAGAGGCTGCAGCGACACTCAACAGCTTGGATAATGCTAAGACTACTGGTGCTGGAATATTGACGCCATCAACATTGGGTATCACATTTGTGGACCGACTTCGGGCAGCGGGTTTTGATCTCATGGTTGATGTACTTGAAAGGCATTGATTGAGTTTTGTTCCCGGTCATACGTATTATCAATTATTACCATTGCACCTCGCTCTAGGGTACCGGATTGGCGGGGAAAATCGGCCGTTGGTTCTCAAGACCCTGATCATGGGTTGCCACGGAAGTGGAGAGCCATCAAATGGCCGATACCGCATGAATGCGATTCTAGCGCGAGAAATAAATTATCTCCAACCTCTCATATTCCGCAGCGCCATCTAACCTACGTGAACCACGAGCACGGCGTCCAGTAAACATCCCGAGGGTCCGAGTGATCAGCGTTGAAGCTGGCAATAGTTGGGCACCTTCTCTCGAGTAAGGCGTGAATGATCTGATAACTTTATTCACTATCTCGGAACTCGGCACATAGATCAGTCTTCTACAGCAGCCTCTGGCGTGACAAAAGGCTACTAAACACAAACTTGACGATATGCGGTTAGGTTGAAGCAACATGACAGGGTAAACAAGAGTTATGCATACTGCGAGAGTTATTATTTTACCTCATCTATGATGGTCCAGAATATTCCCCCACGTGAATGAAACGGCTATGCGAGCCGAAATGGTAGGGGTCTCGAACAAGCCAGGAAGTTAGATCGCTGTTAGTCACGAAAATGCCGATGAAAATTTCGTACAAGGTCGAGAAGTCCCGATGCCAGCCTGATCAAGCTAGCTATGCTGTAGTGGAGAGATATCAGATGTTATTAACCGAGGCGGCTGGTGGCTGTTTCAAACAGATTACTTGGAAGTATCTGACTTTTGCAGTAAGGTGAAGTCTGAAGAGATGGTGTTAGATGGGACGGATCTCATGTCTCAGAGATGATCTGCAATTCACATCGTAACAAGAACCAAGAAACACAAACTGTGGCTAGTGATCACCCAGGCTATTACCTAAAATTAGGGTAAAAGCTCTCGTTACACTGTCAACGGGGATCTCCGCCAAGCCTCGTCCCACTTGGACCAACAGTCCATCATACGCCATCACATGTTAGCCTACCCTAGTCTCTTATCAATCAGTCTAATCGATCCATCTTATCAATCAGCAAGGACCCCGCGCTTTCCGTCCAAATTCCCGTTTTAGGTATAGAACACGTGGGATAGCTCTCTTTATCTGATCAGTGGCTGCGGCAGTTCGGCACAGCTAAACGAAAAATTTGCCTGCTGCATGCAGAATTCCGCTGCGTCACTCGTTGGTCGTCAATGGCGGAATTAAGGCTTCTGGAACGCCATGTCTTACTGTGACCAATGGTGACATAGGGTCTCATTCCTTGGAGGGCTGATGGTTCCTTGGACTTGGATGCCAAGAAGTGATATCGCCAAGAGGTGAGACATCGGCACGTTGCCAAGACGGGCACTTAATGTTACCAAGATTCGATATGGGACTGAAACGGAGCAAACTGTAATACTGTCTGTATCATTTCGACGTTGAAGATGTCAACTTGAAGCTCTGCACAGTTAACTGGAGCCACTCATGTCCACAAACACGAGACCACACTAACCAAGCGCAAACTCTCGGTCTCCCTCCGACCCTGGAAAGTCTGCATCAACAAAACGGGTCCAAATCATCTCCTCAACATGGCCCATCCCTTCCAGTCCCCAAAAGCTGATGCTAATCAACAAGCCACAAACCCATGACCCAGGTTTCTCTCAACTAACACTAAACCAATAGCCGTTGTCCAAAACGAACGATATCCGGCGATCACGGATCTAGAATGCAGCCATGGAATCTTTTGAGGGATCTTTTGCTAAAAATCACCGTTTATGGAACAAGAGGTATTTTATCCATCTTTGGCCGATGTTACTTAAAGATCAACTACCGAGCACTTCAAGTATCTCTATCTCTCAAGCTCCTCAGATCTTCACCTTTTCATTATTTGATCTTTAGCCTTGGGCATCAGCCACCATGTGGTCTTCCACTACAATGCCGGCATTAGCAATCGTGCTGTCAGCACTTTCTTTCCTCCCCAGCACATCAGCCACAGTTCCTCTAGAAGGCTATGGCCGAGACTCCTACCCGGTACCTTGTGCCCAAGCGTGCTCATACGCAATGCCTTACAACCTCGACTGTCCTGAGTATGCAGGTATGACAGCAGAGGAGAAAGCGGCTGCGTATCCATCAGCAGCATGCTTCTCCAACGATACTTCCTACTTGACTTCCATGGCCTACTGCATCCACTCTTATTGCCCAAAGAACGTCAAGATCTACAAGGTTGAGAACTTTTGGGAGACCCTGATGATTTACCAGTCTGAGTCAATTCGATGGTCTTATCCTGAAGCTCTGGCTCAAGTTAACACTACGACTGCACCGAAGCCAATGTCACCAGAAGAGACGGTGTTCAACCGTACTATCTCTATTGACGCAGCCATCTATCAGTCCTACATGAACGGTGTTAAGGGGTACCAGGCCGTCGCCAAGAATGAATCCAAGTACTCGTAAGTTTATACACTCTCACTTTGCATACTCTACTAACCCTCTATAGTCTCCTCGCCTTCATGACATGTGTCATGGTGCCGATTGGCTTCTCCCTCCTCCGCTTCCTTCCGCTCCCAACGTCCTTCAGAAGCAAAGTGTACGGCTATCTTATCGACCCCCCGGCTTGGGGCAAGCAGCACAGCGTGGCTACGCTTGGGATCGGTATGGTGCCTACCCGAGGTCAAGCTCTCTTCATCCTCTACCTCATTGGTATCAACTGTCTTGCTACGTTTGAAGGATATCCTAACTATACTCCGAATGGAATCTACCCGGATCGTCACTATGAACTGATGCGTCATATCGGTAACCGCGCTGGTGCCATTGCATTCGCCAATATCCCTATTGTCATCCTCTATGCGGGTCGCAGCAGCGTTCTTCTCCGACTTACCAACTGGTCCTACTCAACCTTCCTTCTCCTTCACCGATGGACTGCCACCATCTGTGTCGTCCAAGTCGCCCTTCACTCGCTTCTCTGGCTTCGAATCATGATCGAGGGGCACTCATATCCCTTGGTTCTCACATACCCCTACTGGTATGTCGGTGTCGTTGGAACCGTCTTCTTCTCTGCCTTGATCCCTTTCTCGATGCTTCCAATCCGAAAGATCTTATATGAGGTCTTCCTCATCACGCACATCGCCTTGACGGTCGGTGCTCTGGTCGCTTCTTGGTATCACATTGTTTTTCTCTACGAAGACACGAGCGGCTTTGAGATCTGGCTCATAATCGCTTTTGCTTTCTGGGGCCTTGAGAGACTCCTTCGCATTCTACGTATTTCCAAATATGGTATCAAGAAAGCATACGTCACTCGCATTGACGACAAGTATCTTCGAGTTGACATCCCCGATGTTGATGCTCATGGTCATTGCTTCGCTTATTTCCCTACTCTGTCCTGGCGTGTATGGGAGAACCATCCATTCTCAATCGTCAACTGCAGCAAAGGTCAGCTTGATGGAGAGTCCGTGATCCCAAGCTCGGCTTCGCATACACAGTCTGAGAATGAAGGGGCAATCTCACCGACCGAGGCATCAGCTTCCAAGGAGATGGGCGGCGCCATGTCCAACATCCGCCAGTTAAGAGTCCACAGCAACACTACTAAGCCTGGCATCACATTGTTTGTCCAGAACCTCCGTGGTATGACCGCCAAGCTCGCAAAGAAAGCTGGCACTGGTATCGCCATCCCAGTTCTCATCGAGTCTTCTTATGGCCACGAAGACACCAGTCGCTTCGAGCCCAACACCGAATACCGGAATACCCTTGTCATCTCCGGTGGTGTCGGCATTGCTGGCGTTCTATCATCTCTCCAAGCCTCCCTGTCAATGTACGCCAAACCCCTGGGAACCACTAAGCTCTACTGGGGAATCAAAAGTCAGGGCCTTGTGGATGTTGTCAAGAGTATGATTGTAGGTGGAGATGCCGCCGAAGAAAAAGAAGGTGGTGAATCCTCCAACTGGGGCCATATTGAGACCCATGTCTCGGTTGGTGAGCGCATGGACATAAAAAGAGTTTTGACGACGGAATTGGAGAATGCTATTGGTGGAACTACGGTTGTCGTTTGTGGTCCACATGCGATGTGTGATGAAGCTCGGTATGTCTGCGCTGCATTGGCGAGACATGGTGTTGTTGTTCGCTATGTTGAAGAATCCTTCACTTGGTAGACGTTGGATAGATAAGAAGAAAAGGAAGCTCTTGAAACATTGGTAGATACTTTATGATACAGTCATTGGCTCTTGCATTCATTTTGAGTGATTAAAAATTACCATTTAATAAAGGTTGCATCCGGCAATGCCGATCAAGGGACCTCCGTTTACTCCGTACTTCCAAGATGATAATTCGTTGATAGTAGTTTTTGCTAATGTCGGAATTAGCTAGGATCGGGATTACACTCGTAGCGTATGATCCGGCTGCGGATGGCTAAATTATTCGGTCCTATGAATCCTTCGAGACGGCAACAACTAGATGTCTTCAGAGGTTTAGTGCGCCCTGCTATTGACAATTTGGCTCGCCAAACGATGCTATTGGTAAACAAGGTTCCAGCACGGTCCAATCGTGAGAATTGCGGGCGCTAGGAGGCGAGAGTAATGGTAGTTAGCAGCTCAAATGGAGCCTCATCTTTACTCTGGAATAATATGCTTACTCTGAAGGATTCAAATCAAATGCTAGAAACTCTCTGCTGCGATGCTGCAACGGCTGCTATGCACACTTCGAGTATGCGATGATAGTTAATTCAAAGCGAAGGATTGTAGCAAGGATTGTGTAAAATGCTCTGGTGGTAAGGCTTTGTACTCTGATACTGTCACGACTTGACTAATCGTCGTCAACAGCCTCGATGGATTCGTCCTCAACGCGGGATATCCTAAACTCGATTGGGTTCCGCAAACCCTGAGCCATCTGTATGGCTATGCCGACGACCTTGCCAGCAAAGGGGGCAAGTTCAGACTGGCCCTTTCTCTCGACCTATATGCAACAGGTGCATGGTGCTACGACAAGAAGCTTGGCGATGACTGCGGAGGTGTAAGTCTCACTTTTATCTACTTTGCCCCAGTGGTGAGCTAACTCGAAGGTCTAGCCGAAAGAATATGAGGCGATCTTGAACAGCTTCCTCGGTCGAGATTCTTATTTCCGTTATGGACGTGACAACTTCCCCTTCATCACGAGTAAGTCTGAACTCATGAATGACTTGATAATGCTGACACTATACAGGCTTCAGTACCGGCAGACAGACTGACAAGAACTTCGTTGCCTGGAAGAAGTCCTTCGCCAACGAGATGTACTTCGTCCCTGGCATTGATGATACTACTGGATTCTGGGAGAGCTATCCAGCCTGGTGGGATTATTGGGGAGACCTGATCGACGGCGCCAGCGTTTGGGAGTCAGCCTGGCCCAAAGTTCATGGCATCAATGAAGGTGATTTGTCCAGAGATACCAAGGTCATGGGACCTCTGCAGAAGAAGGGCAAAACGTTCATGATGCGTATGTCTCGTTTCAACTCTCCGTTCAGCAGGGCACTGACTTTCTTTAGCCATCAGCATGCTTCAATACAAGAATGCGGTGAGTCAAATTGCTTAACGCAGAAAAACAAGACCGATACTAACCACATAAACAGTACGGAGCGAATTTGTATCGCCGCGGTGAGATGAACGTTGTTAAGAGAATGGAGAATATCCTCGGCATGGACCCTCAGCCCAATATCATCCAGCTCTTGACTTGGGTAAGTTCCATCACCACGCAGAGAGATTTCCGGTAGTTAACACTCGGTAGAATGATGGACCAGAGAATCATCATTTCGGCAACCTCTGGCCCGAACAGAACACCGATGCCCAACCCAATCAATACGACAGCCCCGACGGTTCTGATCACACCGCCCTCCAGTCACTATACTCAGCCTTCATCCATGCCTGGAAAAACGGCGGTTCTATGGTCCTGGTCTTCTCCAAGCGAGATGAATCCATACCCCAAGGTGCTCTGTGGCACAAGAGCATCTTCCAGAGCACTACTTGTCCTGGAGGAGATTCTAGTGTCAAGTACTTCCAAGCACCAAACGGTACCGACGCTGGCCAAGATGCTCTCCATTGGGCTTTGGTTGTCCCTGCAAACGCAGCTGGCTTCACCGTCAATGTGATGAGCAATGGTAAGAGCATTAGCTCAAAGACTCTCAGACTGGCCTCAACTATGGTACGGTGGAGGATGGAGTTGAAGACGGCACGCAGCGACTGGTCATCAAGAATGGCGATATCGTCGTGGCTGGCACGGATCGAGGTCGATGCCTTGCCCAAGACTGTCACAATGGCATCTACAACTTCAACCCTGTTATCATGCCAGTCAAGGGTAGCTTTGACAACTCTGACTGTTGGCAGGTTGAAGGCGAGCCCATCTTAGACTAGACAGGCGAAAAGGTCTTGGGCACTACACTTGGCCCCCGAGATGCTGACCCTAGTCATAACCACAACTCTCCATATGCGTCAATCCCTTTCGACGGCTATATTAGTTGTAGTCTGAGCCAAAAAGAAGACATCAAGCCGGCCTGGCGGGATGTTGTCACCATCTTGGCCAAAATACCAGCCTTTCAGCCAGGCGGTTTACTTGAGCAGAGAAACTTTGGAGCCGACATTGCTGAGAGGTCTAGCAATATCTCCTTTATCAACGGTACGTATATCACTTGAATACTCTCCCTTTCCCACGCTGACCTTCGAAATCTAGGTGTATATGCCAACCTCAGAAAATTGACCACGACCGCCCGCGAAGGCCGAATCATCCGCGCATCCTGCCAAGACCTCACCCAGGCCGGTTTCGACATCCAGACTCGTTGCAATAGCATCAAAGGTGCCGCTGGTACAATCGGTGGCTATGCCTTCGACGACGCAACCAGTTCTCCAGGAGGCACCATTGTCTTCTGTGGCGGATTCTTTGCCCCAGGACAAGAACACTTGGCAGCTGTCCAGAGAGAGCTAGACGCCCATAGAACGAAGCAGAAGGACTCAATTTTCATGAATGGCAAATTCCGGCCGATGATTCATGAGCTAGTTCATCTTCCTTCTGTGTCTCATAATCTCATTGGGTCTGGCAAAGGTGAGTTTGATTTGAGCAGAGATGAGCGAAAGTAGAGCTGCTCACACTGAGGGTAGAAGATGATGTGATTATCAAGGATCAGTATATCGGTGCTGATCAACAGACAAACGCGTATAAGGTATACATGCCGGAGATGGTTAAGAAACTGGCAAGGATGAGGACACGGCGGTACCTGACAACGGCCAACGGTATGAGAACCCATAACCCCGAGTGATACTCTATCACTAACAGTCCCCTCACAGCTGATACTTATGCCTGGTACACTGTCGAAAGTTTCTTCACCGCTATTTATGGCTCCCCTCCCAACGGAGAACTGACAGGGTGAGACGACGACGATCCCACCACGACCAGCTCTGCCCCTCCCGAGCCGCAGCCAACAGCGCAATCGACAACCTATGACTGCAAGGGTAGCGGAATTTGTGGTCTGAGTACCTTCCAAGTCAAGTACTGTGACCGTGCTATCAACTCGCTAATCCGCAACGATGACAAGAACTACGGCGATGGCAAGGCTCTCAGTGGCAACTGCTGGGGCGATGCGACAGACAATGGATGCGGTGTCTTTGTCACAGGTAAAGGATGTGTTCTGAGCGGTAACGAGATGTGGTGGAAGTATCAGGACTTGAGGGATGACGATAAGGGAGGATGTGACAGGTGTGGTAGTGTTCATTATGGCGATGGATGTCGGTTCACTGTGAACTACCAGACGAACTGTGATAACAGGTGAAGGGTTATTCCCTGTCCATGTAGAGCCCGGGGGGATATTGATTCAAACTTGGACAAAAGTTGTTCTACTGTCTTTAAGTTAGCTAGTAGGATAGGTTGACTATTGTATATTTTAGTCTTCATGAACTCTACGACTAGAACAACAGTAATCCCAGCCAAGGGTCTCTATATGTTCACCTGTGCGACATTTCTGTCAATGTTCATCCAGCAACTAAGTTACAACATGGTTAGGCATGCCGAAGTCTCAACTTTCAGCCTACTTTCACTTTGAATAACGCAATAGATTAAGAAATAGAGTCCAGCATTGTACTAAACCTGAACTAAACTAGACTAAGCATATCTCGGACAACGGCAAGTCTCCTGTCATCCTTTGCATCGCACGAGCAATGGGCGAAATATCCTTGACCAGTAATAGTCAGAGCCACCATCAGTAGAACTCTCAAGTTCTAGGAGTGGGGTTTCTGTACCGCAACATAGTGTAACAAGTAGTAAGGGGACGGTTATCAGAACTTGAGGTTTTCGCCTTGCTCGGATGATAAGCTGTGACGCTCAAAGGTGAAAGTAAGCAAGGTGCATTGATACCCAATCAATTTCAGTCGAGACCGTGTCGCTGCTGCGCTCTGCAGCCTGAAAGATACTTATGGATGTACCTGAGAACTTACAGCTACTTTGTGTAAAGGAGACTGAGTAATCCCAGCCATAATAGAATCGCAATCATTATGAACTTAGTTTGATGGTGGCGCAATTATTAAATCTGTGTCCATTATGTCGCAAAGACCAAGAACTGAGGTGCAGCATTGGTCTTGGGCAGATAGCAGCAAAGCTCTTGTGCAATTGAGGCTGATGGAGCTGCGGGAAGATTTTGTGATGCCCTCCAGTATGAATAAAGGTGCTCCATAGTTACGACATTATTGAGCTCCTAAAATAGATCTTTCCCGGCTTAGGGTGCTTTGTTTAAAGCGGTCAAACTTTCATTCCATTATCCGATGTTGCTCAGTCCCGTAGAAGTATAGACAAATGCTATTGACGTGAATATCATTCCTTGTTACGCCTTGGAATATCAAGAAAGGGTAAGTGTTCCCCCACAGACATGGGCTGCGGAAAGCTTAATTCAAAGTCCGCTTTTGCTGCCGTTTCAAAGCTTCGGGTTCTAGGAACATGCCGAATCTAAGGTTTTTTGGTTTCCCCCACTTATATCCAATTCTTAACTCCGCGTAGCGAACATGTAACACATAGCACCTCATTGCAGAGAGTGCTTCCACCATACCCACGAGATGCAGTTACGCATCCACTTTACAAGGTTCAAGTGCGGACTATGGAGTTTACTAGTCGACTTTATTTATAATACCAGAAACAATCTCCGCAGGATAGCCGGTTTGGTGGTTATAAATCATGGGAATATCTCAGATATATAAAGCTATACTAGTCACTATTCACTACAAGACAGACAAAGGCAGCGTGCAAAGGTTGAACATATTCTGTCTGCAACTTTCATTTAATTAACCCCAAAAGCATCAACTCACGTCAACTTAGCAATGGAGTTCAAGGTCATCCCCCTGACAGAGCGCACTCATAATCGCGCTTACGAAGCAATCCTTCCAACGCGCCCTGAATTGTCCCAGGCGGGTAAAACAATCCTGATCACCGGAGGCACCGCAGGCATTGCCTATGCTATTGCGAGAAACTTTGGCATCGCTGGTGCCGACAAGGTTATTATCACTGGAAGGTCCGATGAAAAGATCAAGTCTGCTGTCAAAGGTCTCTTCGATGAGGTCAACGCCATCGATGCCAAGAGCCAGACAAAATACCAGGGTCGTGTGTGTCAAATTGCCGAAACTTCCAGTATCGATGCCCTCTTCGACGGTCTCAGGAAAGACAACATCCACGTCGACGTCCTCGTGCTGAGTGCCGCTGTTATTGGTCAGGGGAAGATCATAGACCAAACTTGGGAGGATGTCTGGGAACAATTCATAGTCAACGTCCGATCCATCCACCAGTTCCGCGATCTGTTTGAAAAGCAACCTAGGACTGGAGCTGGAACTGTAAGTCTCAAGCCTTTACGTATATTGTACCTACTGATAAATGATGGCAGCGCTACATCATAAACGTGTCCTCCTCGGCCATTCACCACAGCACTGGTGGCCTTCCCCTAGCATCCTACACTCTTACCAAGAACTCCGCAGCCCTGTTGCTGCAGAAGATAGCAGACGAGACAGACCCATCAAAGACGCAGATTATCAACTTTCACCCTGGCGCTATCCTAGGTGCTCGAGGTCAGGAACTTGGTTTGACACCAGACTCAGCAAACTGGGATCATGGTAAGCCAGCACTACGGCCCGCAAAAGAATACACTTCTATATGCATCTGCTAATCACAGTCTTAGAGGATCTTCCAGGTTCTTTTGCCGTATGGGCTGCTTCTCCCGAGGCCGCCTTCCTCCACGGTCGCTTTGTCTGGGCTGCTTGGGATGTAGAGGAGCTAAAGAGTGGACCTTTGCGTGAGAAGCTTGAAAACGATGAAACTTTCCTCAAGGTCACTGTAAAGGGTGTATAGTTATTATACTTAGAATATAAGAATGAGTATTCTTTTGACCCCTCAGCCTTATCATCTTATCACAGTAAAGACCAATAATCGAGGTATAGCATTTGTCTTGGACAGAGTACGGGAAGAGGGGAGAAGACTGGTAAGAACAGAAGGACGTTACTACCGGCAACTACACGTGCTAATATATAGTCTAGTTTGTACAGGCGCGACAATGACCTGTGCACAGAATGAGCAACATGGTGCATTAAGGGGACGACGATAACTGGCACTTCTTCTGCGGGCCTATCGTCAATTTTTAACGTAATTTCCGCCCTCCCCACTTACATCAAAGATCCAGCGAAAGTATTCGTGCATATCAACGCCACATTCAATAGTTCAGCGGCCAAGCCAATAGCTGATCGGGCTAGGCTCATTTTGGATATACTAATTATGATTCTAGCCTGGGGCTTCAAGCATAAAATCATTTTCGTTGGTCCTTCTTGTTTTTTCCGCTCTTTACCTACTCTCTACACTCATTCTCACACTCTTTAATATTCATCGAGTAGGGAGACCAAATAGTGGCCGCCACGCCCAAGCTGCAAATCCCGTTCCTTTATACGTTTCCTCCCTAACGCCACCAGCATCATGAGGTTTACACACCCAACCCTCCAGCTGCTAGCTTTGTGCTCGACAGCCTTGGCGTCTCCCTGCAAGCCTTCCGCTTCTTCAGTCACAACAGCTTTGACTTCGAGTACCGAAGAGCCTTCACTTTCTACCACGCAATTGCCGACTATTTCCGAGGGTGTTACTACCGTTGAACTCACCAGCGAGCCTTCAGCCTCTACAACTGAGGCCTTGACTGCTTCTGAGACGGCCACTACCACCACTTCAGCTGAGCCTTCAACTACAACATCGGATCTTCCCCAGGAGCCAAGCAACCTCCTCCTCAACCCCGGCTTCGAGGAAAACGCTGTCGCGCCCTGGGAACGATCTGGTTATTACGGTGATCCTACCTTGTCTACCTCGGAGGCTCATGGAGGTAGTCAGTCTGGATACATCAGTGCCGTCCCGGGAGGTCCGGCAGACATCGGCTTCAGACAGCGACTTGATGCTTCGTTGTTTGAGGCCGACAAGCCGTATACCTTCTCCGTCTACGTCAAAGTAACGGTTGCAGGCAGTTGTTTTACCCGATTCGTCTCATGTGACTATGGGACTGGATCACAGACTGGATATTTCACTACTGCCAACATCGCAGGACCCCTCGATGAGTGGGTGTTGGCAACAGTGACGTGCTCGTGGAGTCAAGCTCGCTTGGACTCTGGGATCAGTGTTGCTGTCAGGGGTGTCTGTGAGCGTCTGAGCTTTTATATTGATGATGCTGTTATAATGGCAGCAGAGTAGTACATTTCTACGTATCTCAACTTCTTTATCGATAAAGTACTATCACTTAAACGTCAGTTTCTAGACTAGATATAATATAACTAATTTTGTATTATACTTATTACTGTTTAACTAGTCTTCACCCTTCTTAATATATTTAATGGAAAGATCGTGCTTTAAATACATCCAATGTAGGTTTAAATATGTCCTCTATAGCTAGTAGCATGCCGCCTGCTCAGCGACCTCTTTGCACCCATCCTTCCCCAGTGTATAGGCATTGCATAGGATGTTGCATGCCTGGCCAGGTTCGACAAATACACGGCCCTCTTGTGAGATGGGTTTAAACCAAGGAAGCCTCATCTGTGACTGACCCAATGGTGCACGGAATCCGGCTTGACAAGCACAGTAATGCTTTCCAGCGCTGGCAGCAGAGCCACCCTCAACCTTGGTGCAGCTAGCGGTAAGGTCGCATTTGTTAAACCTAGGATCTGGGTCACACGTCTCGATGCATGTGATCTTTTTGCAGTCCTTGGTACACGTGGGACTTCCGGAAGCCCCATCATCACATTCTTCGCCGTCTTCAACGAGGCCATTACCACAAACAGGCTTCTTTCTGCAGCTCGTGGTGCAAGTCGTGCTACCCGCTGGTCCATCATCGCATTCCTCACCAGTTTCGACAATCCTGTTTCCGCATACGGGCTTTAGCTTGCAGTCTTCGGTACAAGTATCGCTTTTTCCACATCCAGGATCACACTCCTCGCCGTTGGCTGGAGAGAAAATACCGTCACCGCAGATTCCACGGCCAGCGCACTGGATTTGGTACATGTTGCAAACACGCAGCAGGTCCATGAGCGTCGGCCGAGACGTTCGACCAACCTTGACACCGGGTTTGATGGGGGACAGAGGCTGGGATAAAGAGTCCTTTGCGGCACTGCGCTCAAAGTAGTGCATGACAGAGCTTGTGTCGTACGGTCCTTCAAAATTATAGACCAACGGGTCTACCAGCGCCGTGAACTGACAGCCCCATCCTTGGCACTTGTCTTCTGAGGTGCAGACAGGAGCTACCCCCTTGTCATCAACCATAAGAGCCGAGCAATCAAGATTAAAGTACTGATCTCTATCAGGGCGCTTGTGTTCGTGTTGAAGGCCGAGTGCTTGATACGGGGTCAGTGTCTGGCAGATATGGGTCCTCGAGGTGTTACGGGAACTTACTATGTCCTATCTCATGAACGTACGTGCTTAAATAGCCTTCTCCAAGTGAGATGTAACTCCAGTCCTGCCGCTCTGCTCGACCCAACGGCGACGATGATGTTCCGCCCTTGACAAACTGTACGGTAATGCGGTTGGCCGGCGTCGTTGCCTTGGGGTCATACGGGGTGGTCAAATGAATGATATGCAGCCAAGGCAAACGATCCATCCATATCTTAGCAGCCTCTTCGAAGAGCTTCATTCTTGAGCTCTTGTCAGCATCCGACAACCATGACGATACGTCTTCATCGCTCCACGAGTAAGGGACAATTGCGTTCGGCCATCTCCCGCCGGGAGCGCGATTAGACAGAGAGCGCTTGGTGGGAGAATCAGTGACTCGATCCGCTAGGATGTCACCCTCTGTACCATAGACAACGTCACCGTCGATAACAGCCAACCCGTTGACGACTACATACGCAACTCGACGGCGAATTGTTGTCAAGTTTTCTGGAGGCCCGCATCCGGCCCAAATCTGATATTCAATGTCAATAGTGGTGAGATTATTCCCAAACCCAGTAAGGTCTTCAACAAGACTTGTGTTTCGAACTGCAGCATCGCAAATGGAGAACAAAGCGGAAAGGCCCGCGAAGAGCACAAAAGATAGAGTATAATTCTTCAACATCGATTCTTCTTGGTACTTTCAAGTTTTGATAACAGGTGTACTTCTGGCAATTGAATCTCGCCTAAGCCCTTCTACTTTCAGGTGGAGCGCGTGGGCAATCGTTGGAGTGATGAGAGACTATATGAATCATTCAAATGATAAACCACCAGGAAATAGCAAAGACAATTCTAAGCATTTGTGCTACTAACCTAGTAGCACCCTGACAATTTACTGTAGCTGAACCCCCTTGTGGCTGATTCAATTTGATTGTGGTCACGCCGAAAACGCCCAGCTTCGACTCTGAGGTCGAATGACAGACTGATAAAATGTCACCAGCTGAACTTTTAGAGGCGCTGCTTACCGTGCTAGGCTGTAAGCTTATCTGGAAGCTTGTTTCAATTGCTAAATGCGAACATCAATTACAGGGGGCCCGGTCTAGACCGCCGCCTCCAGGAAATAAACCAGTCCAAAATAGCCACATTCATGGTCACACGTCGCTTAAAGCGGAAAGTCTTAGACCTCTGCAAGAATTTTGCCATGACTCCTCCGTCTTTTCACGGGCTCCTCCATGTTTTTGCGGAGAATTAGCAAAGTACACGGGGAATGCTGCGCCGAGGCAGACTCTCTGACATTGGCTACCTAGTCTAAGGGATAGCCGAGACTTTTCCTGCCCCAAGCTACAAAATACACAAAGCTCATCTCTTCACGACAGATGTGCTGTCTTGTTGAACCCACTGCAAGAATTAACAAGATCCAATTATCGCCTTAACAGTCACCCTCGAGATGGCACAATTCCTATCATCTGGGTTATTCCCATATCGGCGGATCCCATTCCTCCTCGCGAAGAGCTTTCAAGTCATCTCATCATGTGTTGTCGCTGGCATAATGTTCTTCTTTATCGCCCACTTGAACCAGGAGCACGTCAAAATTCCGTGGATGTTCTTTTTTGTAATAAACCCATTCATTGATACTTCCCAACACCTTTTGCTGTTGCTAAACTGACCTTTTACTACTATAGCTACAAGGCTCCGCCCTTGCCACCCTCATCTCTAATACTGTCATGGGCATCTGGGTCGTGCTTCGCTCACCCGTGCCCAAGACGAGCGCGGTTGTGAACGTAGTACTTGCGGCCCTCTGGGCTACAGGTTACGGACTCCTCATCAACGCAATCGAACCAACTATCTTGATTCCTTGCACCATGAGGCGCTGGGGCAATGATCGTGGCATTTTGGTGTGCGGCCTCTACAAGACCTTGTTGGCGGCTGGAGGAACTGGCCTGTGAGACTTCCAGCTAATCGCGTCCCCCCGAGACGTTCATCATCACGGAGAGATTGCTGACTCGAATGTTAGGTTGAGCTCTATTGCCATGGTGGTGGTTGATATCATGGCGGCCCGTAGGCTCGAGCGGCGAATACGAGGTAGTACGGAGCGAGAAAAGCTTTTGAGCAAACCTGAAGGCGAAACAGAGTATGCTCCTGTGTGGACTGGCCAGTCTACAACACCAGTGGGGCTGGAGCCAACGAGGGATGAGCAAGCCGTGCATTGAATACAATCCTTTGGGACAGTTGCAAGGACCAAGCTTCGGCTATAGCTGGTAGTAAGCTGCTACTTGCTGTCCTGTTGGGACACCCTCAGAAATGCCGACATATCCTAGCCTCAGGGCGTCAAAACACGTACGACCCTGAGTCAGGATGTAAAAATATAATGATCAAAACGTATTCGAAATCCGCCCTAAATTACTCTTAACTTACCTAAGTATCTTTATCACTTATACAATGGTCTTGTGTTTTCTGCCATCCCCCAGCCTAACCACAGCTTTCGTCTTTGCCTCGTCTCTTATTCCGGATTATGAATCCACTCTCTGAGTTTGTTCAATGAATATGTGTCGTGCTTCTGCTCAGATGTAAAGAAAAGCTCCTCATACCACCCGTCGGTCCCCAGCGACTGAAGTCGCTGTCCTACAGGCTGACATGAACCAACGTCAATGAGTATCGGCATTCCATGCTTGACCATGATGTTGTGTGGGTTGATATCGTTGTGAGCTAGGCCCAGTGAGTGGATGTAGGCGACTGCTGATTGGAGAGCCTCTAGGAAGTTGGGCTTGTCTAGCTTCTCAAACTCTGGAGTAGCTGAGAATTGCTGTAGTGTTTGATCAAGCTTTTCAAGGACTATAGAAGTGATGCGTCCACGCCTGACACGGCAGCCATGGTAGCCAATAATGTTGGGATGTGCCGGCTGAGATATCTTTTCCATCGTAAATGTCTCTGCTAAAAGTTCTTTGTTGATTGACTAAAGAAAACTTCTTCTTCGGGAGTAACGAGGTAGAAGGTGACATATTTGGGCATGTTTGTTTCTGCATCCCATCCTTCGATAATGGTCAGATCTTGGAGCGATGTCGCAGTTGGTGGTATTTTATGAGGCGGCCTTCCTGTGCCATTTTGGTATTGGGAGAAAAGGAAAGTGCAGGATATAGAAGATGAATTTTAGGGACTGTCGATGATGGTACGTTGTAATGGATTGGGAGATTCAGGCTGAGAAGCGAGAAGCCATTTCATTTACCCTGAGCATGAAGTTATGCAACAAATAAGCGTGTATGGATTGTCCCATAATTATCTTATGCATTCTTATGCACATTTATGCTTAGTCTCACATGTACGCCTTAAAAAAAATTCATTGACTTATAATAAAGTTTGAGCAAGTAACACATGACTTTTGTTAGTATGTCTGAAGGTAGGAAAATAATTATTTGGTTTTTATTGACCTCTTAGAACGTGAGATATTGTATGGAGCTTTTTTGATTCCTGAATCTGGTCAAGGATAAGATAACTCATCTCTTTTCTTACTGCCCAGCTCCAGATCCAAGCTTTTCTTTCAGGATCTTCTCCGTAAGTGTCCAAAGCTGCTCCTGCAAACCCTCATCAAGTGCCTGCGAAGAAGCCTCCGTGACCTTGCAGTCTGGCACAATGTAACTACCATCAATCTTCTCCTCCCTAATAGCATTACTAGTCGCCGCGAACAGAATCGGTCGACATCCCTGGTCCACTGGATCCTTCATGAAAGGCCGAATGACAGCGACTCCAACCTTGCCCAAAGTCCCGTAAGCATCAATGGCCTGTTCCTGTTGATCTGTCTTGACGCCCCCAGGATGAGTGGCGTTGATCCAAGGCCCTTGTCCAGGCTGCATACCTAGTCGACCTTGCTGCTTCCGCCGATAGAGGGCACGAACAAGAAGTACTTGGGCCAATTTGGTGCGGTTGTAGAGGTAGGTTGGGCCAATGTCCCGATTGATCTCTTGAAGATCAGCGAACTTGATGTCGCTGGGCGCTGCACGGTGCAGATCTGACGATTGAAGACAGAGCCTGCTGTCAGGCGTAGCGATCAACTTGGGCAGTAGCGTCATGGCCAAATGGTGCTGCGCAAAGACATTGATTTGCATATGGCTATCAACGCCATCTTTAGTCTCTCCATACGGCCCAACACCAAGCCCAGCGTTCAAGACCAATGCGTCAAGGCGGTCTAGCTCGGACACAAGTCTTTTCGCCACCTGGTCTGTCTGATGGAGATCCTCAAGTTCAACCTGGACAAACTCCACACGGGAAATATCACCGTACTGCTTCAAGCCCTCTGCGGCCTCATCGAGGTGATGCTGCTTTTTCCCAAGAAGGTAAAGCTTCTGGCAATGGTGCTGGAGGATATGCGCTGAGATTCCATACCCTATTCCTGCGCTGCCGCCTGTTACAACAAAGACCTTTCCGCTCAAGTCGGGGATGTCAGTGTTTGGGTCGAACTTGTTACTGCTTCCAAGCATGGTTTCGAGGCTCCAGATAAAATTATTTGATGCAAGGAACGTGAGAACACCGTTGTGAAGTTCTAACACTTTATATAAGGCCATTATGATCCATGACATTCGATGACGTCAAGACATGCACATCTCAAGTCACTTCTATGATTATTACATCTCAGATCAGCCACGTTTTCCACGTTCTGGGCATAGTTAACCACCAATTAAAGCACATGACTATATAGTGAGATATCGCTGTGATGGTTGCTCTAGGCGCCGATCACGTGGTCTCACCATAGAAGCTAAAATGATGAGACAGAATCACCAATATATCCGCAATCAGGTCAAATAAAGTGACAGTATGCACAAGAAAATATCGTAAGCTGTCCAACTCTCCATAAAACAAATTTTATCTAACTGCTGACTAGGTGTAAACGCAAGGTCTGTTAAGGCGTCTTTGTAAGAACCCACGCTTATAAATCACTCAGCTCAAGTGCTCAAGAACAGAACCATGCGAAAGCTGCGCTGAGGCTGGCAAGGTATGCGAGTATCGTGAGCTGGATAAGAAGAAGAGGCCAGTATCTGCAAAGTATGTCACAGAACTTGATGAAAGCATCGCCTACCTCGAGGCTCTGATCATCTAAACAACTTCTGGCTTGCGGGCGTTTATGAATCGAACGCGTATGTAACTGTGAACTTTCTTATCTCTGAGAGATTTTCGCATCTCCATCAGAAACACCTCATATTCGTCTTTGGGCCATCCCAAAATCTGCTGCCACGCCATGAGGGTGTATCCTATACTCCATTAGAAGGCTGAAATGATTACACGAAGGCCAGGACCGATGCCTCGCTCACCTTCAAGATCGTTTTCTATCGTTGCGCGAAGGAACTGACCGACTTCACGTAACTTGGGGTTCTTAGCCCACCCGCCAACAGGAACCTAGATGATGTGAGACGCAAAGGTTAGAAAGGGCGATGCGTAAGCAGACGGTACCTTGAAGTCAGTAACTTGTAGGTCAACAAATCCAGCAGCAGCAAGAAGCTGTACGTCTCCTTCGATCTCGCAGAAGCTGCGACCAAAAGCTTTGCTCGCCTCTTTGAAAAGCTTGTTCCATGTCTGCACTGCCATTACGTCGCTAGTTGTCTCATCATCGCTGAGGAAAATAGGATTGACCTCGACAGATTCGATAAAGCCCCCAGGCTTGCAGCAGCGGAATGCTTCTTTGAACAGCGCACCCCAATCAGCAATAGCGCCAATAAGGTAGCGCATATGGACAAAGTTAAAGCTATTATCGGACCAAGTCCAACCACTAGTCGCATCCTCAAGTTCAAATCTGACGTTTGGTGGCACCCAATCTGGTTGGATTGGAGAAAGATCCGTGCCAATGACCTCGGCATTGGGACATTGGTCGGCAAAATCGCTGTGAAAAATCAGTATTTGCAACTGCTCCCTATGAAACTCAAGACTCTTCCGTACATTGCCCATATACCTAGTCGCTAGTCAGCTTCTTTCCTGCTCCAGGTGTTATCCAATGTACTACTTACCAGTCCCGGTTCCTATATCCAGTACTTTCTGTATATAGTTAGTTCCAGGAAGAAATTGGAGAAGCCTGAGCAACTGGCCTCCAGGTCATCTGTCAAAGGGACTAGCGAAAGCTTGCCGTCGAGAAGTAACATGAGGTAGTGATGCCTTTTCACTTTTTTAGTAGGGCGATTGGACGTTTGTTGCGTGGAGCTTGCCTTACGAGATATCAATAGACTCCTTCTGCCGATCATCATTCGGTGCGAAATATTCAGTTTCGTACTTCTCACTATTAAAGGTTCGACCCTGAAACTTTCGGTATTCGAGAATACTGGAGGTGATGGAAGCGGTCGAGCTTGCACTAGTGTGGTGCATTAGTAAACGATCTTTAAAGGGGGAAAAGAGCAGATAGATATAACACTTACAAGTCTTCTCCGAGGGCTGAGTCACCGTCATCCTCTCCATTGTCGCCCTAGAGCTCATACTCTGCTCAGAATATCAACAATTCGGGTTCGAGCGGGGCACGTACTTGTGCTGCAACGAGCTCCGGTCCTCCTTGATCTGGCATTGCGGAAGACATGGATTCAGAAATAATGTCTGTCGTGTTTCGTGAGTTTGTCTCAGTGGCGACTGCCGGCACCGTGCCGGTGTTGTCCATATTTTGAGAACTGTTAAACAGAGTGTGTATGAAGGATGAGAGTTGGTGGCCGTCGACTGAGACGGAAAATAGCGCATTGGAGCGTTGCTGCAACCAACGCAAGGTATCGAGGCCAGGCTGGGGGAAGGCCTGCCTAACAGCATCGAGTGGTCAGATCCTGGATAGAGAATGCTCGCTTATTAGCACATTCTTCACCCCGGATAGAGAATACTCGCTTAGCACATAGCGGACCAAGAGCAAGTTTATGTACGCAACGCCTCTGATTTGGCAGAGTTTTGCATACTTCTCTCTTCTCTCGTTGCGTTTTGCAAGGGTAGGCCAAGCGAGATGCGACCTTGCTTATCAATTATTTATTGGTCCTTTCTAATGTGCATTTAACGTAACTCTATAAACTTTTTTTCTTCCTAATATACTAATTATATTATCTCCAGAAACTTAGCATTATCTTGCCAGAGCTAAACCTTTTATATATAAAGGTTATAAAATTATACTTTATTTTTTTTATACTAAGAATTATGTAAAGTATATAATAAAGGAAGGTTAGAAAAATTATTTTAAGTATATATATTATAGTTATTTATATATTAGTAAAAATATTACTTTATCTAAGGGTTAGTTTATATTTTTCCTATAGTTTTTAGCTGATTATTAATATTTTTATAGCTAATTATTTAATTTAAGAAAAGAATTATATTATATTACAACCCTTGCGGTCACATCACGTGTACTCTATATTTTCATCTAATTACCAGAAGACCCTACGTAACCTAATTAATACTTAGCCTTTATAATTAGAACTAATTTATTAAGGATTAATACCAATCTACTAACGTACATGATAAGCGAACCGGACAGACAAGCGAACCGGACAGAATACTGTGCAGCAAAAAGTGGCTTACCCTATAGTATTCTAAGACCTAAATAAAATAGTTAAAATTTTAAAAAATATATTTTTTAAAATAGTATAGTTAATTATATAAAGAAGTATTTTTAAAAGATTTTTAATAATTTTATTTTATATAGAAAACCTTAAGATATAGTGTATTTTACAGTGTAAATAGACTTTAAGGTTTATAGCTATATAGGATTTTTTTAAAAATCTTAAAAATTTAATATAGCTTACTTTAGTACTTATATTTAAGCTATTAAAATTATAGCCATTTTGGGCTTAAGTTAAGCTTTTTATAAGCTTTTAAAAACCTACCTTTAAGGTGAAAAGTGGAGTGTCCGGTTCGCTTGTCTGTCCGCTTCGCTTATTATGTATGTTAAGATTAGAATTAATCCAATAATAACCTTATTAATTATAATATATATATTTTAATATATAAATTATATTTATTATTACTTTTATAAATTCTAACTTATTAGCTATTAATATAACTTCTTTACCTTAATATACCTAAATTGTATTATTAATTATTAAGAGATATAATACTTTATATTACTTAGTATTATACCTTACTTTATTTACTAATATAAATTAAAAATAAACTAGTTTATCCCTTAGGAAACTATAACTATTATAGAAAACTAGTATTAATATATATATAATACCTTATTAATTAATTAATAAGAAACTTTATCTTAAGGTTAGGGTTAAGGTTAGTTTATATAAGAGCTTTTTTACTTATTTACTATTTATATTACGACCTTAGCGGTTCCATCACGTGTACCCTACATTTTCTACTAATTATTATACTTATACTAAAATAGATTAGCGCTAAGACTTTAAGATTATAAATAATCTATTATAATTAGTACTAATCTAATATAATTACTACTAATCCTATAATAACCTTACTAATTATTATTAATATTTACTAAGTATATAGACTATATTTATTAGCACTTTTATAGAACTTAACCTACTAGCTATTAATAAGACTTCTTTACCTAAATATACCTAACTTGCTTTATTTACTATTGAGATATAATACTTTATAACTACTTAGTATAATGCCTTATAACTCTATAAATATTAAACCTAGCATAAACTAGTTTACCTATTTAAAACCTATTCTATTATATATTAATAGCTCTTATTTAGAATATACTGCATTAAATAACTAAGTAATATTATATTATTAAAATATTTAGTAATACCGGCCTAGCACCTCCTTATACTAGAGTACCCCCTAGTATAGCTAAACTAATAGCTAAAGTTTAGTAGTTATACACTACTATCTATAACCTATAAATATAAGTTAATAAGTAGCAAAGCGCTGCGCTAGCTAATAATAATATTAATAAATTATAAGGATATAACCTTAGTAAAGTACTTAAGCTACTTAAGCCAGAACTATTTAAAGGATAGGCAGCTAATATAATCCTATTTCTTACCTAAATAAAAGGATATTTCTACCTATTTCTTAATAAACTAGATACTGCTATTAAGAAGCTACTATTTACTGCACTACTAATCTAAGGAGATACTAAAGATTAGTTTAAACCTATTATAAGGAATTACCTTAAAAATAAAGAAAACCTATAAGATTAGGATACCTAAAATATCTTTAGAGATTAGGAAAACTTTAAATAAGTACTTAAGGATAATTTTAGAGTAGTTAATAAAGAACAATAAGCTATAGTAGAACTACTAGCACTTAAGTAGTATAAATTATATACTGCATACTTAGCTAAGTTTAAATAGCTTATTGCTAAAACTTAATAAGATAATAAGTCTTTTATAGAAATCTACTACTAAAGTTTAAAGGAAGATATTAAGGATAAACTATACCTAGCCGATAGGCCTAATAACCTAATTATATATATTACTATAGTAATTAAGATTAATAAAAGATAATATAAATGCAGAAGAGAGAAAGCCGCCTACTAATAAAAAGGAAGTAACTTTAACCTATATTACCCTAGCTAGAGATATAATAATAATTAAGGTAACTCTTAAAACTAAGGATAATAATAAGGCAACTAGTTAAATAATATTATATATAGTATATAACTAGGACCTATAGTACTTAAAGCCACTTAACTAGGTAATAATAATAATTAATAATAAGATATATCTAAAGTTAAATACTATAACTATAATAAGTATAAATATATTATATATAATTGCCTAAAATTATAAAGATTTAAGGACCTAAATTAAGGTAAGTAACCTCTAGGACTAACTAAAGTATTAGGAATAACCTAAAGCAGATATAATATAGTCTTATATTATAAGTTAACTTTTATAGAGCTACTATCTAAAACTATAGGAAGAAAGAAAGGAGAACTGCTCTTAGAAAAAGAGCAAGAATAATAAAGACTTTATAGAAACGAAATTAATAATAACTACTATTACAGAAAGATAAAAGACCTAAAATAAAAGGAATACTTCTAATAGAAATAAAGGGAGAGAAGATAATAAAAGAAGGATAATAAAAAAGGTAATAAATAATAATAACTAGAAGTCTTAGGAATAATATAATAAGGAATAGCAACTACCCCTAATATAGATAAAAAAGCCAAGTTAACTAGTAAGATAGATAATATCCCTATAAAAACTATAATAATAAATAAGCTCTAGAAAAAAGAAATAGCCTTTAATAAGGAATAAGAAGTAGGAAATAAAATCTATAATTATTACTATTAATACTCCTAAAATATAGGATATAAAGGAAGAGCAGCATAAGTAACTGCATAATACCTCTATAAGGAAGATAAATGCCTTAAATAAAAATAGAAATAACCCTATAAGCTACTATTTAATAAAGTAGGGAATAGGATATAGATATTACTAGAAGATAGGTATATATAAGGAGCTAGAGAATATAGAAATACTAATATAATTAAACTCTTAAATATTAGAGTATATTATATTAATAACGCTATAAACCTACTATATAAGGAAGAATAATTTAATAAATAAGATAATATTTAAATATTTCTAATAAATAAATAATATAAAGAGATATTATAGCTATCTTATAAATACTATTAGTATAAAATATATAAGTAAAAAAAACTTAATAATAATTACTTTCTAGTAACTATCCCTAGTATACCTAATAATAAACCCTACTTAAGAAAGGAAATAAAAGGATACCTAGTATATATGTAGTATAAAAACCTAGGAGTAGCAGAACTATGATTTAATATAGCCTACTATTAATAGACTTATAAAGTAAATTAACTCTATAAGAGGATTTAATAATTATAAAAATTTATTAAAGATGCTAAAAAAGAATTTTAGATAATTACTAAAGGAAAGTTTAATTACCTTAAAGAAGTATTTAATTAAGAAAAAGTTAATAAAATAAAGAAAAAATATTAAAAATAGGAAAAAGAGTATTAAGAACGGATTAATAATAGATAATATAACCACTTAATAAAGGAACCATCAGTTAATAATACTAGTTTAGAAACCACAGAAGAGCTAATATACTAGTAGGAAGATAATAGACTCTACTTATATAATAACCCTATAGATCTCTAATAACTTAATAAGATTATAATTATAGAAGATATAATTAATAATAAATAACCCAAATAAGGAATTATACTAAATAAGCAAGATATAAAACTAGAAGAATACTTCTAGTAATTACTATATAATAAAGAATTTAAGAATAATTACACTAATAGAGAAGGATACTATAATAGCAACTGCAAATAAATTTACTAAGATATATTAAGAAATAAGAAATGCTATTTATAATAAAGCTATAGATATGTAAAGCATAAGGATAAGAATAACTCAGACTAATAAGTACTCTAGGAGCTATATAAGATAGCAAGCCTAATAGCCTAGTACTAAAAGTTCAGATTAAGGGGAGATAGCTAAACGCTTAGATTGATTATAGAGCTAAATATAACTTTATTAATCTAGACCTAGTTATAGAGCTTGAATTACTATAAAGAAAAAAGCAAGTCCTATACCTAGTTATTAGCGCAAAGGGATAACTTTTTAACTATAATAATAGAATAGTAGATTAAGAGATTAATTACCTTAAGGTCCTTATTTAAGGGAAAAATTAAGGAATAGACCTAGATATTATTCCCTTACTACTAGATGTAGATATTATCCTCGGTATGCCTTAGCTTAAATAAATAAACCTATATATTAACTAGCTAACTGGCTAAGTTACTTTT